TTCTGCTATATACTCTTAAGACATAGATGAAAAAATTCAACCGTCGGATTTTAAATAAGTATAGAGGTGTGGGCGTGGCTAAGCCTCAAACTCTGACCTGTCGCCACGCCACTCTTTTTTTCACAGCTCCCTATTGGACTCCTTTTATCCAATCACCACCAAACAGTGGCAAATAGCAGCAGACAAGTTAAGGTCACTTCGTCTATAGTACTGGCAGGTTTCGAATAAAGGCGGAGCTTTGGGAGCATGGCGAAATTCACCATCACGCCATGGAAATACGTTTGTCTCTCATTTCTTCAATCATTGTGACATTGCCACACAATTTCTGATGAGTGATCCTACTCTGACCCCTAATATAACTGGACAGCTGAAGTTTGTGGGCGTGGCCTATTTTCCGAAACAGTGCCCCCTAGGACCATTAAAACAGTCAGCCCCAAGCCATGCTTTGACTGAGGATCACACAATTTGGCACACTAATGTAGTGTCTCAGGACCTACAAAAAAGTCTCTTGGAGCCAAGCGCAATGTCGCACAGGAGGTCGGCCATTTTGGTGCAATTACTCAATTTAGTGGTTTTCGCACACGTTATTAGGAGAATTATATCTCCTCGCCCTTTCCACCGATCACCTTCAAACTTCTGCTATATACTCTTAAGACATAGAGGAAAAAATTCAACCGTCGGATTTTAAATAAGTATAAAGGTATGGGCGTGGCTAAGCCTCAAACTTTGACCAGTCGCCATTACTTTATTTGACTTAACAACTCCCATGTGCATGATCAGATCAATTTCATACTTTGTCTGTGTGATCACTGACCACATCTGAAGACAGTGACAATGTGGACAGCTGACATCACCTAAGCCCCGCCCCCTGACTACAGGAAGTCTATTGTTTTATGGTGAACTTCCCATATTTGTCCCCTCTAATTTAGTCAAGATGACACTAAGGTCATGCACTGTCTTCATGATGTTGTAATGACCATTCAGATCTGATAGCTTTTCAGAAAGTGAGGGGCTTTGATGCCATGGCGATTTCTGGCGTGATGCTGTGACCTTACGTTTGACTGTAACTTCCACAAACAGCCTCCGATTTGCCCGAGACTGAACATCACATCACCAGTGTGGTAAAGATAGAGTATCTCCTAGGGGTGAGACATGTAATGGTGGGCTCAGAAGGGATGCTGAGTCAGGGTGAGGTGTGGACGAGGAGGCCTTTCACGGTTTCCGGTGTTGGGGTGGCTGACTTTCTGTTCCGCCAGGCATGCCCTGGTGCCCTCGGCTGCCGGCCAGGATGGAAAAGCGCGGAGCCGGGTTTGGAGAGCGTCGGGGATGGAGCGGAGGGGGTGCGGACAGAGGGCGAGCAGCTTCGCTGCGAGGGCCGAACGACGCTGCTTGCAGCTTTAATTACGCTTTCTTTCTTTCTTTCTTTTTTCTTCCGCGTCTTTGACTGGCCTTTAGGGGGTCTTAGCATATCCAAAAAGTCACCAAATTCTGGCCCAATATAGAAAGTGCGTGAAATTTACGTATTTCACTGGCGATGTGAAAGTTCATAAAAAAATGGCTGAACAGCGCCCCCTAGAAAGTGAAAAATACCCCTCTCCATAAAGCTTAGTTTATCGTACAGTTATGAAATTTGGTACACTTGTAGAACTCAACAATATGCACAGAAAAGCCTCTTGCATCCATGGTCAATATCAAACAGGAAGTCGGCCATTTTGGACTAAAGTGGCCATTTTGACCCTGTTTCGGCCATTTCTTGGGTCTATATTTGGTTGAACAGTTTGGTCATTTTTCGCACGATCGTCTCAAAAATAGTGTGCGATCGAACAGAAGCGACGGACGATTAAAATGAGACAATAAAATTGACTTTTCGTAAATACTGAAGGGGCGGGACCAGGCCTCAAAGTTCGAGCACTCGCCAAAAAAATTCAAATTGCTATAATTTCATAAATGAAAGAATTACAGATAAAGTAACTTTCTATGGACAATCATCATCGCCCCCCGAAGACAAATGAATGGTCGATTGATGATGTCACATAAGCCCCGCCCCTTCAGGACTTAAAAGGTCAAGTTTTACTAGGAAATTTTCCAAAATTCGCCCTTTCGAATAATCATCCTAAATTTGTATCAGGTAACTGAAGACAAGTTGGGGTTGCTTGGCGTCACTTTATGGGAGTTTTCTCGAGAAGGCGGGGCTGTGGCGGCGCGGCGAACTCAGGCGTACCGCTTAGGCCTTACGTTTGCCTCCCATTTCGTCATTTCTAGAGATATCGCCACGAAACTTCTTGTGAGTGATCCTAGTCCGGCCCCCAAAAAAATCTGATGTGAAATTCCGGTGGGCGTGGTCTATTTTCTGAAATAGCGCCCCCTAGGACCATTAAAACTGACAGCCCCAAGCCATGCTTTGACTGAGGATTACGAAATGTGGTACACTAATGTGGTGTCTCAGGACCTACAAAAAAGTCTCTTGGAGCCAAGTGCAAAGTCGCACAGGAAGTCGGCCATTTTGGTCCAAGTGCGCGATTTAGTGGTTTTCGCACACGTTGTTTGGAGAGTGATGCTCCATCGCCCTTTTCACCAATCGCCTTCACACTTCTGCTATATACTCTTAAGACATAGATGAAAAAATTCAACCGTCGGATTTTAAATAAGTATAGAGGTGTGGGCGTGGCTAAGCCTCAAACTCTGACCTGTCGCCACGCCACTCTTTTTTTCACAGCTCCCTATTGGACTCCTTTTATCCAATCACCACCAAACAGTGGCAAATAGCAGCAGACAAGTTAAGGTCACTTGGTCTATAGTACTGGCAGGTTTCGAATAAAGGCGGAGCTTTGGGAGCATGGCGAAATTCACCATCACGCCATGGAAATACGTTTGTCTCTCATTTCTTCAATCATTGTGACATTGCCACACAATTTCTGATGAGTGATCCTACTCTGACCCCTAATATAACTGGACAGCTGAAGTTTGTGGGCGTGGCCTATTTTCCGAAACAGTGCCCCCTAGGACCATTAAAACAGTCAGCCCCAAGCCATGCTTTGACTGAGGATCACAAAATTTGGCACACTAATGTAGTGTCTCAGGACCTACAAAAAAGTCTCTTGGAGCCAAGCGCAATGTCGCACAGGAGGTCGGCCATTTTGGTGCAATTACTCAATTTAGTGGTTTTCGCACACGTTATTAGGAGAATTATATCTCCTCGCCCTTTCCACCGATCACCTTCAAACTTCTGCTATATACTCTTAAGACATAGAGGAAAAAATTCAACCGTCGGATTTTAAATAAGTATAAAGGTATGGGCGTGGCTAAGCCTCAAACTTTGACCAGTCGCCATTACTTTATTTGACTTAACAACTCCCATGTGCATGATCAGATCAATTTCATACTTTGTCTGTGTGATCACTGACCACATCTGAAGACAGTGACAATGTGGACAGCTGACATCACCTAAGCCCCGCCCCCTGACTACAGGAAGTCTATTGTTTTATGGTGAACTTCCCATATTTGTCCCCTCTAATTTAGTCAAGATGACACTAAGGTCATGCACTGTCTTCATGATGTTGTAATGACCATTCAGATCTGATAGCTTTTCAGAAAGTGGGGGGCTTTGATGCCATGGCGATTTCTGGCGTGACGCTGTGACCTTACGTTTGACTGTAACTTCCACAAACAGCCTCCGATTTGCCCGAGACTGAACATCACATCACCAGTGTGGTAAAGATAGAGTATCTCCTAGGGGTGAGACATGTAATGGTGGGCTCAGAAGGGATGCTGAGTCAGGGTGAGGTGTGGACGAGGAGGCCTTTCACGGTTTCCGGTGTTGGGGTGGCTGACTTTCTGTTCCGCCAGGCATGCCCTGGTGCCCTCGGCTGCCGGCCAGGATGGAAAAGCGCGGAGCCGGGTTTGGAGAGCGTCGGGGATGGAGCGGAGGGGGCGCGGACAGAGGGCGAGCAGCTTCGCTGCGAGGGCCGAACGACGCTGCTTGCAGCTTTAATTATTATTCTTTTTTCTTCCGCGTCTTTGAATGGCCTTTAGGGGGTCTTAGCATATCCAAAAAGTCACCAAATTCTGGCCCAATATAGAAAGTGCGTGAAATTTACGTATTTCACTGGCGATGTGAAAGTTCGTCAAAAAGTGACTGAACAGCGCCCCCTAGAAAGTGAAAAATACCCCTCTCCATAAAGCTTAGTTTATCGTACAGTTATGAAATTTGGTATACTTGTAGTACTCAACAGTCCGCACAGAAAAGTCTCTTGCAACCATGGTCAATATCAAACAGGAAGTCGGCCATTTTGGAGTAAAGTGGCCATTTTGACCCCGTTTTGGCCATTTCTAGGGTCTATATTTGGTTGAACAGTTTGGTCATTTTTCGCACCATCGTCTCAAAAATTGTGCGAGATCGAACAGAATCGATGGACGATTCAAATGAGACAATAAAATTGACTTTTCGTAAATACTGAAGGGGCGGGGCCAGGCCTCAAAGTTCGAACACTCGCCAAAAAAATTCAAATTGCTATAATTTCATAAATGAAAGAATTACGGTTAAAGAAATGTTCTGTGGACAATTGTCATCGCCCTCCGAAGACAAATGAATGGTCGATTGATGATGTCACATAAGCCCCGCCCCCTCAGGACTTAAAAGGTCAAGTTTTACTGGGAAATTTTCCAAAATTCGCCCTTTCCAATAATCACCCCAAATTTGTAGCGGGTAACTGAAGACAAGTTGGGGTTGCTTGGCTTCACTTTATGGGAGTTTTCTGCAGAAGGCGGGGCTGTGGCGGCGCGGCGAATTCAGGCGTACCACTTAGGCCTTACGTTTGCCTCCCATTTCGTCATTTCTAGAGATATCGCCACGAAGCTTCTTGTGAGTGATCCTAGTCTGGCCCCCCAAAAGATCTGATGTGAAATTCCGGTGGGCGTGGTCTATTTTCTGAAATAGCGCCCCCTAGGACCATTAAAACTGACAGCCCCAAGCCATGCTTTGACTGAGGATTACGAAATTTGGTACACTAATGTGGTGTCTCAGGACCTACAAAAAAGTCTCTTGGAGCCAAGTGCATTGTCGCACAGGAAGTCGGCCATTTTGGTCCAAGTGCGCAATTTAGTGGTTTTCGCACACGTTGTTTGGAGAGTGATGCTCCGTCGCCCTTTTCACCAATTGCCTTCACACTTCGGCTACATACTCTTAACACATAGATGAAAAAATTCAACCGTCGGATTTTAAATAAGTATAAAGGTGTGGGCGTGGCTAAGCCTCAAACTTTGACCTGTCGCCACGCCACTCTTTTTTTTCACAGCTCCCTATTGGACTCCTTTTAACCAATCACCACCAAACAGTGGCGAATAGCAGCAGACAAGTTGAGGTCACTTGGTCTATAGTACTGGCAGGTTTCGAATAAAGGCGGGGCTTTGGAAGAATGGCGAAATTCGCCATCACGACATGGAAATACGTTTGTCTCTCATTTCTTCAGTCATTGTGACATCGCCATACAAGTTCTGATGAGTGATCCTACTCTGACCCCTAATAGAATTGGACAGCTGAAGTTTGTGGGCGTGGCCTATTTTCTGAAACAGCGCCCCCTAGGACCATTAAAACAGTCAGCCCCAAGCCATGCTTTGACTGAGGATCACAAAATTTGGCACACTAATGTAGTGTACCAGGACCTACAAAAAAGTCTCTTGCAGCCAAGCACAATGTCGCACAGGAGGTCGGCCATTTTGGTCCAAGTACTCAATTTAGTGGTTTTCGCACACGTTATTAGGAGAATGATATCTCCTCGCCCTTTCCACCGATCACCTTCAAACCTCTGCTATATACTCTTAAGACATAGAGGAAAAAATTCAACCGTCGGATTTTAAATAAGTATAAAGGTGTGGGCGTGGCTAAGCCTCAAACTTTGACCAGTCGCCATTACCTTATTTGACTTAACAACTCCCATGTGCATGATCAGATCAATTTCATACTTTGTCTGTGTGATCACTGACCACATCTGAAGACAGTGACAATGTGGAGAATTGACATCACCTAAGCCCCGCCCCCTGACTACAGGAAGTCAACTGTTTTATGGTGAAATGCCCATATTTGTTCCCTCTAATTTAGTCAAGATGACACTAAGGTCATGCACTGTCTTCATGATGTTGTAATGACCATTCAGATCTGATAGCTTTTCAGAAAGGCAGGGGCTTTGATGCCATGGCGATTTCTGACGTGACACTGTGACCTTACGTTTGACTGTAACTTCCACAAACAGCCTCCGACTTGCCCGAGACTGAACATCGCATCACCAGTGTGGTAAAGATAGAGTATCTCCTAGTGGTGAGACGTGTAATGGTGGGCTCAGAGGGGATGCTGAGTCAGGGTAAGGTGTGGACGAGGAGGCCGTTCACGGTTTCTGGTGTCGGGGTGGTTGACTTTCTGTTCCGCCAGACGTTCCCTGGTGCCCCCGGCTGCCGGCCAGGACGGAGAAGCGCGGAGCTGGGTTTGGAGAGCGTCGGGGATGGAGCGGAGGGGGTGCGGAAGGAGGGCGAGCAGCTTCGCTGCGAGGGCCGAACGACGCTGCTTGCAGCTTTAATTTATTTTCTCCTCCTCTGGCTGCTACCAGCTGAGGCTATTTGAGGCTCTGATTTAGTGTGTATTTGGAGTGCTAATGATTCACATCCTTTCTGCGTTTGACATTTTGTGGATTCCACCAGGACGTGACGCTGGATCTGGGAGCTGTGGTTTGTTGAGCTCCCAGACAAACTGTTGTTATATTTGTTGTGCACAACGTTGTTGTGGCACCTTCATTCATCCACCTGTGTCCTCTACTTTAATCCTCTTTCTGAATTAAATCCAGCTTTTTATGACAGACGGTCCACCTTTAGCTGTTTCGACCTTGTTCTGATTTGCCCAGCAGCCCCACTTTTAACTTGCTGAGAAATATTAAATTCGGTGGCCTGATTTTCTTTCCAGGTATTTAAGTCTGTCCGGGTGGGTCATTGGAATGTGAGGAAATAAGCATAGAAAATGTCCTCTCTGGGATGATCTGAGGGTGGGGAAAGCTATTTTTGACTGTGAGAATTTGTCATTCTTTATTGTTTACTCACACTCGAAGCCTTGAGAGTCCAGAGTCTGCTCAGATCAGGAAAGCAAATAGATAACAAGAGTTCAGCTGTTCATTTCTGACCGAGATTAACAGACTGTCACATGATCTGTGGAGACCAGCACAGCTATCACCATCTGCTCTTCACTTTTCCAACAGGGCAGAAGCTCTTTAGGGCAGGTAGTATTCGTCATTCTTTCCCAGAAACAAAGGTTTTGACTTTGGGTTGTTTGTCAGTCTTCTGAAAAAGTTTTATTCTTGAATTTATGGGGGTTCTTTCTGCCTCCAAGCACTCCAAACCTGGAAAAAAACACCAGTTAGTTTTCTATCAGCGTTTGGTTTTAGAAATTATCTGTCTAAAACAAGCTGGTTTACAGTTGTCCTGTTTGTGATGTCACAAAGAAGATGAAGAAGAAAAGTTTTTTCTATAGCGCCTCTCAAGATAAAAATCACGAGGCGCTTCGCAAAAACAAAAAAATTTTAAAATATAAAAAAGAATGTAGAAAATGATTAAAAATATATTTAAAATGAGCAAAAAATAGACAATTGTGATTAAAAAATGTAAAGAAAGAGAGAGAGTGAATAGGAAAGAGGGAAATCAGTGGATCCTGAGGAAGGTGGAATAGGTGGGGAGAGCAGAATAAAGAGAGAGTGAAGAAGGTCATACAAAAGCCAGCTTGAACAGGTGAGTTTTCAGCTGTTTTTTGAAGGAGACCACTGAGTCCACTGATCTCAGGCTCAGGGGGAGAGAGTTCCAGAGTCTGGAGGCCACAGCAGCAAATGATCTGTCACCTTTGGTCTTTAACCTGGTGCACTGCACAACCAGTAGACTTTGATCACTGGACCTCAGGGACCCGCTGGGGGTGTAGGGACTAAGAAGATCACCAATGTAAGATGGTGCTTGTCCATGTAAGGCCCTATAGACCAGAACCAGGATCTTGAAATGAACCCTGGAGTTGACTGGCAGCCAGTGAAGCTGGAGGAGAAGCGGGGTGATGTGGGTGTGTTTGGAGGACTTGGTCAGAAGCCGAGCACAGGCATTCTGAACCACCTGTAGACAGTTCAGGGAGGTTCTGCTCAGACACGTGAAAAGAGAGTTACAGTAGTCTAAGCGTGAGGAGATGAAGGTGTGGATAACTGTCTCAAGTTCAGAGCGGGACAGAATGGGACTCAGCTTAGCAATGTTCCTGAGATGGAAGAAGGAAGAGCGAACAAGAGAACTGACATGAGAATCCAGGGTGGGAGCTGGGTCAAAGGTCATGCCAAGATTCCTGACAGAGGGTTTTGTGTGAGAAGCAAGCTGACCAAGAGAGTCTCTGACTTTAGAATGAAATGAACTAATTTGCGTAGAACCACCTCTCACATGCAAAAGAGCAGCTGCTGCTGGAAGAGCAGTGGCTCTACTCGAAGCCCCTCTCATATTTGAGCTTCTCAGCTTATAGCTGCCCGACCGAGTAACGAGTGGGCATAGTCAGCTCAATCTTGTTCTCTTAAAGTAACAGAACTGTAAAATGGCTCATTCTAGAAGATACTGAAAATTTAAACAATAGCTGTGTTTCCATTACTGGAACTTCTGGGGAGATTTACAGGAACCTGCCAACATGTGCATGTCTCCTCTTAACCAGGCCGGCAGAACGGCAGTTTTCCGGGCCGTTTTCAGGAACCTTCTGAGTATCTGATCAGGGGGTAGGTACTCCGAATGGCCCAGCGGAGTAATGCTGATGTGCTGTAGCTCAGTAGGAAATCATCTGCAGATCTTGTCCAAAACAACTGGCATTAATAAAATTAGAAGGGTTGTCTTCCTATCATCCCCCAGTCATTCAACTGTAACCAGTTAGTGTTCTTGATCATTTTCAGAACATGACACACCTGCTCTGGTATTAAAAGTTAGTAAATTTAAGTCCTAGATTATATTTGTACCTGTTCTACTGTCATTTCTAACGATTTTTATTCATATATATGTTTGTACTACATTATTAGAAGTAGAAATGCTAATAAAAACACCCAATTATACAAACAAGTGAAACTGGAAAATATAGAATCTGGCGCAAAATTCTTTTATTTCAGTAATTCAGCTAGACTGAGAGACAATATAAAGGCTCAGGAAAGTGTTTTCTATTTGCAGTTATACATTTTAGTTGATTTGGGTCTTGTTTCATATCATAATGTGACATTTGAATAATTAAATGCAGTTTTAGAAAACAAAAAGCTTTCGTTTACAGTAATTGTAACCATGTCTAATGTTTGATTCTCTGCCTCATTATTTTTTATTTAAAAATTGCTTTGAGGGAACATTTCCCCAAATGATTAAAATGTGATTAATTAATATTAATTAATTACAAAGCCTCTTATTAATTAGATTGACTTAACCTAACTTAAAACAGTTTTTAATGCCTTTTAACAAGGCATAGCGTAGGCCTAGCGTAGCTATAAATATATTGTGAATTAAAAAAACAAATAAAATTATTAAAGTAGTTGTCTTGCATTTGTCTAAAGACCTCCGCCATTAACACGTTTCAGACCGAAAGCAATCATAGGACCCTTCGGTTGTTAGTCCTGCTCTTCCCTGGGCTCTCCATTCAATACACACTCACGTATTTAGCAACAGAACACCGCTGGTGTGAGAGGGTCTCAGCTCAATAATATCAGAGGAGGAGAACCAGCCGGCTGCTACCACTTCAACTTTAGGACAAACTACCAGAGTTCCATAAAGTAAAACACCACTTGAAGTCATGGAAAACAAAAGATGTTTAGACCTAGAAAACGGCGACTGGTGTTTAGCGCCATCACGTTTCCTCTGGCAAAGAGGGTTTCCGGTGAACGCGAATCCAAGGAAGATACCCGAAGGGAGGGCTGAGTGTTCCATGACTGTGTTCAAAACCTAGCTTCTTCTGTAGATTTGCTATAACAGCTTTAAGAAAAAAGTCATAATGTATCCCCCTTTAAACTTACAGTAAATAATATACAATCAAATGCTGCACAGTTCTTTGGGGAAGTCATACTGTTGATATTTTTCTTTGAAAAGCTGTTTTTTTCCCCCCGTGTGTGAGAGCTTTATTGGTCTCAGCTGTGGTCTTCGGGCTTTCAGCCTCTCCAAACCTGAATGCTGAATGAGGCTGAGTGGGATTGCTAGCATAAGGTCAGGATGGATGCAGTGTTGACATGGCAACATGTGAATGATGGGGTGCAATGGAGGCTAAATTGGTCCTTTGTTGGAGGCGCAGCTGTCACCTGAAAGGAGACACCCCCCAGTGGGTCCCAGCAGGACTTCCCTTAATGAGGACGGAGACCCAGATGAAACTGTTGTTGCTGCGTTGAAGCACAAAGTGACGTTAAAGTTAATGTCTCCGCTGTGACGGTTCAGCTGCCATCTTCCCGAGTGGGTTGCTGGGAATACTGGGATTATTGGATCTCACCAGACACACCCTGAGCATGTACGTGAACCCGATCCTCCTCCGTGATTAACATTTTCACACATGTGAAATTATACAATAACTAATATGTGATGCATCACAGAGTTGCATAAGAAAGAAAGACCTTTCTCTGTACTCCCACTCTTTGTTTCTGTGTCTCTGGAGCTCTGTTGAGGGATTAAAGGATCAGCCCCTGATCAATCCCCCCCCCCCCCCGTCCCCCCGTCCCTCCCCCCTTCCAGCTCCGTCTTAGATCCTAAATATCCACTGATATGTGCGTCGTGTCCTCCTCTGAACCAACGCTCCTGTTTTTTGTGCAGTCACAGACGATCAGCATGTCCTTGTGCCCAGTTACGGAAAGTCCTGTAAATAAATGACTATGTAAACGAAACCCTTGGTTTCCTCTTGATTGGCGGTGGATGCTTTTCTTGGGAGTTTGTACACAAAGACCTTCCAGAGATTGAAGGAGGAGAGCAAGAGGTTGCTTTCCTCTTCTTGGTGTCAGGAAACAGACGTATAAAAGGGCTGAGAGCCTCTGTGGTCATTATCCGGGCCGGATAATTGTAGAGTTTTACTCTGAGAATAAATGTGGACGCTGCTGCCCGGTCGACCACATCCATCCACCTCGGTGCAAGTCAGAAACACCCGGCACTGAGAATTGTTGGAGAGGTGGAATTACACCATCGGCCTCTGTCCGTGCAGCTCGTTTGTCTCTGCTTTGGAAGGGACGGATTTATTGGATACCCGAGAGAACGTTCTCTCCTTCCCCTGCACTCTCAGCAGCCTGATTAGAGACGGGCCTGCATTATAGATGAGCTCCTGGCAGCCGCCACACTCTCACAGCGCTCAGGTTACCCCCAGTGGATACACAAAGATACAGTACATGGGTTCACACAAACATGAGAGCAGCAGCTGTAATGGACCAGCGGCCTTGGGGGCGTAAGCTGTAGCTCAGAGCAGATCCAAGCTTGGATGTGCCGGTCAAACATTTAAAAAATGCTAAATAGCATGCATGTTTGGGTTTGTGGAATCCCCGGGTGTATTTTGCACACCTGAAGAAAACAGGGCTTGGCTGCCGATCCACGAATCTCTGCCCTCACCTCCACACAGCACAGCCCCGCCTCCTCCTTCGAGGACTTTGATCCTCAGTTTATGTTTGTATATCTGTGTCCCGAACTCTGAGGTTTATGTCCTTGTGGGTTTAAAGGAGCATATCAAACATTTCATTTGAGCAGCAGATTGATTATTTTAGCTAAAATGAAGACAAGATTTTGAGTATGTTTATGTTTATGTTTATGTATTTAGCAGAGGCTTTTGTCCAAAGCGACTTACAAGTGATAATCGGCATGTTGCCCTTGAGGCTAACAACAACAATAACAACAACTTGACATCAATCATGGAGAGGAGGGAACAAGGAGTGGACAGTAGAGAGGGGGGACGGGTGCAGGGAGGGTGCTAGTTTAGAAGATGCTCTCTGAAGAGCAGGGTCTTCAGGAGTTTCCTGAAAATTGAAAAGGAAGCCCCTGTTCTGGTAGTGCTTGGAAGGTCATTCCACATTTGTGGAACGATGCATGAGAAGAGTCTGGATTGTCCTGAGTGTGGTGTAGGCACTGCTAGCCGACGATCCTGTGATGACCGGAGAGGCCGGTTCTGAGACGTAAGCCTTTGCAAGACGATTCAGGTAGATGGGAGCCGTACCAAATCGGACTTTGTATGCTAGTGTTAGCAATTTGAATTTGATGCGTGCTGCTAGCGGTAGCCAGTGGAGCTCAATGAACAGAGGGGTGACGTGTGCTCTTTTTGGCTGACTGAAGACCAGATGCGCCGCTGCGTTCTGGACCATTTGAAGAGGTCTCACAGTACAGCCTGGAAGACCAGTTAGAAGGGCATTGCAGTAATCGAGGCAGGAGATGACAGTAGATTGCACCAGGAGCTGGGTGGCATGTTATGTTAGGTATGGTCTGATCTTTCATATGTTATACAGCGTAAAGCGGCATGAACGAGCAACAGAGGCAACATGATCTTTAAAGGTCAGGTGTTCATCAATCACAACACCCAGATTTCGAACTGCCTTTGAAGGAGCTGGATATAGGAAGTAATTTTGGATTGAGATATTGTGCTGTATGGATGGTTTTGCTGGGATGACAAGTAGTTCAGTTTTAGAGAGGTTGAGTTGGAGATGGTGGGATTTCATCCATTTTGATATGTCAGAGAGACAGTTTGATATTCGTGCAGAGACAGTGTGGTCGTCCGGTGGAAACGACCGATAGAGCTGGATGTCGTCTGCATAGCAGTGGTAGGTGAAGCCATGTAATTGAATGATCTCACCCAGTGAGGTGGTGTATATGGCAAAAAGAAGAGGTCCTAGTACAGAGCCTGGTATTGCTTGGTAGGTCATTCCACATTTGTGGAACGATGCATGAGAAGAGTCTGGATTGTCCTGAGTGTGGTGTAGGCACTGCTAGCCGACGATCCTGTGGTGACCGGAGCGGCCAGGCTGGGACGTAAGCCCTTGCAAGAGGATTCAGGTAGATGGAAGCCAGTGTACATCTTGCACCAGGAGCTGGGTGACATGTTGTGTTAGGTATGGTCTGATCTTTTGTTTGTTATACAGCTCAAAGCGGCAGGGACTCATGTGGCAAGATGGTGCACGGTAGAGGATTGTCCAAGCCTTGATACACTGAATGATCGTCCTTTGAGGTACGATTCAAACCAGGCGTGTGCTTTCTGTGATGCCCATGCTAGAGAGTGTGGACAAAAGGAAGCCATGGTTGACAGTGTCAAATGCAGCCGATAAGTCGAGCAGGATAAGCAATGAGGATTTGGCAGTCGCTCTAGCTTCTTTTAAGGATTCAGTCACTGCTAACAGAGCAGTTTCAGTGGAGTGGCCCATTTTGAACCCAGATTGGTACGGGTCAAGCAGTTTTGTGAGAGCAGGGTATCCGCGGGTCCTTAAAAAGTCTTAAAAAGTCTTAAATTTACTTTTCCAAATTTAAGGCCTTGAAAATCCTTGAAAAGGACAAATAATCCTTAAATACAGTTTCCAAAGGTCTTAAATTACCAAAGACCCAATAAACTAGATTATTTTATTTCTATGACATTTTCGTGAATTTCAGCATTTTTTGTGTACGATGTTGGCGTAAGCGGAACCGTACACATTCAGTTGGTTGTGAAAGGGGGCTATTTTTAGATGAGCACGTTAGCTGGTTAAGCTAGTGGGAGCTTGCGCCATGGAGAAGTGCAAGTTTAATGGTAACTGGATGGCTAATCCCACGTTCGCGACGTGGTTAGCACCGGTTCCAGGCAATAGCTGGAAATTATAGCTTAAAATTAATTTAAAAAATAGCTTAAATTTGGATCTGGATCGAAAGGAGTCAGTTGAGGTGGTTTGGGCATCTGGTCAGGATGCCTCCTGGACGCCTCCCTGGGGAGGTGTTTCGGGCATGTCCTGCCGGCAGGAGGCCGCCGGGTCGACCCAGGACACGTTGGAGAGGTTACATCTCCAATCTGGTCCGGGAACGCCTTGGGGTCCTGCCGGAGGAGCTGGTGGAGAAGGCCTGGGAGAGGACCGTCTGGTGCTCCCTAGTTGGGATGCTGCCCCCATGACCCGGACCCGGATAAGCGGAGGAAGATGACGACAAGCTTAAATTTGGTCAAAGTGGCCTTAAAAAAGGTCTTAAATAGTCTTAAATTTGGCTCCCTTAAACCTGCAGATACCCTGGAGAGGTATTCTGTGATCTGCTTGAAAGCCACCCTTTCAATGATTTTGGACAGAAAAGGGAGAGAGAGATAGGTCGGTAGTTCTCCACATGATTTGGAGGAAGAGATGGGTTTTTTTTTAGCAGCGGTTTAACCTGAGCATGCTCGAGAGAGGTGGGAAATGTACCGGATGTCAGTGATGCGTTGATCACATGGGTGACTGCTGCGGCAACTGTAGGAGCAATAGCTTGGAGCAGCTTATTCGGAATGGGGTCATTGGAGTATTTCTAATTTCCTGGGGCAACAAACTAATGAAGAACAATTATTTACTTTCTGTTATTTGTCATTTTAGAATAAACAAATGTAATTTAATTCAAGTAAAATGTTACACAATGCAAGGATTTTTTTTATTTATGTAAAATCTGTTAAAAAAAATTACGCTGATGCAGTAAAAATCAAACAGAGATGATTCTCTTTAAGTGTTTTTAGCTTGACAAGTGAATTCCACTTTAAAGCTTTGTAAGAGCATGATTTTATTATCCCCTGCAGTTGCATCACTTGACTATGCCTGATGAGCCCTGTTCTGATGGAGACTTTGGGGGTTGTAGCCAGCAGGTGGAGCTTCAGCTGAGAATACTGTGCCTTTTTCATCCATAGCTTTCGTTTTAGTGATTATATGACTGTATTCCAGCTGCGATTTTGTCCCATAGTGTGTGTGTGTGTGTGCGTGTGTGTGTGTGCGTGCGTGTGTGTGTGCGTGTGCATCCTATAGGTTGGTTGTATTTACTCTGCTGTGTCGTTTTTCTCTTCTGGACGGTTTTAAATCCTCTCCGACGTCCTCCTTTCTGCTGAGTTTGCTCATCATAGCTTAAAATAATAATCATTAGTGTAATCTCACTCAATCCCAGATCTACGAGGGGAAATGAGAGGATTGAGCTCCAGTTTGTGGAAGTAATAGGATGTCATCATGTTGTAATCGTGTTCATGCTTTATTAAAAGTGACTTCTCCACAGTCATCCTGATGGATTTATTTAATTGTCCTTTCTCTCCTCGTCCTGCAGGTGATCTTCAGCGTTCGGACTAACAGGTGCGTCAGGACTCGTCCCACCCGTCGCCACTGGTCAGCACATACACATGCGCGACACCATGGGCAGCTCCCCAGAGGTGCTCTCGTGGACTTCTTGCCCAAGCCTGTTGGTGGGGAAGCTGAAGGAGGAGCTTAAACTCACTGTGGTCGGCGACACCATGAAGAAATCAACCTCGCCCAATTCCCAGCCTCCTCAGGTGCCCTTCTCTAACATGCCCCCTCAGATCATCACAGACCTCGCCCCGCCGACCAACCTCCCCATTCCGCTGCACACTCCCGGACAAGATGACGACTCCATGTTGGGGGGCGTCAGCCCAGGAAACACCGCCCTGAGCGTGGACTCGATGCGGAGCGAGGGTGGACACTTTGACAATAGTGTCCTTCAGCTGCAGGAGCAGGATCATGACGAAGCGGGGTCACCGGCGTCCTGTGAGCACGGTGGGTGTGGCAGCGGCGTGGAGGAACAGACGGGCGAAGGGGACTGCCCAGTGGACCAAAGCGGTGACGGGAGGCCTGGCCACCCGCGGCACCCTGACGACATCAAGCTGCACTTCCAAAGAGCGGGACCCGGGTCCGGAGGCTTCCTAGAGGGGCTGTTTGGCTGTCTTCGGCCCGTCTGGAACATTATAGGGAAAACGTACTCCACAGAATACAAGCTGCAGCAGCAAGGTTAGCTCCTGGTTTCATCTTTCTACGCGGCGTCGGTTTAACAACCCAATCCTCTCTGTTTAATTAAAACATGTCTGTCTCTTAAAGACTTCTGAGAGACAAACGAACAATTCCCCTCTGAAACGTACCCCGAAACGGTAACTGAATAGTTGTTCCCGGTTTCGGCGTATTGCTTTTTGAGCGGCTGCACTGAATTAAGGTAATTAGTAAAGGTAGACTCACCTTGCTGCAGGCGGCTTGAACAGGCTGGGCGAGGTCAGACTCAACCCGGCCTGATTCTCGCTGTTGTGACTCATTGAAAGTCGAGCATTTGTGGTTTGTTTGTATCCACATCACAGATTTACTGTGGCCCAAAAGGAAAAGTGATGTTTGACAGATTTAAACTCGTCTCTCCTTTCATTTATGCCAACAAAAGAAGGAAAGCGCCGCCTTTGCAGTGACGAATTGTAACTAACCTGATTGCAGACATGTGGGAAGTCCCGTTTGAGGAGATTTCTGAGCTGCAGTGGCTGGGCAGCGGTGCACAGGGAGCCGTCTTCTTGGGAAAGTTTCGCTCCGAAGAGGTGGCCATCAAGAAAGTGCGTGAGCAGAAGGAGACAGACATCAAACACCTGCGGAAGCTCAAGCATCCCAACATCATCAGCTTCAAGTACAACAAATACGGTCTCAGTGGAGTTTGTGTTGCCAACCAGCTCTTGGTTTTAACGTGTTTTCTTTTGTAAATCAGGGGCGTGTGCACCCAGGCGCCCTGCTACTGCATCATCATGGAGTACTGTGCACAGGGTCAGCTGTACGAAGTTCTGAGGGCGGGGAGGAAGGTGACCCCCACGCTGCTGGTGGACTGGGCCTCGGGAATCGCCAGCGGCATGAACTACCTGCACCTGCACAAGATCATCCACAGAGATCTCAAATCACCCAAGTGAGCGATGATTTGGCTTTTGATGTTGTTTCTGTGTTTCTAGTATACGTGTTAAGCCGGGCGGACACTGTGTGACTTTTTCACTTTTTTGAGCCGATTTTCCACTCGTGTGAGAATCCACGACATCGGGGCGAGTTTTGCGCCGCACGTCGTGTACAGGGGGTTACGAGAGGCGATTAACACCACGTGACCAGCTACCGATCAGCAATCGTGAGCTCGCACAAACTTCTGGAGTGTTTAATATTTCGCTCGTCCCTCGTGAGGGTATCGCACTGTTGAAGCGGCGCTGCGAGCAGCTGCGACCCAAAAAGTACCTGAACCGCTCACGGCGCATGCGCAATCCTGCATCAACGCCGCTTGCTCGCTACTTCCCTAATAACACACGCTGTTCGTTTTTATTTCCACACGTTTTTTTACTCACAAAGATTGTCAAGGAAGCGTGTTTGTCGTGTTCGTGTCAAATTAAACTGATCACACAACAGATTTACTTTCTTTATTTCGTTTTCTTCATCCAACCCCCATAAATCCCTGTGTGTCCTCCCGCAGCACTCCCGAAGGACAACAGGCAAGACAAGACAAAAAAGTCTGACGTGTTGAGTAAAAACTGCTATTTTTAGCATATTTTTAGGGCCGACGTGTTGCTACCAGACGTGCAGTGTGAGCGCATGACTCGTGAGATCTGCCCTGCGAGGAAGTCGTACAGTTAGAGCTGAAGCTGAGTGCTACGAGTGAAAAAGTCGCACAGTGTACGCCCGGCTTTAGATGGAGTGTTTGGCATCCTCCTGCTCCTTCTGTCTCAGGTCTTGTCTTTAGCTCCATCGCTAATCAATATCACGCTGCAGCAGCAGAGCCGAACACAGTTCTAGTCAGCAGAATGACAGCAGGCTGAAAACGCAGCAAGAGTCTGTCTCATTTAGCTAATGGGGTGACTCAGAAATGCACTCTGTTAAAAACGAATGAAAAGAAACTGTCATTGTGTCAAGTTACATATTCATCACAACACTAACTGGTGCATTTTTCCTTTCTGTTTTAGTGTCTTGGTCACCCACAACGACACTGTGAAGATTTCTGACTTCGGAACATCCAAGGAGCTCAGCGACAAGAGTACAAAGATGTCGTTTGCGGGTACGGTGGCGTGGATGGCGCCGGAAGTCATCAGAAATGAGCCAGTGTCAGAGAAAGTGGACATCTGGTGAGCGATAACGCTCTGCCGTGACTCAGAGCTGATGATGCAGTGTTTGGAGTCACCTGACACTCTTTACTTGTGCGTTGTAGGTCGTTTGGGGTTGTGTTATGGGAACTGCTCACGGGAGAGATTCCCTACAAAGACGTGGACTCTTCCGCCATCATTTGGGGTGTTGGCAGCAATAGTCTACACCTTCCTGTCCCCTCCACCTGCCCGGATGGATTTAAAATCCTCATGAAGCAAACATGGTGAGTTTGGACTGAATATCACAGACTTAGATATTTACTGTATTTGTACATAAAGTTTTTTTTTTGTGGTTTTTCCTCCGTTTCAGGCAAGGCAAGCCCAGAAATCGACCATCGTTTCGCCAGATTCTCCTGCACCTCGACATCGCCGCTGCTGATGTTCTAGGAACTCCTCAGGAGACCTACTTCAAGTCTCAGGCAGAATGGAGGGAGGAGGTGAAGAAGCATTTTGAGAAGATAAAAAGCGAAGGCACGTGCATCCACAGGCTGGACGAGGAGCTGATCCGTCGCAGGAGGGATGAACTCAGGTGTGTTAGCTAAGAAGTGCTAGTCGTGTGTCCCTGTTTATAGAACACTCCTAAAATGTTCCTTTGCATCTTCAGGCACGCGCTGGACATCCGGGAGCACTACGAGCGGAAGCTGGAGAGAGCCAACAACCTGTACATGGAGCTTAGTGCCATCATGCTGCAGCTGGAGGTCCGAGAGAAGGAACTGATGAAGTACGTAAGCAAGTGGTTTTAATTCAGATTTTGCCTGTTCGTCATATAAAACTGATGTTTTTGTGGTGTAGGAGAGAGCAGGCAGTGGAGAAGAAATACCCCGGCTCCTACAAACGCCACCTGGTCCGACCCATCGTCAGGTCCAATGCCGTCGAGAAGCTCATCAAGAAGAAAGGAAGCATCTCCCACAAACCCGGAATGCCTCCAACCAAAAGGTCTGCGCTCCATCTAAACGTTCCTGTTTTATAAATGTTATCTAGACTTTAAATGTTCATCTGAATAAAGCCGGGCGTACACTGTGCGACTTTTTCACTTTTTTGAGCCGATTTTCCAGTCGTGCGAGAATCCACGACATCGGGGCGAGTTTTGTGCCGAGCGGTCGTGTAGTGTACAGGGGGTTACGAGAGGCGATTAACACCACGTGACCAGCTGCCGATCAGCAGTCGTGAGGTCGCACGGACTTCTGGTGTGTTTAATATTTCGCTCATTCCTCGTGAGGGTATCGCACTGTTGAAGCGGCGCTGCGAGCAGCTACGATCCAAAAAGTATCAGAACCGCTCACGGCGCATGCGCGCGCAATCCTGCATCAACGCCGGTCGCTCGCTACTTCCCTAATAACACACGCTGTTCGTTTTTATTTCTACACGTTTTTTTACTCACAAAGATTGTCAAGAAAGCGTGTTTGTCGTGTTCATGTCAAATTAAACTGATCACAAAACACAGATTTACTTTCTTTATTTCGTTTTCCTCATCCAACCCCCATAAATCCCTGTGTGTCCTCCTGCAGCACTCCCGAAGGACAACAGGCAAGACAAAAAAGTCTGACGTGTTGAGTAAAAACTGCTATTTTTAGCATATTTTTAGGGCCGACGTGTTGCTACCAGACGTACAGTGTGAGCAGTCAGGTCGCATGCGAGAACTGGGTCGTGCAGTGTGAGCACATGACTCGTGAGATCTGCTCTGCGAGGAAGTCGTACAGTTTGAGCTGAAGCTGAACGCTGCGAGTGAAAAAGTCGCACAGTGTACGCCCGGCTTTAGACGACAAACAGAAACAGGAGTGTGAGCTGTTCATGCAGGATAAGCAAAAGCTGGAAACCCTCGTTAACCATTAAACAATTGTTGCAGCAGCTGCTTAGACTGCTTATCGAGTCTTAACGGGGTCATTTAGTAATTCCTTTTTGTTAATTCCCTCTGGTGTGGCTGAGAGGAGCTTGAATTTTAAATAGCAGCAACATAGGAATCATTTAGACTTAATTATTCTTACGCCTTTTAAAGTAAAGAAAGATTTAAAGATTTTAGAGACTTTTGCACTGAAAAGGTCATTTGGTTAACAAAAAGTAAATATAAAAATTAAAAATAGCACAAGTCCAGATGCAATAAAGCCAGGTCACCATCAGTCCTTGGTTTAGTAGTCTACTTCAGCTCCCGGAAATGAGTGTAGGCTGTGCCGATGTTCACTCTGGTTTAACTCTTTGCTTTCTTTTCAAAGACATTACTCACTTACTTTTACTTCCAGGCTCCGCCATGATGCCAACAGAAGAGCTAAATTATTCTTCTTCTTGTGCTTTTATTGATGGTCAGCAAACTGAAAAAGCTAACTGCTACCCTTAATATTAGCTACCGGCAGAGTAAACAGCTGTTGCCTTGAAGCCGGTAGAGACTTCCCACTAGTGTTCCTACCCGAACCACGTAACCGTAAGCAGAGTGCTGTTGAATGTGAAGCTGGTCATGTTTCTGTCTCAAGAACAACTGAAACCAGTTTGAAAGCAGTAAAAACTGCTAAAGGGGTAAAAACTCTTTAGTGTTGCTTTAAGTTCAACGTACAAAACCTTGCCTTACATGTGTTATGAGTTGTCCTTTAAATTGATTGTTGAATGTTTCACCTGCAGGCCGGACTTGCTTCGCTCTGACGGCATCCCCAGCATCGACCCCCTCCCTTCCCCGTCGCCGCTCTCAGCCAGCCCTAAGATCTCCACCCCTCCTGGGAAAACGCGCTACAGAAGCAAGCCTCGCCACCGCCGCGCCAACAGCAAAGGAAGCCACAGCGAGTTTCCTGGAGCGTTAAAGCCTGTCCCTGGGGTGCCAGAGGACACACAGTCTTTGCAGGAACAAATGTTCCACCACCACCACCATCACCACCACCCGCCACCACCATCCACTGAGGGGCAATTTCTCCCCCTGAAAGGCCGCGAGGAGGCCGTCGTTAATTGTGCCAACAATCTGCGCTACTTTGGCCCCGCTGCTGCTCTCCGCAGCCCTCAGACCGACCACCCGCAGCGCCGCGTTTCCGGCTCCAGCCCTGACCTCATTTCCACGGCGATGGACGTAGACACGCGGCAGCGGACGTCATCCACTGGCTCCAATCCCGTTTCAGGTGCAGGTTCTTTGTGCCCCTGCTGCCAGGCTCACCCCATCCCTGGCTGCTTGCACTGTCAGGAAACCCCTCCCACACTGAACCCACCGGTGTTGCCACACTGCTCTCTGCTTAATGCACAAGAAGGCACTCAGTTGTCTCTGAGGGTGCCCAACAAAGATTTGGTTTCAGGTGGAGAGGGCACGAATACGGCTGACCCTCAGGCTCAGGACCCCACCCAACCTAAACACCCCCTCCCCTCTGCACTGCCCCGCACCCTCAGGCCTCTCAGAAAGGTGAGGGCAGACTTTAGTGGGTGTTTGTGTGTTGAATACACACTTTTTGTGGATTAACAGCCATTTCTGCTTCTTCAGGGTGGTGATGAGTCATCCGAGGAGGAGGAGGGAGAGGTGGATAGTGAAGTGGAGTTTCCAAGGAGACAGAGGTAAAATCCAGACTATTTAGTTAACAGACCTGACCTTTAATGTGTAGCAACACTATTAAATCAATTCAAGTAATTTATCTTTCACACATAAAGCCTCCTTCTCCTGACTCCTAACAGACCTCATCGCTGTATGAGCAGCTTCCAGTCCTACTCCACCTTCAGCTCAGAAAACCTGTCGGCATCCGACGGCGAGGAGGGGAACACCAGTGACCACTCCCACAGTGGCCCCCTGGAGAAGCTGAGCACCAGTCAGGAGGAGCACTTGGACGAGCTGCTGTCTCACACACCAGACATCCCCATCGACATCTCCACACAGTCGGACGGTCTCTCTGACAAGGAGTGCGCCGTCCGCAGGGTGAAGACGCAGATCTCGCTCGGGAAGCTGTGTTCCGACGAGCATAGCTACGAGGTCGGTGGATTTAAAGGGATAAAATGATCATTTTACCAGAAATTGCTAAAACAGGCAAAGGAAGTGTAAGGAAATAGAGTGATGTAACTATCTAGAGTTGTATTTTAATACACTGTAAGTAGATCACTTGTTATAATCAGAAGATGGGCTGTTTTTATCATCAGGGAGTTTAATTAAACACTCTGTATTGACTTTGAGACAAGAAAAGAGAGAGAGTTGGGATCGTTTGAGAATCTTTAATTTCTTAATTATAAATTCTTAACAATCTACCAGGACTAACTCTGTGATGGATGAAAATGGATTTGGATGTTGTGTTGGTGCGTGTGTGTGTGTGTGTGTGTGTGGTTGGTTCCGACTCCTTAGGCTGACGTCATTGAATCTGGTCGTCTTTGTTATGACTAGATATCACGAGGCTTATAAGTGATGACATGAGCTGCTATTTTGCCGTGTACGTACCCAGTGGGGGGCCTCCCAGGTAGATCAGGAAATGCCAGGTCCAAGAACCTCGGATGTGTACTGGAGCTGTTCGGAGCAGCGGTCGCAGCACGTCAAAGCCCGTCTGATGGGTCGACCCCGGTACCAATCGGCAGCGTCAGCAGGTGCTCTTATTTTGAAAGGATGTCGTCTGGTTGTTAAACGACGAAAATCTCCAACTTCACAGTTCTTAGTTTAAAGAAGAAAACACATCTGGCCAGGCTGTGCTTCTCTTTGGGATGACGGTGAATAGAACTGAAGTCAAAATGGAACTGAGCTTAAAATGGCGTTGCCTTGTTTTATATCTCTGAATTGTTGATAAGTTTTAGTAAAGCGGATTGGACACTTTAAGTCAACAAGCCAGATTCTCCTGCGGCAGCCGAAAGCTCTGATTGGTTGGAACAATGTGTCATGCGTTTCTATGGAGATGAGGGTCAGTCTGTCTGTGCAGTAGTCCTGTTTTCATTAAACACATAAATCATGACATCTTTATTCCACAGATCATTCACTTGATTAATTATTGATCAACATCTGTTTCGAATAGCTTTAATCACAAATTAAGTACTTTGATTATTGAAAAGCTTCTTCTTCTCCTTCTGGCTCTTCTCCTGGAATGTAAACAGTCTGAGGAACACCCGACCTTGGCGTTTTCTACACGGGTGTTACTGTGCACAGGGGCAGCTGTGTGGAGCTGAAAATAATGAACTTCATAACCTTACAAAAGTATGATTTTTCTATTACTTTTCATCACAAAGCCATCCCTGATCCCGAATCTATGTTTTCTCCTTCGGCTCCCAGAATCCTCTGCAGTTTGGAGACTCTGAGTGCGACTCGTCCGAGGCAGAGTGCTCCGACACCACCATCAGAAACAACAAAAGCGGCGCTCCGTCCTCGTGGTGAAACGTTTCTGCCTGGTCTACCTCCGTTACATACTCCTCCCAACTTCGGGCTCCACAGAAAACTCAGCAATAAAAGTACAAGACAGCAAACTGAACCCTCCTAACGAAGTCCAACGTCATCTCTCCCAGAACCTCTCTTCCCTCCGTCCCCTCATCCAGCACCGCACCCAGGCAACACATGGCAGGGAAATCCTTTTGAATGATGATGTACAGTCGATAGATTAGCATTCTTAATTTATTTTTGTCAAGAGTTTTGAAAAGAAATTCAGGACCTTTGTGAGTTCTCTGATCTGAACAGAGGAGAAAAATGACACTGAAACTAAGCGTGTGTGTGTTGGGATGAAGATGAGGATGCAGACAATGATGATGATGATGAGAATGTGTAGATGTTTCTGAGGCCAACAGAAGTAGAGAGCTGCATCACTACAGGCCTTCATCTTTCTACATCCTTCATCTCCCTAAAAACAAAAGAAGCAATCTCTCTTATTACTGTTTGAGCTGACTTGTTATGAGTTCTCAGCGCTGAGACCTGGTTCTCCTCTTCCCCCGCTTTGTGTTTGTCCCCTACTGTGGCCGAAACAGGAAACGACGATCTCATGGAAACAGCGTGAACACCAGCATGAACAACCTGCCTCCCAAACCGACTTCCTCCCTGTCTAAAGTCGCTGTTTTGTCATCAGGACCCTCCTTCCCCATTTAAGCATGTCCGTGCAGCTTGCAAAATGCAAAAAAGAAAAAAGCTTTACAACGATGGCATGAAGCAGATAAGCTAGCAGAACAACAAATGATAAATTAGCTGAAAGCTAATTTAAAAACACTCTTCCTCTCTGATCCTGCTTATCTGCCTCTCTAATCAAAAATCTGATGTCACGACCAGAGCATTCGAGGGAGTTATTGTTTGTGCATATGTGAACAATAAGCCCCTCCCTCATCGTTAGACATTACAGTTTCAAGTCTCATCTCAGGATCGCTCGAAGACTGTGAAACTGAACTTGGCCAATTATGAGGGAATGTTCGACAGCCCGAACCGGAAACATGGGCTCATCCAACTGTGGACCCACCACCCGCAGGAGGAACATGAAGGGTCCGGTGCAATGTGGATCGGGTGGCAGACCGAGGCGGGAGCCTTGGTGGTCCGATTCCTGGACAATGAAACTGGTTATTGGGACATGGAACGTCACCTCGCTGGCGGGGAAGGAGCAGGAGCTTGTGGCAGACGTTGAGCGGTAATTCAAATTCAAAGATATTTTATTAATCCCAGAGGAAAATTAGAGTTTCAGTACACACAATTCAGAGATCAGACATACATGGGTAAGACATATGACAAGAATTGGTGACTGTGGTCATTCGCAGCCCTCAGTTGCGCTACCTCTACCGGCTAGGTATAGTCAGACTCACCTCGACACATCGCATTGGCTCTGGAACCCAAGTCCTTGAGAGGGGGTGGACGCTCTCCTTTGCTGGAGTTGCTCCGAGTGAGAGGCGGAGGGCTGGGGTTGGCTTTTTGTTAGCCCCAAGACTCTCTGTCTGTGTGTTGGGGTTTACCCCGGGGGACGAGAGGGTAGCTTCCCTGCGCCTTCGGGTCGGGGAACGGGTCCTGACTGTTGTTTGTGCTTATGGGCCAAATATCAGTTCAGAGTACCCACCCTTTTTGGAGTCCCTGGGATGAGTGCTAGATAGTACTCTATCAGGGAACACCATTGTCCTGCTGGGGGACTTCAATGCTCACGTGGGCAATGACAGCTTGACCTGGAGGGGTGTGATTGGGAGGAACGGCCCGCCTGATCTGAACTCGAGTGGTGTTTCGTTATTGGACTTCTGTGCAAGCCGCAGTTTGGCCATAACGAACACCATGTTCGAACATAAGGATGCCCATCGGTACACTTGGTACCAGGACAGCCTAGGTCGCAGGTCGATGATAGACTTTGTAGTCATATCATCTGACCTGCGGCCGTATGTTTTGGACACCCGAGTGAAGAGAGGAGCGGAGCTGTCAACTGATTACCACCTGGTGGTGAGCGGGATCAGATGGCAGGGGAAGATGCCGCGTAGACCTGGCAGACCCAAGCGCATAGTGAGGGTCTGCTGGGAACGCCTGGCAGAAGAACCTGTCAAGACGGTCTTCAACTCCCACCTCCGGCAGAGCTTTGACCACGTCCCGAGAGCAATGGGGGACATCGACTCCGAGTGGGCCTTGTTCCACTCTGCGATTGTTGAGGAGGCTGTTGCTAGCTGTGGTCGCAAGGCGGCCGGTGCCAGTCGTGGTGGCAACCCCCGTACCCCCTGGTGGACACCAGAGGTTCAGGGAGCCGTCAGGCTGAAGAAGGAGGCCTACAGGGCGTGACTGGTCTGCGGGTCTCTGGAGGCAGCAGACGAGTACCGGATAGCCAAGTGGGGTGCTGCAGTGGCAGTTGAGGTGGTTTGGGCATCTGGTCAGGATGCCTCCTGGACGCCTCCCTGGGGAGGTGTTTCGGGCATGTCCTGCTGGCAGGAGGCTCCCGGGTCGACCCAGGACACGCTGGAGAGATTACATCTCCGATCTGGTCCGGGAACGCCTTGGGGTCCTGCCGGAGGAACTGGTGGAGGTGGCCGGGGAGAGGACGGTCTGGAGCTCCCTAGTTGGGATGCTGCCCCTGCGACCCGGACCCGGATAAGCGGAGGAAGATGACGACGACGACGATGTTCTTCGACTGGCACCTATTCTGGACCATGCAGGAGTCTTAAAAAGCCTCGGTGTTCAGCCCTTTATTGCTGTCACTGTTTTTGTTTGCGATCCAGGTGCAGTATCCCAGTTTTCCCATGTATCGTTTTTCTAGCAGGATTGTTAACTCTGTCGGTTTTTTATCATCTGCTCTGTTGTGAATTTAAACAGCAATAATATTAATGAGGTTGACCACTCAGGATGCAGGACATCTAGCTGGCTAGACACAACCACACTGATGGATGGCTCTGTCTTTAAGTTGCACCTCCCCCTTTTTTGGGTTTTGCCTTTCCGGCTTGGATGCTCAGGTTTTCTATTGCTGATTGACAGCAATATGATCAACAGCCACTAGATGGTGATAGCTACATGCACTTATTTTGCCTTTTTTTATGTGAAAACCCAGATTTTTTTTTATTTATAATCCCAAACCGAGTTTCCCCCTATGACCACTCAAGTCTTAAACGCCCAGCAATATGAACTTTTCTTCATCTGATCGTCTTCAAAGAGGGATACTGCATTTGTGAAAGCTCTTTTTGTTTTGTCATTAATTTCTTAATCTTGTTTCAGGGTTACATTGAACTATAAAGGTGTCATGTTGTGTGTGCAAGCAGCTGTGAAAGGAACTAAAGCCAGAGAAAAGCCCACAGAGCTAGAAGCTGCTCTTGGTTCCCACATCTCAGTGTTAATCCTACATATAAAATAAATGTAAATACTGTGTAATCTGTCTTTCCTCCCCACCTTTTCTCTTATTAACGTATTGCACATCTCTGACAACCTGCTGACTGGTTGAAAAACAACAGAAAAGTACTTGTATCAGTATTGAACACTACTACATGAAGGTGTAAACTCTTTTGCCGGTGGGTGAATTAAAATTTGCTTGAGCTTTTTGGAATTCCTGCTAATAAACTAAAGAGCTGCAGCTTCTCCGTTGTTTTAGTTCTTGTGAAATGACCTCAATTAATGTGACGGCTGGGTAATAGATCTTTGTAACTGGTATTTCTGGCTGTGAAGTATGATTGTTGTGAACTTTTATTTTATTCTTTTTTTTTTGTAGCTGGCCTACATAATTATTGAATTAATTTATTTGACACGACTGGTCAGGCGGTGTGTTCTTATAATTTCAGGCAGCTTCAGAAATGTCACGACCAACTATGTAGGGAAGCACAATGAACCAGTGGGAAGAGGACAGTATTTGTGTGGTAGAACAAAAGCATCAGGGGACCGTTCATCCTTTTTCTCTCATCTCATTCCTCTCATTTATAACCAACAGCAATGTATGAAACATGTGTTTTTTTTCCAAATCCCCATTCCCTGTTGTATGGCACTACGATCAACCAATCCTGTCAGTTTCCTGTATTATTCAGTGTACAGTGCAATAGGAGAATAAAATCAAAGCAAACAACTGCATGGAATAAATGCTGACGTACTGTACTCAAACCATTTTGCTTGTCTTTTTTTGTCTCTACAAATGTATTAAATGAGAAATGTTGAATCAGATGGATTTTGGTGAGCATTGCACAGCAGAACATCTACTCTTGAGACTGTCATTGAGCAGCAGCTGTCCTTCACCACCTGATGAGCCTAAACGTGCAGCTCTTGTTTGCATCAAAGATGCTAAAGGTGTGTCTCAAATCTGCTGAGCAGGTATTTGATCAGCTATAATCTTAAATTGGATTAAAATCAGTTTTTTTTTAATTAGTTAAGTATCAGATAAGTTGCTTTCCTCTCAGAAATTGCTTGATATTATTTTAATTGTTGCATTAGCAGTCAAATTCAAAAATACACCAGAGAAATGTTTAATATATTCGTATATTATGTATTAATGTACCGGTATTACAGTATCTATATAAATGTCACGGCCTTCGTTGTTTTTTGTAGTTCATGTGGGTCGCGATGGGGGCGCTTTAGCAACGCGAGGCAGCCAAGACCACGACGAAGAGCGAAGGGGAGCCAAAAGTCTCCTCCCTTTCCGGTCGGGTAATGGTGCCAAAATTGTACGTGATTCGGGAAGTTTACTTTCTGGTTAGGGTTAGCCTCACGCCCTGAATGACGCATATGTACTTCAGTTTAAATGGTAAATAATTATGAGTGTTTCGACTAATTTGAGATTTATTCAAGAAGAAACCGGAAGTAGGTGGGTGCGTGATGCCTCGAATCGAGAACAGGTAGAAGAAAGAAGATGGGTGCTGGTGACCGTAAAACATAGCAAAGGTAAACTAGCTGTAATACTTTACATTTTATTCTTCTCCACATAACGGCTACACTTACTTGTATCTATCTTCACACAGTCTTAGCGTAGTCATTTCTGCCCACCGTTGACGCAGTTTGATTTGTTTGCGATGTGTAGCGTTTCCTTTCTGTCAAGCAGTTTTAACATTCAATGAATGAAACGGCGTGATTTATCCCACAGTGAGGAAATTCGCATGTTAAGGCAACATATACACAACGAGAGTAAGAATACAAATCAGATTCACACAGACCTAGCCGGGTATCCCACAAAAAGAATATACTTTCTAAGGTTTAGCCTGTCATCCACATGAAAGTTAAAATATACTACATCTAAAACTCTGACCAAGTGTGAAGTCACTGTTTTCAGGATTTGCTTGTGGACGTGTATATGGAAGGGATTTTGGTTTTGTAATATCACTTCCTCTGGCAAGAATGCTCTGACGTCACATGTGCGACATGTGTTTACAATCGCGTGTGTTACAAGGTTAATTACTGCCCTTTGCAGAAGATCACAGACCTAATTATTCCATGCCCAAGAAGTGCATTTCATCAATGGCATCCACTGTGAGATGCAGTGGGTGAGAGGATTTGTCCAAGATGGATGTCTGCTTTGAAGAAATAAATGAGCACACTGCAGCTGGGACTAGCAACCGAGGAATAGAAAAGCCTCCAGCCTCCATTTTCTATTCCATGGATGTCAGCTTTGTCAGCATCCTCCCTTTACCCACATCCCCAACTGAGTCCAGCAGGCAGTCCAGGACCGAGCTAGCAGTCTCTTCCTGCCCTGATCCAAGCTGCCTGCACCCAAGGAGAGCATAGCTAAATGAATAACAAAGCCAACAACAGAGTGATAAAAAGTCCTTGGCAGATGGGCATTAACTCCAAAAAGACCTCATCCTCCTCAGGAGGTGGATGAGGCTTTGGTCTTTCTTATACAGTATTATGGGACCAGTTCATATTATTGTTTCTGCCTAAAAGTATCCACCGCCTCAGTATCTGGATCCCAAATGTTCACTGGTGTTTGAGGAGGGGTCTTTCTTTTGTCTTACTGGTGTTGACCTAAGTAATGTTTTGCCAAAGGTTCAGTTGAGCAGAAAAAATGCCAAATATAAGTTATGGCTTTCTTCTAGAGGCCGACCGATATGGGTTTTTTAAGGCCGATACAGATTTTTAAAGATTTTTGTTGCCGCTATCTAAAGCCGATTATTAAGGTCGATGTGTGTGTGTGTTTTAGCAGCACATTGATTGTGAGAGACAACTGAACACTCACTGTGTGCAATATAAATTTAAGTATTTTAATCTCTTAATATTTATTGAACTTCGATTGTAAAACAAACTCAAAACATAAAAAAAAAACATGCGTGTTGGGGTCCTTCGGGTCCTTTCTTTAGTATAGGAGTGGTGGCAGTTGGCCACACAGGTGCCTGATTGTGCCGATATAGAAAAAAAATGGAATACAGTGGACCGATATATCATTCGATCTCTACTTTCGTCCTATTTTTAAATGGACAATAAACTTCAACTAAAAACTCAGATCTTGCACATCAAGGTGGGATCTTTTACCTGTTATCGTCATTATAAAATTAAACAAAAAAAATCACTACTTTTTGCTTTTTATACATTCTGAACTGTATTCAGTGTCCTATAGGACAAGTGCCTAAGAGAAGTTTGGTCAGTTCTTGAAAGGTTTTTTTCTGTTTCTTGGGTTAGAAAGCAGGCTTTCTTGGACAAATTACCACCATATTTACTTTATGTTGTGTCTCCGGTCAGAAGTAGACACAGTACACACTTATCTCTGGCTCGGGCTGCATGGTGGTGCAGTGGTTAGCACTGTTGCCTCACAGCATGAAGGGTGCAGGTTCGAGGCTCGGCTGCGGCCTTTCTGCGTGGAGTTGCGTGTTCTCCCCTTGTATGCGTGGGTTTCCTCCGGGTACTCCGGTTTCCCCCACAGATCACAACATGCCCTATAGGTTATAAATTGTAAGTCGCTTTGGATAAAAGCATCTACCAAATGAATAAACATAAACATCTCACCAGCTTCTCTTCAACATTCCCTGAATCTGCTTAGAACTTGGTCAAAAAACTTTCACTGAAGCTGCAAAAGTCATTAAAACTCCAACAATTTATTCCAATTACCAATTTTAAATCTTTTAACTGAAGAGTGTCAATGTTTTTAGGAAAAGCCCTTTAAGATGATTTTTTATGGTGTGTTATTCTTGTGTTTTATCTTTGTTAATTACTATTTTGTTTTTAAGTGACTTTCATGAAGGTTTTTTTGTCTTTACCTTCAATTATAACTGTACACCGGTGTGCCTTTTGTCCAAGGAATTTCTGGTAGAATAAAGGTCAAAAATGTCCTCAGCTGAACACAAAAGCTGGATCTTTCATCTCATGCTTTTTTTTTCTGAAACAACATCCTAATCAGCTTTCTTGTTTTGTTTCTATTGCAGCTGTTAGCAAAACCCAGCTAAATCAAACGACTACGATTGCCGATTAGCATCTGTTCCAGTGTACTTCACCTCAACCAGACGTCTGTTCTATATGGATCTGGAAAGCGGGAATGCAGGTACTGCTACAGGATTTCATGTGCATGTGCGCGCACGTGTGTGTGTGAGAGAGAGAGAGAGAGAGAGAGGGTCTGGTTATTTTATTAAACAATAAAATTCATCAAACTATCAATACTTCCTAATTAGGGCTGAAACGATTCCTCGAGTACCTCGAATAATTCGAGTACAAAAAATCCTCGAGTCAAATTCTCTGCCTCGAGGATTCGTTTAATTCATGTTTAATTAATTCATGGCGTTGCAATCGCCCGGGGTCATGTTTCACCCGGACTGAAATAAGTGACGCACATGCCCACTGGGCTGAATCAACGCACACGCGAGTAGCGAGTGTAACTTAACTTTCTCTTAAGCCATGGCGGACAACGTGGACCCCGGTGGAGTGCGAAAAAGACAGAAAATGTCAAGATGTGGGACCATTTTTCACGTCGTAAGGTGGAAAACGTAGTCCAGTGTAAATACTGTAAAATGGATTTAGCCTACCACAACACCACATCCTCCATGCTGCAGCATCTGTAAATGTCACTTCTGCAAGCGGACTCGGAGCCTCTACATTTTAGCCTGTATTTCTATATATTCTGCGGGCACTGTGCGACTTTTTCTTTTGTAGCACTCAGTTTCAGCTCGCACCGTACGTCTGGTAGCAACACTTCGGACTTAAAATGTGCTAAAAAATAGCAGTTTTTACAACACGTCGGACATTTATTGTGTTGTTATTGACGTCTGTTGTCCCTCGGGATCGCTGCAGGAGGACACAGGTATTTATGAGGAAAACGAAAGAAAGTAAATAAATGTTTTGTGATCAGTATAATTTGACAAAACCACAGCAAACATGCTTTCTCGACAATCCTTGCTATTGTGTGAGAAAAAAAGTGTAGAAATTAAAACGAACGTGTGTTAATAGGGAAATAGCCGGCGAGCTGTTTGCGCATGCGCCGTGAGCGGTTCTGGTTCTGTTTGGGCCGCAGCGCTACTTCAACAGTTATCCTCCTAGATTTTGTCTGGCTTGCAGGCTAGCAGATTCTCGCGCGAGGGGAAAATCGGCTCAGGTTGTGTACTTATTTTTTGTGCAGGCATTTGTTTACTGTGAAGTAAAGTGCTGAAGTTTTGCAAACTAATTTTGAATAAAACTTGAAGAATAACTGGCAATTGCTCGCTCATTTTAAGAGGTATTTCATAATTATAACATGCTATTTGATATAATGGTTTACAAACACAAAAGGGTAATTTATTAGAGTACTCGATTAATCGAAAAAAAGATTCGATAGAGTACTCGATTACAAAAATATTCGATAGCTGCAGCCCTATTCCTAATTTCTAGTCCAGGACTTCACTGTACAGATGGTTTCTGCAGCCATATTTCAGATAACAAAAACAAGAAAACTTAGACTCCAACTTAAATAGACTCCATCTTTTCTTTCTTTCACAGTTCAGTCAGTTAACACTTTCATGCAGTAATTATTGCACTTTTAATACATTTTCACATTTCCAAGGGGGAAACTGTTTCCCAAAGGGAAGCCAACACAGAAGTAACAGAAATAACAGTTCCTCCTACATCTGCTCGGGGCTGGCTCTAGAAAGGAACACACTCCCATTGACTACCATGTAAAAGCCCCTGCTCTTTCTGGGGTGCTCCCGAGAAGGTGAAAAGATCACCAACACTAGCCCGCTAAGCGCAACACTATAAAAGAAAACAAACAGGTCTTTCCCTAAAGAGGGAGAGCCTCTGAGCCTGCCTGTGGGGGTCATCTTTAGATCCAAATCTCCTCTCCTCATGCTGGGCTGGATCAAGCCCAACCAGCAGTGAATCCTCCAGCTGGGCTGGGCCTCCAGAAGCACCCGCCAGTCATCCACAAAGCCATCTGTTGCTTAAAACCTTCAAAACAAAACACCATTAAAATACCACCAACAGGGATTGTACGTTTCTTCACGGTCTATGTAGGTACAATATCCCGGACGAGCCCCCATTTGTTACGTGTCCGACAGGAGATGTTAAAATGCGAAGGAGGGGGTAACATAAGAAATACGACAGTTGAGTTAAAATGGTTTTAATTGTTGTAAAAGGTTCTAAAAACAAGAGCAAACAGATGACGAGCATTATTAAAATAATGCAAAATGAATAATTCACTATACGGTTAACAGTTAAAAGACAAAGTATCAACTATATAAACACCTGGTTAAAACTTTATTAAAAGCTTTACCTAAACTGAAGGTGTTTTAAAAACACAACAAAGTTGATAAGTCTAAAAACTAAAACAGAGTTAACCTTAAAACAGAGTCAACTAAGTTGACATCAACCAAAGATCCCTATGGATCACTCTGAGTTTTTCCCTCTAAAACTTCTCAACTCAGAGTTAACACTTTAAAAGTTAAAACTCATCACAAACGAAGTGGTTGAAAACAAAATGAGGCCTGGAGGACAGCAGATCCCCTGCACTGCTGCCTCCCAGACTGCTGAAGGCACAGCCTTTTTATCCCAGGTGTGGGTCATCAGCAGGACTCAGCTCAGCTGTGCTCCTCCACAGCCTGGAAGAGAGGAGGGGGAGGGGCGGTGTCAGGCTTGGTCACCAGGGCTGGGTGATCTTGGCTCCTGCATCTCACTGGCCAGGCTGGTAGCCGTAACAAGCAGTGCCTGGTTTTCTCCACACATACTGCTTCTTGGTCTCATCAGACCAGATAATCTTATTTCTCACCATCTTGGGGTCCTTCAGGTGTCTTTTATCAAACTCCATGCAGGCTTTCGTGTGTCTTGCACTGAGGAGAGGCTTCTGATGACTCACTCTGTCATAAAGCCCTGACTGGTGAAGGGCGGCAATGGTGGTTGACTTTCTACAACTTTTTCCCCTTCTCCTAACTGCATATTTGGATCTCAGCCACAGTGGTCTTTTGGTTCTTCTTTACCTCTCTTACAAACGCTCTTCTCCCCCAGTAGCTCAGTTTGGCCAGACGGACTGCTCTAGGAAGGAATCTGGTCGTCCCAAATGTCTTACATTTAAGGATCATGGAGGCCACTATTAGGAACCATAAGTGCAGCAAAGATTTTTTTTTTTTTGTAACCTTGGCCAGATCTGAACTCTTCAGGCAGTTCCTTTGACCTCGTGATTCTTATTTGCTCTGACATGCATTGTGAGCTGTAAGGTCTTATTTAGACAGGTGTGGGCTTTTCTAATCAAGTCCAATCAGTATAATCAAGCAGAGCTGGACTCCAATGAAGGTGTAGGACCATCTCAAGGATGATCAGAAGAAATGGAAAGCACCTGAGTTAAATATGAGTGTCACAGCAAAGGGTCGGAAAACTTATGGGCCATTCCCATCTGTACGGGGTCGGCCCGGGCCGGGTAGCGTACGTTGTTTACATATCTGGGTGGCCTGGTATTTTTCCGGGCCAACCAAGGCTCATTCTCAGCCCTCTTCTCGAGGGGGTCTGCTTCAGGCCGACCAGGGCCAACACACCCACTGCTGACAGCAAATTCACACCTTCCATTAGAGCAAGCCTCTGATTGGTGGGTAGAATCAGCCCACATGGAATTCTGTGTTTTTCCGTGAACATGGGGTGCTTTGTGTACCGGTACTTTAATGAGGAAAAAAATGAATGTAACTGATTTTAGAAAATGGCTGCAATATAACAATAAGTGAAAAATTGACGGGGGTCTGAATACTTTCCGTACCCACTGTATATATGCGAGTATAAAATTATAGTGGTCAGAAATTCACTTCATATGTTTCTGTGTTTCCTACAGATGTTCAACAAGTAGTGCTGGTCAAAGAAGAAGCTCCTGAAGAACAGAGTGCTGGTGTGAACCAGCAGGACCCAGAACAATTCCACATTAAGGAGGAACAGGAAGAACTCTTGACCTGTCTGGAGGAAGAGAAGCTCCATGTAAAGGAGGAGACTGATGGTGCCAGGTTTCCCTTCATTGTTTGTATAAAGAGTGATGCTGATGAAGAAAAACCTTTGTTATCACAGCTTCAGCAGCAGCAAATAGAAGATAAAGATGTTCCGACCTGCAGCTCAGCTGACCAGATGACAGCAGAAACTGGTGGGGGAATAAAAATGAGCAGAAACCCAGATGTGAACCCTCATGCACAGACATCTGGTTCTTCAGAGACTGAAGTTAGTGGAGATGATGATGAAGAAGAACATGGTGTGAATCTAGTCCAGACAGAACAAAATTTATTTAGTTGTGATGACTGTGGTAAAAGATTTAGGGGAAAATCGAGTTTAAACACCCACATGAAACTCCACACTGGACATAAACCTTTTGCTTGTGAGTTCTGTAGACGAAGATTTAGCCATAAGTCTAATTTGAACCGTCATGTGAGAGTCCATACAGGACAGAAACCTTTTGCTTGTCAGGTCTGTGGACAAAAATTTAGCCAGAAGTCAACTTTAAACAGCCATACGAGAGTCCACACAGGCCAGAAACCTTTTGCTTGTGAGCTTTGTGGACAAAGATTTAGCCATAAGTCAACTTTAAACAGTCATACGAGGGTCCACACAGGACAGAAACCTTTTGCATGCGAGTTCTGTGGACAAAGATTTAGCACTAAGTCAAATTTAAACAACCACATGAGGGTCCACACAGGGCACAAACCCTTTGTTTGTGAGCTCTGTGGACATGGATTTAGCCAAAATGCACATCTAAACAGTCACATGACAGTCCATACAGGACAGAAACCTTTTGCTTGTGATCTCTGTGAATTAAAATTTAGCCGAAAGTGTAATTTAAGTAAACACATGAGTGTCCACACAGGACAGAAACCATTTGCATGTGAGGTCTGTGGACAAAGATTTAGCCAAAATTCACATTTAAGCTGTCACATGACAGTCCACACAGGACAGAAGCCTTTTTCTTGTGAGGTCTGTGGACAAAGATTTAGCCAAAAGTTTACTTTAACCAAACACATGAGTGTCCACACAGGACACAAACCCTTTGCTTGTGAGGTCTGTGGACAAAGATTTAGCCAAAAGTTTACTTTAACCAAACATATGAGAGTCCACACACGGCAAAAACCTTTTGATTGTGGGCTCTGTGGACAAGGGTTTAGCCAAAAGTCAAATTTAAACAACCACATGAGAGTCCACACAGGACAGAAACCTTTTGCCTGTGAGCTCTGTGGACAAAGATTTAGCCGAAAGTCTAATTTAAAGAAACACACCAGTGTTCATATAGAACACAAAGAATCGCAAGACTGCAAATCTGTCTTTCTTTGAATATTTGTTTTTAGGTATTTTTGATTTTATTATTATTTTGTTTAAATTTCAGGACACATTTACTTTTAAGTGCTTGCTGATACCGAGTACCAATAAAGGTATTAATAAATGCTATTGCACTCCATTTTTTGTACTGTCATACATAATAGAAGCACATGCTTGGGGACATCCGCAATCCTGAGAAGGCTGCGTGAGTCCACGGTGTGAATTAAACCTGGCCATGCAGGGGTGGACTGACGTAATCAAGACCAGACTGGGTCGGGCCAGATGTGAAAATTCCATAAAGGGTGGAATCTGATGGTGAATTTGATTATAGCTTCTGCTTTGTGCTGTAGCTAAAATAATATTTTTCAACAGGCAGTTTCCTCTTTGCCCAAGGCTATGAGATATGGTTAGTTAGCATAGTGTTTTTTCACCTCCCCAGCTCTCTGAAGTTGTGAGATTAGACACCAATTGTGGAGACGGATGCCTAAATATGTGGCCTAATTGTTAAAAAAAAAACTGGAAGAAGGGAAATGAAAGGGTTAGATGCTGCAAGTTAGGACATACTCCAGGAACATCCAAAGTTTGTGTGACTGTAATCCTCTTTCATATTGCAATAAGCATTAAAACTTTCTTGATGGAATCCAGGACTGTTCTCTCATAGTTTGGTAATTTTTTATAATAAAATTATGCAACAAAGAACAGAAATGTTCACCATGAATAAAAACTAAAACTGGGGAAACATTTACTTGTGAGTTAAAGCTGTTCAGAGAGACTCGTGCAGAATTTTGTGATGGTTATCAGAGTCATTGCTCTGTGTAATTCTGCAAGGGGTATGATGATGGATGAAATTCAGATATTGCTTTTCAGCCTTGCTTCAACAGAATTATTTGAAAGAAAACAAACTCACGGAACAGGCCTGGACAAAAATGATGGTACCCCTAACTTAATATTTTGTTTCGCAACATTTTGAGGCAATCGTTGCAATCAAACATGTTTACAGCCTGGTTCAAAAAAAGTTTTATGTTTAATATGTCAAATTTCAAATCATGACGGAAGGGAATTTTCATAACTCGCCCATTTAAATGTAATTAAAGCTTGAAATGATTAATTATTAAGGGTGTGTCTTTTTGATTGCAAGGTGTCAGATGAGTCTCTAGCACTAGCGGCTTACCCCATGCATGAATTGGCTAAATGTAAGGAAGGTCCCTTTCTTGCCTTTCTCCTGAGAAGATCTTATTTTGGCTGTTTTATTTGGCTGCTAAATGTCATCTGATAAGGTAATTCAAAAATGTAATCAGGCAGAGAAACAATGCAGGATAGTGGCCACTGTGCTTAACTAAATAATCTTGTAGATGAATGACAGTGCTACATTGATAACACAACAAAGGTTTCAAGTATTTTAATAGGATACAGCCAGCATCAGTGTAACAAAGGGCTCAAATGAAATCCATATGAATAAATAAGGATGTTTATTATATAAAGGGACTATAAAATGTATTAAAAACATTAAACCTCAAAACCAAATAAAGAGACCTCTGCAACTCATCTCTGCAGGTAGAATGAAACATGATGAAAACTGTCGGCATGTTTTTCTCCAAAAGAGTTCCTCATGAAGAAACAGATTCATCAGTAATACTACATGGAAAAAAATTTGAAATGGTGCAACAATATAAATACTTGGGAGTTGTTCTAGACTCACAACTTACCTTCAAGCAACAAGTAAAAAAAACAGTAATGAAATTCAACATATCAAACTTTAAATACATTAGAGAAAACTTAACACTAGAGTCAGCAAAACTTTATTTTAATGCTATGGTCGTTTTACATGACTTATTGTATATCAAGTTGGACAAAGGTAAACAAAACCACATTAAAACCAATAACTACAGCATATAATCAAGCGCTAAAGGTTGTAGACAGAAAACCAAAAGCCATCATCATTGCAGAATTCTTGAAAAATACCAAATACTGAGCTGGGAAAACATGATTAGATATACAGATTCAATACTTATGTTTAAAATATTACATGGACTGGCCGATTCCATTACAAGAGGACATTAAACAAAAAGGAAAAGACAATATATCGACCAGGGCGAGTTCCAGGGGTGACTGCCTGATCCCCTTCAGAAGAAGCACCTTTGGACAGATGGTGTTTTCATATCACGCCTCAAGAACATGGAATACAATTCCAACAGTGATCCGTAAACATAATACTGTGAATTCTTTTAGCAAAGAACTTAAATTGTGGCTCTTAGATACTCAGATCTGTTCACACAATCAAACATAAACAGAATACATAACAGTAAATTTAAGGACAAGGTAAAGAGTGTTTTTCCACTGAGGTAGGGACTATTATATTGTCTTGCTGCTAAATGGTGTATGATTATATTTTATATGTATGGAAAATTTTAACTTGTGAGGCTACTTTTTAAGTTTTAATACAGGGTAAACGAAAGTAGTTAATTTTACAAATTAGGGTGTATTATAAAATTTTGTATATTTATTTATTTTATTTTTTTTATTTTTTAGGTTTAATTTTAGGATCACAACATTGTTTTGTACTTGTTTTCCTGATTGCTGAGGGACTAAAGATGGAAATTAGCCTTGGCTATAATCTTGCATGTTTACATATGTGTCCATTAATATGTACTGTCCCTTTACAAATAAACTTAATCTAATCTAATATATTTTAAAAGCTGATACAGTGGGGCAAAAAAGTATTAAGTCAGCCACCAATTGTGCAAGTTCTCTTATTTAAAAGATGAGAGGCTTGTAATTTTCGTAGGTATACCTCAACTATGAGAGACAAAATGAAAAACATAATCCAGAAAAATCACATTGTCTGATTTTTAAAAAATGTTTTTTTTTTTTTTGCAAATTATGGTGAAAATAAGTATTTGGTCAATAAGATAATTCGTAAAATAATTATGGTCAACTCTGACCATGCTCTTCATGACACTGTCATGCATAGCTGATTATCTTTAGTTGGAGGCTTCTTCAGACCTGCTGCAGGAGATCATTCTTGCCCACAGCCATAAACCTATTTAACAACTCTCAAATATTATGAACTGAGATTGTCAGTCAGACCCACAGTAATTGTTTGAATGCTGTAAAACATTCAAACTATAGTGATCCTGTTTCTCTTTATAGTTAGTTATTAGTCGGTTTATTATTCTGCTTCTGTACGTTTTTTGGCATTTAATTACTTCCACAATTCTTCAACTATTTTCACAATTTTGGTATCAAAACGTTCAGCTTGTTCAGCTTATGCCACCAATGACTTTTGGTAAATTCTGCACTCTGAAACAACTCTTTCCAACACCCAGACCGTTTGGGTTACCGAAACAATTTATATCTCAAAAAGTAGGAATTTTTGTCAGCTTTTCAGAATGGGTTTCATTTTATCTGTAAGTGTTAAGGTTCTTTCTCTACAAGCCTCAGAAGGAGGAGAGACCCGATTCTGTCTCATTGAAACCCATGTTAAAGGAACAGAGATTTTCTCCTCCGATCGACTTCAGACAGCTAAAATGTTCTCGTCATAGCTTCTAGACAATTCATAGTAGGCACATAAAAATTCCCACAGATGACCTTTAAAGCCTTCTGCAGCTCACACTTTTTGAAAATTTTAAATCGGTGCAGTACTTTTCGAATGGTGATGAGAAGTTTGACAGGTCCAATTTCACTTCTGAAGGACATATTTAAAGGCTTCTCTCATTACAGGAGTACCATGCAGGCCTCCAACGGCCAGGAGAAAAGGGTGCTGCTCTCTGATTGGTTGAGAGTGTTCAACCATTTTCTGTCCAAGCAGGATCGAGCACCCACACATATGACACATCAAATCGACCAGCTTGGTCTCAGGAATCTTGTATTCAATTTTAAATTTGTTATCTGTTACCATGGTAACATAAGTGCATAACATCGACATATAAATATTGGACAACGGGTTTCCATAGACTCCAATAACACGTTTTTGAAGAAAAATGGGAGGTGGCCACCACCGCCATTTTGACCGTGTCACAGGTTCCGTCAAGCCCAGACAATTCCACAAAAGGGAAGAGAGGTGGAGCTGAGGGTGGGGCTGAAAGGCTCAACTGACGACACCCGGTCGAACTAGCTACAAGCTAACCTGAAGCTAACCCAAAGCTAACGCGGAGATGGGAGCTAAGCTAACAGAGGTAGCAACCTAGCTACAACCGGAGTTAACTGTGCACAACACCAGAGCTTCTGAGTCAGAGATACGCCGGGCTGACCGCTGGGTAAAACCGGGTGGAACACAGAGGTCTCCGAGACCTCCACAAGCCGGCAGCTGCACAGCAGACAAGCGCCACTGCGATCTGAGATGCGCAGAGCTGCCGCTGGGGAGAACCAGGTGGAAAGGTTTCCATCCCAGAGCTACACAAGCCAACAGCCCGCCCAGCAGACAGAAGCCACGATCGGACAGAGATGTGCCGAGCTGCGGGGAGGGGAGAACGGGTGGAAAACAGAGGTCTCCCGAGAGCTCCACAAGCCGATAGTCGTAACCCAGCTCCACTAACATTTATTATTTCAACCCATTTTCTAAAGTGCTGCATTGTGTTAAATGCACTGGGTTTTACCCTATTACATTTACATTTCATGGTTAAACAGTACATGTTAAAATCTAAGCTCAGCTCGGCAGTGACCTAAAATACATAAATATAATTTTACTTACCCAAAAAAATGAAGTGGAGACTCCTTGGACGCTCTGTTAGTGCAATTAATACCACAGCAAGTCATTTTGTCCAACAATTGCACAAAAAATATCCAAAACACAATACACAAATACAGAGACTCAAAATCCCGGAACAGTTTCCAAGCCAGACTGAGGCTCTACTGAGGCCTTTCCACGGAGCTAGCTCTGTGGTCACGTAGGTCTGTATGTGTGAGGTCTGTGGACAAAGATTTAACCAAAAGTTTACTTTAACCAAACACATGAGTGTCCACACAGGACAGAAACCTTTTGCTTGTGAATTCTTTGGAAAAAGATTTAGCCAAGAGTCAAATTTAAACAACCACAAGAGTCCACACGGATATAAACCTTTTTAGCCTGTGACCTCTGTGGACAAAGATTTAGCCCAAAATTTACTTTAAACAAACACATTAGAGTTCACACAGGTCACAAAGAACCACGAAACTACCAATCTGTCAATCTTTGAATGTTGTTTTTTGGCATTTTTGTTTCTATTATAATTTCATGAGACATTGCCTGATCAGCCCCTCTAAATCCAAGACCATGGTCTTGAGTTGGAAAGGGGGGGTATGTCGGCCCAAGCTGGCCCACTTAGCTAAGTGGCCCACCGGGACAGTGCCAGAATGCCAGATCGGCCAGTTTTCACCCCTGGTTGTACCGATCTGTCATGGTGAAGAGAGAGCTGAGCTGGAAGTCAAAGCTCTCAATTTACCGGTTGATCTACATTCCTACCCTCACCTGTGCTCACGAGCTTTGGGTAGTGACCGAAAGAATGAGATTGCGGATACAAGCAGCTGAAATTAGTTTTCTCTGCAGGGTGGCTGGGCTCTCCCTCAGAGATAGGGTGAGAAGCTTGGTCATCCGGGAGGGGCTCGGAGTAGTATATTATGTTTTTATAGAGCTTAGAGAATCACTCTCTCAGAAGAATATCTTACACAAGACAGCAGCACATGTTAGTTTCAGGGCACCCACTTAAAAAAAAAACCTGCCCATCTGGATGTTTACCAATTAACTTTCAATTGGCCATAAGCCCACAACGCTCCTGCCTTAATCTGGTTTAAATGTATGCATGTTACTCAGCTGAGTCACCATTGTGAACCCACATGATCAGTATCAGACTGTATAGTATTGGAAATGTTTTATGCGTACAAGGATAAAGTAACACACGTGGTATTGGGCTCATACCAATGCTGTACTGATACCAGCATCGGTATTGGTGATTACCTAATTATTTCACTTAGGCTAATCGTGGACTTTCCTACTAAGTGATGTTATAATTTTTAGCAATGATCTTTATGCTTTGTAATTTGTCTCTTTCTTTCAAGCTCTTTGATTTCAGTGACTTTTATTTTATTTCTTCCTGTCTGTGTTTGTTGTGACAGTGTTGTCTTGTTTTGAGGAGTAGTTCATTTCAGTTTTATTTTTGCTTTAACTAGTTCTTTCCAGCAGTTAGAGATGTGATTATTATTTATTTTTTGTTAACAATCTTTATGTTCCTTTGTTTTGTTTTTTATTCGCCTCCTTCATAGTTTTTCACATTCCACAGCAACGGGAACGTCCCACACTCAGCTTTCATCGCCTATCAAGATGAACTGGATGCTGTTAATGATGCATACAATTCCGTGACATTTCTCATTTTATATGGGTGGGAAAATCTAAATTTTGAGTTTATTTTAATAAAATTTAATTTAAAGGGTAAACTGTTATAGGTTCTGTTTAGAAGAACATTCTTTTTCAACTCACTGTTTCCTCCTTGTTCGAGGTTAGCTTACCAAAGTGTTTTCCACCTCCCAAGCTCTTTGTAGTTGTAATTGTGAAAACAGGTGCCTGAATATGTGACATAATTGTTAAACACCTGGAAGAGGGGTAAAGAGAGGGTGCTGCATGTCTGTTAGGACACGTATATAAAATAAATTAAAGCCAAACCTTTTTAGACTATTAAAGCATAAGCAAAAGAGTTGAAGCCTGGAATGAGTTTTCTGTTTGATTGTACATAGCCAAGAGAAGAAAAGTTTATTTCTATAGTGCTTCTTAAGATAAAACCCACAAAGCATGCTAAAAGAAGTAGCTTGTACAAACTGCAGGTGGCATTCAATGATGTGCTGAGGCTGCTGTTGAAGATACCTAGATGGAGCAGCGCCAGCCAAATGTTTATGTGAGCTGGTCGGCCTACTTGTGCTGCTATGCTTTGCAGTCTAACAGATGTATTGTAAAGTTCCCAACTAAATATTTATTTCACAAACTAAATATTTTGATCAGACTTATTCAGTTTGTAAAATAGTTAATTTGGAGCTAAATATTTATTTTACAAACAAAATATTTTTTCTCCAAATTAAATATTTATTTCCCAACATAAATATTAAGATGCCAACTAAATATTCGTCCATCTTCTGAACCCGCTTTTACCTTCTCGCTGCAAGGCAACAGCTCTAACCACTGCGCCACTGCACAGCCTAAATATTCGTTTTAAACATACTTATTGATTTAGCAAACTAATTGTTTAGCTTCAAAATAAATATATATCTGGGATTTGAATGCTTCTTTTGAGCTAAATATTTAGTTTGTAGACTAAATAGTTTTCTCCAAGTAAAATATTTAGTATATTAAATGTGTATTGAGGTCTGAACTAAATATTTAGTTTGTAAAATAAACATTTATCTCTAAATTAAATATTTAGTTGGGAACTGTAACATTTATAAATGCATGAATAACATGGTGAAAATATGACTTTGAAAAATAAACTCAGTTTTTTTTCTTATGATAGACTAAATAACCCCCCAAAACAGCTTTTAAATCATGACTGACTTTACAAATGGCAGCCATAGGGGTCTGCAACCTTTACAATCCAAACACAAACTATCATGTGATGCAACCCTCATATAATTATTAACACTGTGTTTAATTTTACATAGAAAAGTAATGTGTCATTTAGCCAAACACACGCACAAATAAAAAAGTTGGCTGCCCTGTACAAGTCACATTAGGTGATTACATTTTAATTCAGTTTTGGTCTTCAATGTGGCGTCTATTCATTGATCACTGGGTATGGGATGATGGACCTTGTATTCTAGAAACTGGATAACAGTACTTCCTGTCACCAGCTGCTGCCGTGGGCTCAGTCACGTTCCCAGCGGCAGTGTGTTTACCTCACCTCTCCACCGCTCCTCTTCCCTGCTTTAACCGAAACCTCAATCAAAATCACCCAGTTGATTAGCTCCTTCTACAGGATATTTATTTTAAAGGGGGCGTGTCCGTCTCTAATCTAATTTGATACGATTAACCAAATCAAAATTTATTAAGTGAATCCCTGCTGTACGTGCTTTGGGTTCAGGGAGTAGGCGGGGATCCGGCCACCCCGGGCGGCGCCGTTTTCTAAAAGAAGCACACACCATCCACTCCCTGTTGTAGAAGTGGGCGGGGCCAATCCTTGGAGGTGTTTCAGTTGGGGGGCTTGGTGATAAGCGAAGAAGGCTCGCACCCACCGCCAACTAGGAAGCTGCAGTTGGAGTGAAACACGGATACGTGACAACACGATTACCTGTAATCTTATCCAGCTAACGGGATTCTTATCGTTTACATCCAGTCTGTTTGTCGTGAGGTGAGGAGGTCAAAATGTCTTCGGTGGACTTGGAGAAGCTGAAGATGACGGGGGCTGGTCGGGCCATCGCGGTGCTGACCAGCGGTGGAGATGCACAAGGTGACCTTAAAACCAGCCCAACCAGTGCACTTTAATGTTATTTTGGCTGCGCGCACACAGCTTTGTTTATGTGTAAACATGGATTTGTTTACTGATCGATGACGCCGTTTTTAGAGGAATCCTCCCCCCTTCCTCAGTGACAGAATGTTTGATAATTTTCCATTTATGCTCGACTCGGGGGTCAAATGGCACTAACGGAAATGCAGAAATCACACTAGTAGTCTGCAGATCAGATTTAATGTTTATTCGGTTCTGAAGGCCTGACGAGGCCCACCACGGTCGCAGTGGTTCCGACTGGGTTGTAGTTTTACTACACAGGTGTCTGTTTTACTACGCAGCATGACGTCACAGCTAAATGTAGCTTATTTTTTTCTTGATAATAGCAAACACCGTTAGCAAATCATAGATTGACCATCAGCAATTAACGTGTCAATCTATTATAAAACAAGACTTTTTTTTCACTGATATCTGTTACAATAAAAAAAAATACCCTACTCTCATTTTAAGATCGTATCTGATTTGCAGGAATCATCTCACTTGATGACAAGCTGTTGTTTTGAGATCAGGATCCTTATGGTTTCCCTTTTTTAAGCATCCAAACACAAACAGAATCCTGTCCAGCATCCACTGAAAGAACAGATTATTTATAGTAGCTGTCATGGCATTAAAGATGCAAACAGTCCTGCAAAATGCAGTTGTGGTTGATAGGCACACAAACATCATGAAACATAATTAACATGTTTTTAAATTTGAGACACCATTGGTCATTTTTGTTGTAAATGCTGATCGCCTCAGAGTTATTGATTTTATTTTTAATTCATTGCACCACAGCAGGAGTAGATGTACAAACTCGAGTGACATCATTAGAATGTTTCACCTTTTTTGTAATTTGTAATCTGTAATTTGAATTGCTTTTATTTTCTGATTTATTCACTTTATTTAACTTTGTACTGTACAGTGTTCAGCGCCTTGGGCTTCCTGACAGGGTTGCGGAAGGCGCTTTATAAATAAAGCTTTGATTTGATTGAGTGGAGGAGTTTAAGTATGAGTTTAACTCTGATGAAAATCAAGACCTCTCTTGATTTTGTTGAAGCAGATCAATCTGGATGAGTCTACAAAAATAATCAGTCAACTCAACAGTTGCATACAGCAGTGAAAGGCTTAGATCTGGTATCTTCTCCACCCCGCCCTTGTTCTTACTGTGATTGACGTGTCACATGTCCAAGCAAATCCTTTCAGGGTCTGTTGTTGGAGCATTTACATGATGAATGGTATCGTTGCTCAATAACTGATTAAGAAATTCCTTACATTGTTTTATTTCCTCCCAAGGAGCCATGATGCAACGGTCTGTGTGCAAATCCCCCCCCAAGGTGTGAAAAAGATTGTAACATTTTTTGTGATGTTGATTTTTTACTCAGGAATGAACGCTGCCGTCCGAGCCGTGGCCAGGATGGGCATTTACGTCGGGGCCAAGGTTTATCTTATCCACGAGGTAAACGGGCATTTGTGAGCCAAATGGTTTGTTTTTCCATTATTGCCCAGGTGGAATGTGTGATAGTATTTATGTTACATTTCAGGGATACCAAGGTTTGGTTGATGGCGGAGACAACATCAAGATAGCTCACTGGCATAGCGTGACTAACATTATCCAACTGGTAAGTAAAATCTATTTAGAAGACTCAAACGAGGAGCTACTGTTGCACAATTGCGGTCGCCTCTGCTGCAGGGCGGCACTGTGATAGGTAGCGCCCGCTGCCAGTCCTTCACAACCCGCGAGGGGAGGATTTCCGCAGCATTCAACCTGGTGAAGAAAGGCATCACCAACCTGTGCGTTTGCGGTGGTGACGGTAGTCTCACTGGGGCCAACACCTTCCGCAGCGAGTGGAGCAACTTGCTGGATGAGCTTGTGCAAAAAGGCGAGCTGATGTTGTAGAGTGAAATAAAACTGGATGATGAATCGATCTGATGCTGGTGTTGTAAACTTAAATGTGGCATTTGTGTTTCAACAGGAAGGATCACCGACACGCTAGCTAAGGAGCACAGCCACCTGAACATCGTCGGGCTCGTGGGCTCCATAGACAATGACTTCTGCGGTACTGACATGACCATCGGCGCCGATTCTGCCCTGCATCGCATCATGGAGATCGTCGACGCCATCATGACAACCGCAAATAGGTGAGACGCTGCAGATGCTGAATAGCGTAATGTAATCAGATAAAATCTAGGAGTTTAAATTGTGTACAGAAGAGGATTAGGGTCATTGAAAAGAAAAGAAAGATGATTCTGACTTATTCTCAGAATTCTAGATTGTTTATTAGATCAAATTCAGAATTCTGAGAAATAAGTCAGAATTTGTTTTCTTTCAGTGCCCCTAATCCTCTTCCGTATGTATGTTTCCAGTTAATCAAACTATCATTTTGTTACCTTTACTTGGTTATTTCCTAAATTTGATCACCTGCTTCAATTTTCTGTCATCAGTCTGATTTGAGCTGTGAAACTCGCAGGTGGACAAAAATATATATTTTCCATCAAATACTGGATTTTGCTTCAAGGTAACCTTTTTTTTTGTAACCTACAGCCACCAGCGCACTTTTGTTCTTGAAGTCATGGGCCGTCACTGTGGGTAAGTAACACTATCATTTATTCTTTCACTGGTGATGCATAAAATCTAAAGACACTACATTATTTACCTCAGGTATCTGGCTTTGGTGTCGGCGCTGGCATCTGGAGCAGACTGGCTCTTCATACCAGAATCTCCTCCACTCGATGGATGGGAGGATCACATGTGTGCACGTCTTGAAAAAGTAAATATTCCGATTGTGTTTCAGCCTTGAATTCTTACTCCGAAAGGAAAAAAATATTTTTTACGAAAAACTGTTTCCTTCCAGAGCCGCAACAAGGGGTCAAGACTTAACATAATTATTGTCGCAGAGGGAGCCATTGACTCCCATGGGAAGCCCATCTCCTCAGCTTACATTAGAGATGTGAGTTGTCCCTAAATTGTTATTCTGCAACTGACTTAAAGAGTAAATTGCTGCTGTAATTTATTCAAGTGTTCAAAGTCGTTATTCACTAATATCCTTCCGTGTGTTTGAAGCTGGTGGTGAAGCGGCTGGGCTACGACACCAGGGTGACCGTACTCGGCCACGTTCAGAGAGGAGGGACTCCATCAGCCTTTGACAGAATACTGGTGAGCTGGATGTGCTTCAGTGATATTTGTACGACCCTGGAGTGACCAGTCCTTCCAGTTTAACAGAGATCTCCTCCTGGACTACCCTGTCAAACTTCTCCACCCTGAATGCCTACATGGTTCAAGTCCCCCAGAGTTGGGGTTCACCTTAAATTTCCCTCATTTCATTTCTTTGTTTGGATTTTATATTTAGGGAAGATGAGATAAAACTACATTTTGAAAAAAAAAACACAATTCAAAGGTCCAACCCCCCCCCCCCCCCCCCACACTTATTTTTTTTTAATTCTCCCCTAATCCATGTCTCTAGGACACAACAGAAAGCCAGACGCAACTAGCCTAGTGAACTAGGCCAAATTCTTGCTTTGCAAATAATATATTTTATTTAGTCTGGCTTGCCAGGCTAAGACGCAACAGATGCCGTCAACCAACCATAAAAGCCTTATTTTACCTTTTTGTGCTATAATTCCTAACGTAACACATCTACCTAACACCCGCGGAGCCCCCAGGCTGCTGACGGACTTCAAGGTAAAGAAAAACTTTTCTTTTCTGTGTTTAAAAAGAACTAATAAATGCAAGTTGAAAAGATACACCGCTACAGGAGAAGTATGCTAGCCAACTTAGCTAGCCCAGCTCGTTTTGCTTCCTGTTCAGCTGTTTGAAACCAAAAATGTGTGATTCCTGCACAAAGAGGGGAAGGGACAGTCAGAGGGCAGTCTGATGGATGGATCAGGAGGAGATAAAATGATTCCCTTTTGAGCAAACTTTTATTGGTTGCCATTTATATGTAAGGAACATTTCAAGCAGTGTGGCAAAAAATGCTCCAGAAAAAGCCCTCGTGGTGGTGGCTGAGAGACAAATGTTTGACATCAACAACTATCAAAGTGCCTCTGACTGCTTACTAAGATCTTAGAATGGTGGTGGTGTGTGTGTCAGCACTTTTCATGTGTTTGGGAACTCGTGTTTTCAGAGCAGCAAATTGGGCGTGGAAGCAGTTGTCGCCCTACTGGAGGCGACCCCCGAAACCCCGGCCTGTGTCATCGGTCTGTCAGGCAACCAAGCCGTCCGCCTGCCACTTATGGAGTGTGTGGAAATGGTTAGTCTTGCACCTCCCCCCACCTGTTTTTGATTGTAATGGACACGGATAACACGTGATGTGGTGCAGAATTGGTCATTGATTTTTCTGTATTTGCACCATCCTTTTGCAGACTAAGCTTGTGCAGAAGGCCATGACTGAGAAGAGGTTTGATGAAGCTGTGAAACTCCGTGGAGGGTAAGAGAAAAGGCAGATTTGGTCATTTCGCTTCAAACACATCTAGCTTACATGTGTCCCATTTCTGCAGGAGTTTTGAGAACAACTGGAACATCTACAAGCTTCTTGCCTTCCCAAAGCCAGTGCTGACTCCGGTTAGTCTGTTGCACATCTGCACAAGAATATATTTTAAGCTTTAAAATGTGGAAGACAGTCACAGGTTTTAATGTGTTCCTGATTTTTGGTCTCAGACCAATTTCTCTGTGGCTATTCTGAATGTGGGGGCTCCGGCTGGAGGGATGAATGCAGCTGTGAGGTCAGCTGTTAGGGTTGCACTTGCCCACGGACACAAGGTCTACGGGGTCCACGATGGCTTTGAAGGTCTTGCCAATGGAGAGGTGAGTTTTCAATCATGCAGAAAGGGCTTTTTACACATTAGTCTGGTGGAAAACAGGAAAATAGTCACATTTTCTTTTTGCAGATATTTGAAATGAAGTGGCACAATGTGGCTGGATGGACAGGCCAAGGAGGCTCACTGTTGGGAACAAAGCGGTGAGGGACAAGAAGATTCCATTACTCGTCTTTATTACTTAGGACCAGTTTTAATGCTGCAGAAGCTACAATTAAAACGTTTGAATAATTTGTGCCCTTAAATTACATTTGCATTTCGCTTCTCTCCAGAACCCTTCCTGCAAAAAATATGGAGAAGGTCGCACAGAACATTGCTAACTTGAACATCTCAGCTCTGCTGATCATCGGAGGATTTGAGGTAGGTTGCAAGACGTTTTTAAAAGTAATTTTTGTGATTCTTTACACCATCACTATTTAGATTCATTCTGTTTGCCACTTTCAAAGGGTTACGAAGGTGTGCTGCAGCTGTATGAAGCCCGGGGTCACTACGATGAGCTCTGCATCCCCATGTGTGTCATCCCAGCCACCATCAGCAACAACGTCCCTGGAACTGACTTCAGTCTGGGAGCGGACACTGCTGTCAACGCTGCCATGGAGGTAACTTCAAGCACACTGATATCTTTAACGGTCAAAAGAGATGGAACAAGAAAGCTTCACATCCAACTCAAATGAAGCATTTGAGCTTGTTGAATGATGTGAAATTGCAGGGATGTGACAAAATCAAGCAGTCTGCCTCTGGGACCAAGAGACGAGTGTTTGTGGTGGAGACGATGGGGGGGTTTTGTGGCTATCTGGCAACGTCCACCGGAATAGCCGTGGGAGCCGACGCTGCTTACATCTTCGAAGAATCGTTCAGCATCCATGACCTCAAGGTGAGACCAGAAGGAAAGAAAAACAAATAAAATCTCTTGTATGTAATTCTGGTTGTTCATAATGTCCTACTTCTAATGCTGACAGACCAACGTGGAACATTTAGCAGAAAAGATGAAGAAGGACATCCAGCGAGGCCTGGTGCTGAGGTATGTAGTAACCAAAAGAGCAGCTGTAAGAAGGTTCTGGGTATACTTTATTAAGCGGTGGTGGTTAGAGAGATGGATTTTTGGGGCTTTTTAATAAAAAGGGCATGGTGAACTAACGTGTAGTCCAGGAAGTAAAGGTGCATTTTACAGAATGTTTTTCAGTGCTTCTGGCTTTTCAGTAGGGCTGCACAATATATTGAAAAATTATCGTCAACGCGATAACAGGACGTGCGATAGGCCCATCGCAAAGCACGTCAAAAACGGCGATAAATGTTTGGTTCAAACGTTTCCATCCGTGTCATACATCAGCTTTTTGTAAACCAGCTCTGTTTTTTACGCGGAAGTATTATTTGACCAATCAAATGTAGTCCTTCTGATATGCGGCCAATCAGATGGGTCCGTTCACGTAATACGCCCGCCCCCTACGTAGACCCTTACCCCAAAATTCCACTATCTCCGCTCCGCCCCCGCTTTCCGCTGCCGCTCGCTTCCCTTGTTCGTCATGCTGGCTCAGAGCAGCCTTGGGGAGAAATTATGACCCGTCTCTAAATAAAGTAAAATTTTCTAGTGCAGATTGGAGACAACCCATAGAAGCACTGATTTGATCTCATTTTAGAGAAAAATAGCACAGGTCAGATGCACCTAATAAATAAAATTACTAACAAACTCAGGAATCTTTGTTTGCTTCACTGTTCTGGTGCTGAGAATATCACTAATGCGCATCATAGAGATCCACAGATGAATGCACCACTTATTTATTATTTGGAGAATACATTTACTGCAGCTGGCAGAGGCAGAGATTTTTTCTATTGATACACGGAATTTGCAGAATCATTTTAAATGTAAATAGGGGAAGACTGCAGGAGGGAGCAGTAAAATACAGGGGGTCCCCAGCAAAAACAAGAAACTACGAGTCTGATGAAACCCCTTCGGTGGGGGCAGCTCCAACGACCCAGTGGCTGTGCTGGGTAAGATATCGAGCCCAGTCCGGAACCGGCTCGGCCGTGAACGAGCCGAGGCGACGTCGTGCTCTGCTTAAGAAGATGCGTTATTTTCCCGCTCCAGAAGAAGCGTCCAACGTGTTTTTATGCTTTCTCCGAGACATGTCACGTTGCTAAGTTGTTAGCGCCGTGCGCTAACACGTCGATAGTGCAGCGTAGCCTGCTGGAGGTTTTAAGGGTTCAGATGAAACACCCGACCTCTCAGGCTGCTCACGCATCGATCTTAAAGAGCAAGTCACCCCTAACAAGAAGCGTACTTCACTCCCACTTCATGTTTGAAAAATGCAACAAATGCTGTTGCCTAGCAGACTGAGAGGGTGGAGCCACTAACAAATACACACACACTCATGAAATTGTGACATCATAATGTACCAGTTTACATCATAAAATACCTCTTAGCCAATAGCGGTGGCAGATTTAAATTCAAATGCAGTGCAGAGTTTTTACCTGACAACGGCACAACACTGACCGTTTCAGGCAGAAAATTTAAATTTTAACTAAAATGCACTAAAGTGCAAAACTATTGACTACTTGTGTCTGCAGCACGATTAGACACTCATTTATATAGTTTATCAGAAAAAAATAGTTGATTTGGGGGTGACTTGCTCTTTAAGTTGTCGCTGTTGCGCTCACGCCGTAATACAGTATTAGATGCGGTTAAAGTCAGAGATGAAATAATAAATAAATTTTACATGAATAAGTGATGCTTAGCCTGGTGGGGGGAGGAAAACCTAGCCTAATAAGCACTGGAGGAAACCCTGTCAAGATCGTCAACACTCGTTTATCTTAATGCTGCTGAAAGATGTAAACCAAAATGCATTATATCCACTGCTACCTTTCTAATTTAAACTCAGTAACTTATGCTGTAACTGCACCTTGCTCTGCTTGCTCCTTTCTTCTTGCTGCCCGCCGGCTGTGATCACAAGCGACAACATAGTAGTTCCCGCTGCTTCTTCGGGAAACAGCGTAAAATAAATAAATAAATAAATAAACTTGGGATCTTGTAGGCGTGGCGGTAAGATGTCAGCAGTGGCGGGCCGCCACGGCTAGAGAGGGTGCTCGCTGCAGAACCACAAAGGCGGAGCTGCACCAGAGTCAGCCCCGCCCATTCACGCAAACAGCCTAGCCCACTGACTTCTTCTGTTTTTTATTTTATCGCAAACTAACCTCACCCACATGAATTACGGCTGTTACTAGTTTACAACTGTTAATGCTATGTTCTATGCTCCAATTAAGCAAGATAAATATAACTTGCTACATGACAAAGCCTGAATATATCCCGAATTGAAAAGGTTTCTTTTAGCGAATATCTGTCCATAGCTGCTCCAACAAAATTGGGGTAAAAGAGCATTTACGGACAAATTTTAGTGTGTTCTGGTAGTCCAGTGGCAAGAGCGTCAATTTTAAGTTTTGCTTTCCCCTCAGCTGATGCTGGTTCGACTCTCGGTGGGGTCAGCAGCTATCTATTTTGCCAGCTGAAACATTTAATTTGTTTATATTTTAGTTGTAATGTTTATTTTCTGCAAAATATGTCTCTAAAAGTTCTTTGAATTTGGTCGTTCCTAAACAGCATTTTAGTTGAAACTCTGCTCACAAATGGACTCACACTGGCTAAATAAACGAATAAATAAAAACAAACAAACACATTAGTCATTATATTTTAAACGGTATACCAATAAATGGTTAAAAACATAGTACTGGCAATTATAGCTAGAAAAGAAGAAAAAAGTTTGCGCCACTACCGGGAGGCGAACCTGCACAAAACTACATGTAAATCTGACTCCATAACCACTTCACCACCACGGCTGATAATAAACAAGTGGCGTTACATTTAATTGTCCCATCCACTGTGTCTTTGTAGATGGGGATGTATGATTTTTCTGGCGGTGTCTCAGTAGAAGTCATTTTAGAAATAATTTGTCAGAAAAATCACAGAATATCCAGATTTGAGAACCAAGTCCAGACCCGCTTTGGAGAAGGAGACCAAATTGAAGCTGAGATGGGAGGAAAATGCGCGAATGAGGCCAAAAATGGCTTTGGGGTATTTCTTATGAGGAAATGACAATATAACATGGTAAAAAGTTCCAAAAGTTAGATTTTTAATTAGATTAAACCTTTACAAAAACTGTTCAGTTAACCTCTCAACTCCGTCCTTAATCTTGCATTTTGGATGATATTAGCTATAACACCCTCTTTGGTTCCAGAATGCTATCAAGTCTGACAGCTGGAAGGAATTGGGCTGACTCTGGAATGGGCGGGGCTGAGTCTGGTGCAGCCCCACCTTCTGGTGTAGCTCCGCCTTTGTGGTTCTGCAGCGAGCACCACTTGCACGGCTACGCCTATGTAAGGGAAACCCTGGGGTTAAAAACAAACGTTTTCACATATTTTCCATGTAGTTTTTGCCAGTTCCTCTTCTGAAAGGTAGGCAATTGTTTTTCTCTTTCCCTCAAAAAATCTTAATTTTCTCCTAGTTTGGTCCAGCACAGTTCACTTCCCAGTTACAGCAACAGCCTTCTATCATAACCACATAAGTGGAGAAAATGCTCAGTAGCAATGAGAGAATTTGCTGTTGCATTTAAGTGAGTTAATTATTATTTAACATTTTATGTAATTTTCTGATTTTATTTATTCAAAAACCCTGGTAAGGGATGTTTTTCTGTATTTGGAGCATCAGAAAAAGTTTTATGGTGGAGGTGATGTTTTAAAGTCACTGAGAAACTGCATGCATGCAGTTTGTTGTTTTGCTGCTAATACAGTAGCAGGTGCAGCTGCATGGTTTTGCAAAAAAATGTTATGTTGTAATGGAATTCATGCATTAGTTTTTGTTTGAACCCAGAGCAGACGTCACACGCCAGATGACATCAACTCTGCATACTTTAGTATTTGTTCATTTATCGTGAGTAATATCCATATTGCAATATTAAGCACTGTTATCGAATATCGCAGGTTTTCCTAATATCGTGCAGCCCTACTTTTCAGCACATTTCTGCATGGACTGGTTCAGAGTGGAAACTGCAGAGGGTTTAAAAACCTCAGCATGCCTTTCAGTCAGCAGAGGTGTGATCACTCAACTCCTCCCACAGAGCAAAATGTAAAGTATCAGCTGATTTTAGCCTCATCTCTCCTAGATCACTACACTGTTGTAAAGCATGTTAGAAAAATGACTCATGTAATTTAGGACTTTGCAGGGATGTTGCTAGTTGCTGAAGGCCGTGTGCAGGATTTTCTTCAACATGTTGCTTGTTAAAGTCTGTTACAGGTCCACTCTGGAAGCAACGGTTTCTAAAAGCAGCTTCAATCAGTCAGATTGCGTCCTCCTAAAATTAGGATTATCAGGAGGTGTTAGTGGGGCTGGCACAAAAACAATACTGATTTATCAGGGTCAGTGTTACATGTTAGCATAAGCTAAACGCTGATGAACCATATTAGTTTGCAGGTATTTAAAACATCGTTTATCTGAGGTTAGCAAAAGTGAGAGAATTTAGTCAAAGACGACGACTGAACAAAATTTAGGATTTTATTAGCCTAGTGAACTAGACCAAATTCTTGCTTTGCAAAGAATGGTCTAGGCATGCTCCATTGGAACCTCAGCAGCTCCTACCAGGACTCTGGCTAGCCAATCACAGCTCTCTGGAGGGGTTTCAAACACATAAAGAGCTGTGATTGGTCCATAATGGTGGGCCAATCATAGTGCTCTATCTGCTTAGTGAACAAATCGCAGAGCTTTATCCGCTTTGTAGGCCAATCAGGGCACTCTATATGCCTGGTGGGTGGGATGATGCAACAGAGTGAAACAAGAGTAAGTCACATTCATTGTCCAGTGGAATGCGGAGATCATTTGAAAGACAACGGTAGAACCCGCCCCACAACCGAGAGCCGTCAATGGAGCATGGCCAGACTAGGATTTTATAACATTTTGAGTCTTTTGGTAGTGGGAGCATTACTTCATATATCAGTGGGTCTTTTATTAACTTTGTTGTGTCTCTTAACAGGAATGAATTCTGCCATGAGAACTACAACACAGACTTCATTCACAGGCTGTATTCTGAAGAAGGAAAAGGTGTTTTTGACTGCAGAGTCAACGTGTTGGGACATCTCCAGCAGGTAGCTACTAAAACGACAAAAATGACAAATCAAGTTCATCTGAATGTATTTATGCTGCATGTATTCGTGTTTGCTCTGTAGGGAGGGGCCCCTACTCCCTTTGATAGAAACTTTGGTACCAAGTTGGGTGTGAAGGCCACACAGTGGATTTCAGAGATGCTGACGGAAAACTACAGACAAGGTTGGGTTATTTCAGACTCCTAAAAGTAAGAAAATTAAACACCAGCTGACGACATCTTTTTTTGTTCTTCCCTCAGGTCGCGTGTTTGCCAACTCCCCAGAATCGGCGTGTGTGCTCGGTCTCAACAGGAAGGTGGTCTCGTTCATTCCCGTCACCGACCTGAAGTCCATCACAGACTTTGTGTAAGAAGATAAAAACGCCAACACGTGTGTATTTGTTCCTCACACACAGGATGATCTCCTCTGATCAGTCTTCTTATTTTCAGGCACCGGATGCCCACTGTTCAGTGGTGGTTCAACCTGCGGCCGATGCTGAAAATGTTGGCCAGGTACCAAACCAATTTCTGTGAATACGTCCCGGGAGAGATCGCACATGTGACTCGACGCTCACTCAGTATTGATGCGGGGTACTAACAGCCCTGTACGCCGTCTAACCCGTATATCTCCATCCTTTCTCTTCAACAGTGTAGTGCGTCAGTTCCCTCCCTCCAAACGTCCTGAGTCCTGTGCATCAATGTAAAATTGCTCTGTTTGTGTCTGTGCAGACAGATTTACACCAAGCTTTGGGAGATTTCCTGTGCTCAGATTGAAGCTTTCCTCCTGCACCAGTTTGATTAACTGTCACTTTGTACTCTAAAATTTGTCATGCTTTGATTTTGTCCAAGATGTTTTCTAAGAACAAATCCATTTTTACTGCCTATCATGTTTTTGCCAAGACTAAAGGCACTGATCTTGAGTAAAAATGGGATTACACTCTCATTATAAAATACTTCAACTCAGGCTCAAGTGTCTTAATAACCACAGATTGATCAAAATACTAACCAGTCAAGTTTTCATTTATTGATGTCAGTTTTTATTACAGAGAATGCTTTTACATTCCGAGGTGCTCGTGAGGCTTTCTCTGCTCAAACTGCTGCTACAGACGACCAGGTGTGCTACGGACCCAAGGTTTATATGTGATTCCCTAACTATAATGCATGGAAATCTGAATGTAAATGGTGTGCTGTATTTCTAACTTAAAAATTCCTGTTGAAGAAAAGGAAACATGCTGAGCCATAAAGAAAACCATCAGGAGCCTTTAACAGGTTTCGAACACATTCCTACAGAGAAACACAACTTACTCAAACCTCTACGTTCATAAACTCAGTATTTTATCGTACTAACGTGACTGTGTGACTCAAGAAAGATGTTCATTTCTTTTCTGTAATGTATTAGACTGAACCAATGCCTCTGCCACTTTGACAGCTGAACAAGTCAGGGATTTATCAACAATGTGTTACACTGTAAAAAGCTGTAAACTTCAAAACTGCTTTACTTTAATAAGAGACATCTACAAAGATCTATAAACTGTATTAAGACTCTAACTTCAGTAAATGTTATCAAACTATAACAAACGCTGTTGTGTGATTTTCTCAATAAAATAGGAGCATTTACCTATAAGAATGTAAATAACACGTATGGGGAACCGATTGGTAATAGTTTGGTGTTTTTAAAAGTTGAATGAAAATGGAAACTCATCCTTGTTTTCTTTGCCGGCTGGCTGAGGACTCTTGGCAGCAAACGCAAACTGGAAATCCTCGCTTTTGTCTGGTTGGTCGAACAGGAATTCAGGGTCTGAAATAAACGTCATACATAAAATTGCATTATGTAAGAATATAGTGAGAAAATCCCAAAAGAGTCTAAGGTTTCAGTCATTTTGGAAAGAAGGTTATACTGAAACATATTTCATATCCAGCTGGCTGTGGGGGTTGTCAGTTTCCTCCTTTTAAAACGAAGGAGGGAGGGACGTAACGACTGTTTACCATCAGCGAGTGGGGTTGCCGCATCTCGCTGGCAAAAAGCTCCAGAGTTGTTTAAATTGGTTGCAGTAACCAAATTTTATCGCAGGATGTCATTTTTTACTTCATTTCTACATCATGCACCTTCAAATAAACAAAAGCTTAAATTCTATTTGATACTTACAGCTTGAAGGTTTTGCTTCTGAAGCTTTCTGTAAATAATAAATCATGTTTAGTTGTTTTTTTGTTTTTGTTTGCAAAACCGTAAACCTTAAAGTGAAACTGCATTACCTTCTCACTGAAAAGGGAGCCAGTGAAAGCAAAAGATGAGTCCTATAATGACAAGTGGTTAATTAATACATATGAATGACTTCAAAGTGATTCCTTATTTAGCTAACTTTCCTACCTCTTCCTGGGACGAGCCCACATCAAATCCAAATCCAGGAAAGCCCGGGGTGCTTGCGTTGGAAGTGGAGGCGAACAGGAAATGTGGAGATTTTGCTTCGGAGGTGTCTCGATGTGGGGAGCCGGTGGGGCTGGGGCTAAAGTTAACACAAACAATTCTGAGAATAGGTTATCAAAGTGATTAAACACATCTAAAATACAGGGAAAAAAATCATACTTGAATGTAAATGTTGGGGTTGAAGCCAATGATGCTGTTCTTCCTGTGAGAGGCTCAGGGTTATCTTGTTGATGTGATGACTGGGGGAAAACGAAAACCTCCTGGTGGTCCTCTTCAGTTGGTGCTTGCTCTTCTTCCGAAGGAGCTCTAGTCTCCATCTCTTCCTCTAGAACATCCTCTACATCCAACACAGCCATCTTATTTTCCTGACAACAAAACAGCATAAAACAGCTGCTAACAGAATTACCGTAAACTTCTGTTTCAACAGCAACTTCCACAATCTTATACGACTAATTCCAGTTGCATAGAGGGGTGTAAAAATCATCAGTGAGTTTGCGGCCGCTGCACAGAGGGAGGGCTGAAGCAGGGGAACAGTAAAGATGCGGAAACTACCGTTGTTAAAAGAGAAGTGTTTAGCTTAGAAAATGTGGGCGCAATTTTAATTGTCAAAAAAGTTCAGCGAAGCAACCCCCCCGCGCGTCGGAAAAAACCGCTTGGTCACCCATCGTCAGTTTTAGCCGCTTCAGGTGTATGACGTCATCAAAGTCCAAGTCGACTAGATTTTCATTACTTGACTGTCGACTTTTAAAAAAATTAAGTCGTGCAGCCCCTACTCTGTATCTGATTAAAGTTTTGATGAACTAATGAGACGATAGCTGAGCGTAGCCTAAAGAGATAGGGCAAAGTCTGAGCATAAATAGAAAATAAGGAATTACCAAAACCTGGTTTTCTTTGGAAGTTTCCCGATTCTGTGCTTCAGAGTCAATTTCATCTGCTTGACTTTTCTCTGGAAAAACAAACAAAACTAAAAATCAGTTAATGCAAAAATGATACTATCCCATAAATATTGTCTACATACCCTCCATCTGCTGATAGGACCACAGCTCTTTGTTTGGATCCTCAGGGGAGTTAAGACAGGTGGGGAAATCCTGCACCTTGTTTTGTTCACGATCCTCCTCAAAATTGGCTACTGCATAGGTTTCTCGCTCCTTCAACAAGACAAAGTTAACTTGCAAATCTCTATGAGAGTTAAAATAACAAACGTGTTTATCTCAGTACAGCTGTTTGATCGAGATGCTGGGATGAGATGTCATTAATGGCAGAAGTCTCGTTCTCCTCAGTCTGATGCTCTGATTGCTCTTCATATGCCGTGGGCTGCTGGCCCAAACCACTACACAGAAATGTTCACACAATCAGTGGAAAAAAAGGTGATTTGCTGGAAAACTAGGATGGATCTTTTATAAATACGATTCACCTGTCTGACAGCTTCTCAGAGGAAGATAATTTGGCTGCTGGATCTGTTTTAACACAGAAACTAACTGTAAATATTTCATCTTTACCAGAACAGAGACCAATTAAATAAAGAGAGCTTATTACCACGGAGATGCTCCATCTCCTTTTGTTTGGCCATTATTTGATCATTGCAGGCCTTGATTCGACTCCTAATTTCATCACTTTCACCCTGCAGCTTGAGCAGCTTTTGAGCAAGAGGATTTTTAAAATATCTTTCTTTGTATGACTCAAGTGTCTTTCTGCTGCTTGAAATCTTCTCTTCATAGACTTCCCTTATTAATTTAAAAATAAAAAAGACATTTTGGGTTTGGCAAATTAACATGCGTAATTTTGACCATAAAAAGTTCTTGAAGAAGCTCACAAGTCGCTGTTGTAGCTGGCTTTTCTGCTTTCCAGGTCTGCTTTCGTCATCTGTTCATACTGAAAAAGAAGGCTGCTGGTTGCCTTCATGCTAGAGGTTTATGGAGAATAAAATAAATATGCACCATGTTATGAAAACATAATTTAATACTGACTTAAAAAAGCATTTTACCCATTTGCATTTTCTTTGTTCTTCAAGATTCTGCTGTGCTTCACGTTTATTTCCTCTTCAAGTTTCTTGACATGTCCTTGGAGGGTTTCAATGTGAGACTTTGTCTCATCAATTTCAAGGCTGTGCTCTGTCAGTAAAAATAGCATTAGAGCACCACATAGTACAATATATTATATAAAGATAAAACATGCTTAAAATCTGAAAACACCAGGTATAACTATGGTGTTTGCAGGCACTAAGCATGTTCTAATGACATGATGTCCCTGATTGATCAACTGTTTAGCAAAAACAAAAGTAATGAACATCTGAGTAAAAAGAAAGTCAATATCATTGTTTCTCTTTTTTTTACATTAACTTTGCATATTTTTCTAAACCAGATGTGAAAAAAGATAAAAGAAAAATGTGAGATGTAAAAAAAGTTTTAAATAACCCCAATAACAGTTTAACCACGAAAAAGACAACGCAAAGAAGCATAAAATGAAGAGATAATGGACAAAAAAAATTTATGTAAATGTCACTTGCTAGCATAGCATTGACCACATACCTCCAATTTGTTGCGTAATTTCATTCTTCTTTTGAGAAAGCTCCCGGTTATTAAGACCTAAAAAACACAAGTATTAATTAACCTACTAATATAATTTTACTAAATGTATGTCCTAAAGAGTTTTTTAGGAACTTGTGGCTAACATAGGTTGTTAACTAGTTAGCTTGTTTTTGATAGGTAGTGCCACTAAAACTGATAAACAATAGCAATAAAATATTATTTTATCATTCTATAATAAAAAACAAATATTTTGAAACGAATTAAACCTACCTAATTGAAATAGAAGGCCGTTGAGTTCAGTTAAGAAAACTTCGTCACTCATTTTTTTCACAGCAGGATGAGCCGATGCTAGCTAGTAACGGTTGAAGTAAAAAAGTTGTTTCGAAATACTTTTATTAAATTGACGCACGTGCTAATATGACACAATCTAGTTTTATTTATGAAGTGTTCATTAAAGCTAAAGTTTACTAATAAAAAAGAAATCGCTAAAACACAATAGTGTTCTATCAATGTCTGTGACCATAGATTTTATGCTAACTACAGTTTGACCGTATTGCAGCCGTGTTAGCTGTAATATTAACGTCCAATTTCTGTAAAAAAAATTATAAATAAGGTAAAAAAAATATTGTCAAAGAAAGGCGCTTCACAAAAACAAATAATTTAAATATAAAAATAATTCTAAAATGATTAAAAATAGTTTAAATGTGACAAAATAGTGATAGTTTATATGTTATTATTATTATTATTATTATTATTAATGCTGTATTAAACAGCTAGGATTCTCTTCTAAATTGCTAAAAAGGACAAAAATGTAGTACCCGCATTTAGACACTGGAGGGAAGCAACTCCCTATCTTTTCTTTTCTAAATGCTTTTGGAAACTAGTGTTGTTATATTTTTTTCTAGCAAAGTTTTCTGTCTAAAAGGGATTTATATGTATTATTTAGATAAACTGAATAGAAAACTGATCAATCATCGGATTTTCTTCGGCCTCTGCTGGACAGAAATACAGGCAGCGTTGACCAACTCAACGCACTTCCTGCATTTACCATCAAAATAAAACATACCACTTAAAACTATTGCATGTCTTTAATTTATGTTTACAGCATAGTCTAAATAATGTCAAAAGCAAAATGTCTCCACATATACAAAATACTTAACTACTAAAACTCAACAAATCAATTTTAATGATCTGCGTTCAACAATTTGCGTGGAGGCGGGATTAGTGGTATTCTAGAAACCATTTTGCGTAGCGCATCTGTATGGCCAAAAAGCACTACGCTCAGATGTGTTGTTCCTGCGAAATGACTGATAGATCCGGCGGTTTATTCTCACTCGGCTCAGGGTTTCTATTTAGCGATCTTCTATTAAAAAAAAAAGGTAAGATTGCATTTAATCGGGAGAAAAAAGAAGCAGCGTTGCACATTCGCCGGTTTGCAGACAAAAGAAGAGCGGACATGGGTGGGATTTAAATGGGAGGGGATCAGATGTATAAAGGGTTGCTTTGTCGATCCTTTCCAAAGGAAAGTATGCATTTAATGAAATACACTAGGCCATCTATGATCGGGTAGTTTTTATCTATTCTGCAAATTTATGTTCAAACCTGAGCTCGCAGCTTTTCGACAAAATAAATAAATAAAATAAAAATCGACCTTTATCTGACCAAACCAAGCTTGGTTTGCTACATTCATTTTCCTCCCTGTTCATCCAGATGGGAAAAGATCATATTTAAAGATGCAATCAGTCAACATCAGCACATTCAGGGGAAAAAAACTCAAATCTGGGCCAGGATGACTATTCAGGATTATACTACAGCTCCTCATAACTGTGCTCTCTTTCTCTCTGTTTATATTTGTGTGTTTATTCATCAAAGCAAATCAGAGAAAATCACCTGCCTCTTTGCAAGAAACCATGGCACAGGTAGATGAGGCTCAGACTGAAGGGGAGGGCAGCCCCCAGATGGCCTCCTTAAGATCAGACGTATCTGGGAACCATGCAGGCGATGGGGAACCAGAACCCTCAATGAGAAGGAAGAGGAGGAAGAAGAAAGAACCACGTCCGGAGTCCATCATCGTGTTTCGTTCTGAGATGGAGAGAGCGCCTGGGGAGGACCAGAGTGGTGAGGAGGGAGGAGAGAGGAGCACTGAGGAGGGAGCAAAGTTCCTCTGCACACCCACAGGAGAAGGTAAGAAGGCCAAACTCTCCAAGAGGACCTGGCTTAAAACTTCAGATTAATCATTATTAGAGATGAATGTGATGAAAGAGGAGGATTTAGTGATAGATGTTTGGTGGTATTTATGCACAGGAGGAGGCTGGAGCATTCCTCCAGACAGCCGTTACGTGACCCTGACTGGCACCATCACGCGAGGGAAGAAGAAGGGTCAGGTCGTGGACATACACGTCACTTTGACAGAAAGGGAACTCAGGGAATTGGCCAAGTCGAAGGAGCGTCTGGATGCGGAGTGCGAGGCGGGAGAAGGCTCCAAACGCTCCTGCAGCTTAGGAGCGTGTCAGGGACCCCACGTCATCTTGTGGAGCATCTCCTGTGCTCCTGTTGTTTTCATCCTGTCCTTCATCACCTCCTTCTACTACGGCACGCTCACCTGGTACAACGTCTTCCTGGTGTACAACGAGGAGCGGACGTTCTGGCACAAGATCACCATCTGCCCCTTCCTCATCATCTTTTACCCCTTGCTCATCATGCCCCTGGCGCTGTCGCTGGCCCTGTACTCTGCTGTGGTGCAGGTGTCCTGGGCCTTTGGTGAGTGGTGGCAGGCGGTGCGAGATCTGGAGAAAGGATTCTGCGGCTGGGCCTGCGGGAAGCTGGGACTGGAAGACTGCTCGCCCTACAGCATCGTGGAGCTGCTCGACTCGGACACTGTTTCTGGAACTCTGCAGAGCAAGGCGCCCAGCGAACTGGCCCAGACGTCGTCGGTTTGATGCAGCAGAGGGTGAAATCATGGCACATATTCTGATCATTAAAACGAGCTTCGAGACATGTTCCTGAAAAATGATTTCAGACACTAAAGACTTTCTTTTAAAAGTGGAAATCTTGCTGAAAGCTACGGATGAAGCAATCTAGATGTTTAGCTATTTAATTAAACTTCCTGCTCCTTAAACTCTTTAAACACTGCCCAAACTATCCTTATGTAATAATATTATTGAACTATGAGCATGATGTCAGGTTTACACGTTCCTCTCACCAGGATGTAATCAACACATTTAGAGACTTTTCTCAGTATTTTGGCCTCGGCTTGCACATCCTGACTGAAGGTGCTGTTATACAATTTACTGGGAACGTTTGAACTCATCTGTTCTTAAACCTTTCTCCAATGACATCAGCGTTTCCGAAGCTGGACTGGAATCTGCCCAACAACCTCTGCTGCTGTTGCAGCTTACTCTGGACGTTTTCTTTATGGTGATAATTTGCATCTTGAGCACAACATCAGCCACTCTGTGACGAGGCTGTTTGCAAGCATCACACATTTAGAAACCTCAGACTTCTGACCTTTTGTTTGGGACTCTGGAAGTGTTCATCATAACTACTTTATTATGGCGCGGTATGGGGGCCTAAATTAAGACTACTGCCCAGCAGCAAGAGGCTATATAAATTCTGACGCAAACTACCAACCTGATTAATGATAACCTGGCGCCGGTAACTGAGAGGCTGGCGCTACTTACTGAGGAATAGCACCTTTACCGGCGTTACTACCAGATACGCTAGGGACTAGCAGCCCTCGGCTGGTCATTGACTGGTTCACATGCTCCCTCTGCTGTCTATTAGCACGGATAGGCTAGCGTTAGCCTCGACGGGCTGGTATTAGCATTGGACAGGCTAGCCATTAGCATGCCTAGGCTGGCCACTAGCTGGATTTCCTACACCCTTGACGGACCATTAGCATGGATAGGCTGGCGTTAGCATCGGAGAGGCTAGTCATTAGCATGCCTAGGCTGGCCACTAGCTGACTAGTGACTCTCTGAGACATGCTAATGGCTAGCCTCTCCGATGCTAATGCCAGCCTATCCATGCTTAAGGTCCGTCAAGGGAGTAGGAAATCCAGCTAGTGGCATGCCCAGGCACGCTAATGGCTAGCCTCTCCGATGCTAACACCAGCCTATCCATGCTAATGGTCTGTCAAGGAGGTAGGAAATCCAGCTAGTGGCCAGCCTAAGCACGCTAATGGCTAGCCTCTCCGATGCTAACACCAGCCTGTCCAGGCTAACGCTAGCCTTTCCATGCTAACAGACAGCAGAGGGAGTGTGTGAACCAGTCAATGACCAGCCGAGGTCTGCTAGTCCCTAGCGTATCTAGTAGTAACGCCGGTAAAGGTGCTATTTCTCAGTAAGCAGCGCCACCCTCTCAGTTACCGGCGCCATCATTGATCAGATCAATAGTTTGCTTCAGAATTTATATAGCCTCCTGCTGCTGGGCAGTAGTCTTAATTTTGGCCCCCATACCGCACCATACTTTATGTCACGTTTAGGAGAGGAGGTTGGACCCAGGATGCAGGAGTACCCAGAACGACTCAAAGGCAGGAGAGGTTTTAAGAAAAACAATTCCTTTATTTATGGAGGGTGTGCTGAAAAGTCCAAGGCACAAAATTAAGACTAACACTCAAAAAACCTGAAAACTCTAAATTAACTAAGCTCACACATGAGCATGGACTCGGAGAGACTCGAGAGGGGAATGAACAACGCAACACATATGACAATGACCCAACAAACACTGAAGGACGAGCCAGGCTTTTAACACAGTGGAAAGCAATCAGGGGAACAGGTGACAGGTGTAACTACATGGGAAGGGAAAACCAAGCAGAGGGGAAGATGACATAACCTATAAAAACACTAAATAACTAAACCTAGAAACTAAGGGCCAAGATAAACAACCAATGACAATAGAAGTAAGGAAGACATTAACAAGTGGGGAAGGACACAAACACTAAAGGGAACTAATAAAATGAAAAGCTGAACCTATAGAAAATAAAACTACAGAGGGGTGACTGGAGAGACCTGAGAAGCTGGAAAACACCAGGAGGCACATGAGGAGAACACAGAGGACAAACAGGAGGGGGCTGGGGACCAAGGGGACACAGAACATGACACTTTATTACAGTTTAATCCAGAATTCTCTGTTATTATTTTGAACATGTCTCATGGTGTTGGCTTACATAATGTTTGCATTCCTGGCAACATGGTGTAATAACAGATCAAACAAATTAAAATGTCCTCTGGGGAAATTAGAATATACATGATATTTGCTGCAAAAATAAGCAATGTTTGGGATTTTTATTTCTTTATTAAAAAATATAGCCTTAAAAAGTCACTTTGAAAAGTTCTTTAATCAGATGATAGTTGCGTTCGCACAAATGGTCAATATGTGGAGCGCTAAGCTAATCAGATGTTAAATGTTTCATCCCCTCATGTCTTTAAAAGGATCAGATATTTGGGGAGTTTAAAAACTTGATTGTTACATTTTTGTGTTTAAAACTTCATCTGCACAGTTGTGTGTGATTTGAAAATACTTGTGTTGTTTTCACTGGAAATATGTATTTTGTTCTTGTATTTCAGATTGTTGTCAAGTCACGTTTTATGTGTCCTTTACGTTCATTTTATACATTTATTCCTTGTATACATTTGTAGGTGTTTTACACTCTTGCACCTTAATCATTTTAGCTGATGGAGACAGATTTAGAAAGGTCAGATGATTTAAAGACATGATAGGTCAAACGATGGAAAGTTTGGGGTAATTTAACCATTTATGGATTACTTCTGTTGGATATTTAGTTTTATTTTGTAAATTGAAACACTGATGTGGTTGAAGATAAATCTGTATTCCACATAACTTATTGTGAATCCACAAGAACAAAAATAAAAAAGATTCTATAAAATTAGGTGTATTTTTACTAAATATACTTATACATTTTATTATATATATGTATATACTTATGAATGTTTATTAAAAATATGTATATTACAAATAAGTAAATAAGTACAGTAAAAAATTAGGTAAAATAATAAAACAAACAAGTATATATATTTTCATTTATTTTCCATTTTATTTTATTTAAATAGACAAAATAAATCGACAAATAAATAAAATATATCTTACTTAAATTCACATTTATTTATTTATTCAAACCCATGTTCTACATCTGAATTCTTGATTGACCAAATTTATCAGGCATAGGAACACAGAAAAGGTCTGGACGGTTTTGATATATATATATATATATATATATATATATATATATATATATATATATATATATTTTTTTTTTTTTTTTTACTGTTTAATAAACATTTAACAAAACGTAACAGATTCGCGTTTTACTGCTTGAGAAAACAAGCAGAACAAACTAGGGGGGTAAAGTTTTTTAGAGCTGCTGTTTCGTTCCGGAGCCATAATAGAGTAGCACGCAGTCTACGAAAGAGGGAAAAGAGGATGGCAGGTTCCAAAGTAAGTAATTTTGTTTTAGTCCTTCGACATTTTGTATGTTCCTTAAATAAGCGGTTGTATACAGATGATATTTATGTTTTTATGCTGAATAAAAACATTAGACTGTTATTAGAATAAATTATGTCCCATTCGTTCTGTTGAGACATGTTGAGACTAAACACCGACCCTGTCACGCTCCAGTTTATTTACACAACGCGCCATACTGAGGTTTTCTCACCATCGTGAGAAAATAACGACTGAAGCACGTAAACCACTGGTTTTTATTCGTGTTGTTAACTACTTCCGTGAAAGTGATTGTAAATTCTGTATTATTTTTGGTGTAGTCAGCTCTGGTGCTGTGTATGGATGTGGGCTTCTCCATGTCCAACTCAGCTCCAGGTGAAGAATCTGCCTTTGAACTGGCCAAAAAAGTCATCCAGAAGTTTTTCCAGCGCCAGGTACAGGAGCACAGCTCCCAAAAAACTAATTACTGATGTCATCTTCACCAGCATTTACATGAGTTTTTTTTTTTGTTGTCTTTCAGGTTTTTGCAGAAACTAAAGATGAAGTAGCTTTAGTTCTGTTTGGCACTGATTCTACCAAAAACCCTTTGTGCCAAGACGGCCAGTATGAGAACATCACGGTGCATCGTCCCCTCGTGGTACCAGACTTTGAGCTTCTGATGGAGGTCGAACATCAAATCCAACCGGAGAATCAGCAGGCTGACTGTTTCCTTTTTGATCAGTAATTCTTAGAGTTTCAGGGTATATACAGTGCTCAGCATAAATGAGTACACCCCCTTTAAAAAGTGTACATTTAATCAGTAGCTCAATGACCAAAATAACAATTTTCATAATTTTCACAAGGCTGGGTTTTATTGCACTGTTTAACTTCATAACATGAAATTAAGTTTAATAATATTACTTGGATCAAATAAATCTTCTGTTTTAGTAAAATTGGTTGAAGCAAAGATGAATACACCCCGCAACAAAAACGACTACATTTAGTATTTTGTATGATCACTGGGATTTTCAAGGACAGCACCAAGTCTTCTAGGCATGGAATGAACAGGTTGGCGACATATTGCAACATCTATCTTTTTCATTCTTCAAGGATAACCTCTTTTAGAGCCTGGATGCTGGATGGAGAGTGATGCTCTACTTGCTGCTTCAGAATTCCCCACAGGTGTTCCATTGGGTTCAGATCAGGAGACATACTTGGCCATTCAATCATCTTCACCCTGTTCTTCTTCAGAAATGCAACAGTAGCTTTAGATGTGTGTTTTGGATCATTGTCATGAGTATAGAGTCCCAGTAGTCTTCACCTCTTTCAGCATGAGTCCTAGTAAATCCTAGGTGTGCTTTTTTTTGCGTGGGCTTTAGGAGAGGCTTCCTTCAACTTTAAGTTGACTAAGGACCTGGCTTACGTACATTTTGGACATGGAGAGCACCTGCAGTGCTGCTGCTGAGAAGGATAAAATTAGGAAATCCTGCAGCATTATCACTTGTACTGCTTCGTTTTCACATAGAACAAGGACCCCCCCCCCCCCCCACACACACACACACGCGCACACAGCCTGAAGCGCAGAATACGGAATGCAGAATATGAGCAGGGGGACAGGTTGAGACAGAATGTCATGCGTCTGTGACAGTGTGTGTGTGTCCTGTCACTGTGGCCCGATTGATCATGCACCCTGGCTACTTGGACAGGGGAGATCTCTGTTTGGCTGGCTGGTTAGCACGCGTGACTTTCACCTGGGAGTTTGGGGATCGAATCCTGATTGGACCATTTTTTTACATCCGCCACAGATCTCTCTGAAGAACTCAGCATTGACGGCTTCAGCAACGCTGTGCCACTCCATAGATTCTCTATTATTTGTTTTGCAAAAGCACTTCCTTTCATTTCTCACCTCACCCACAAGTACCTAAATTTCTGCTTCTGTGAAATTGCGCTTCCTTGATCTGCCTTGATCTACGGTCGCCATCATCATTGGCGGAGCGCTGCAACAACCGTCTTATGTATATGCATGAGATCCAAAAGGCACTTTGCATTCACTATTTATGGCAGTGAGTGGGCGTGGTGAGGGCGGGATGTGACTAAAAAGCAGCTGAGAACCTTTCTAGATAGTTTCTGATTTATGAAGCGGAGATTGCGTGCAGCTGTGCGTACTCCATGTTTGATAGATCACAAACCTGCTTGGCGTAAGTACTTTTTTTTTTTTTTGCTGAGCTTAAGTACGGTTTTAGTAATGATTCTACGCAACGTTTGATAAATGAGACCCCTGGTTTTACCTTCCATTGTTGTCCTGACATCTGTAAGTTATTTGCTCTGCCACCTTTCTTAAATATTCAGATCACTTTTTCCACAGTATTTTGACCGATATGTAAAGTTTTGCTGATCTTGTAGCCCTCATCCTGTTTGTGTGAAGAAATGATTTCCTTTTTCAGATTTTGTGACATTTCTCTTCCACGTGGAGCCGTTGCTGACAGCATGAAATGGGAAAGGCTTTTCTTTGTTAAGCCCTTTTATAGTCACCTGTCTGCTGGACACCTCTTAAATTAATCATTAGACTCACCTGTGGTTCAGTGGCTGTTAATTAGAATTTTGTAGTCTTAAGTGTGGCTTTTCTCCTAAAACTGTAATTAGGGTGTACTCATTTTTGCAACATGGGCTTGAATGGATTTGTCAGGAAAATCTCTTTTGTGTGTGAGAAAACTAACAAATCTTGTTTCCGATCAATGGCCCACATTTGTGGGAGTATTTTGGTTTTCTGTCAAACACTCATTTATGCTGAGCACTGTGGATATCACAAATATATTATTGTATTATATTATTGTTGAGTTGGTCGTTCTCTCCTTAACTAATGTTTAACAGGGCTGGATGCTCTTGTAGTCTGCATGGATCTTCTTCGGACACACACGCAGTAAGAAATTGCATGTTTATTTTTGAAAATCCTGTTAGTGCATAAAAAGCAAAAACTAGGGCCCGACCGATATGCTTTTTTTGGGACCGATACCGATATAAAACTTTTAACAAAGGCCGATAGCCAATATAATGGCCGATAAATCTCTCTCACAAAAAAAGAAATAAAATTTTTCTTAAGCTTAAACCCTTCATTCTCTGCCTTTTTGATGCAAACTTATGCTTTTTTGATGCTAATAGAGAACTTACACACCAAAGAACTGTCTCAATAACTCACTGGGGTTTCCAAGTAATGCAAATACGATTTATTTAGCAGATCTCAAAAACAACAGAACACACAAACTCAGTCACAGCATAAATCTAACATTCAAGTTTTTCTTGTAAACTGTGGTTTCCACAAATACATTTTAACTTAAAGGAATATTCCACCTCTCAGTAAAATTGTGTCTCGTTCCCCAGAACGAGACACAACTAACGAGAACTAACATTCCCCAGAGTTAAAGTCAGAAAAAGCATTTTATAACCAGCCCAATGTGATCTGGCAGCAGTTGGTTTTCTTAGTTTAGCATAAAACAATGTAAGTGAATTCACATACACTGTAGTGTTTTATATGTAGGTGAATGCAAGCCTTCCCTTCCATTGCTGTATGCTAAAATGACTGGTTACAAAATGTTTTTTCTGGCTTCGCTAACTCTGGGGAATCTAACAACAACACACACAAGTTAATGGACAGAAGATCCCTGTAAGAATATTAAAATAATAAAAATGCAGCAAGAAGTAAAACGTAATACGTGTGCTTTGTAACAAAGTAACACTCTGAGGAAGTTAACTTGGTGAACTTATTCACCCTGGACAGGAAATAATTGTACATAAGAAACATAAATAAGAATAAATAAATAAAAAGTTCCAAAACAATAATTAGTGTTCAAAGTTAAAGGAGTAGAGCCACACAACATGAGTTCATAAAGCTGGCGCCATCTGCTGGATAGGTAGCGCAATATCGGCCATGTTGGCCGTTTTTTTGGCCGATACTGTTAATGACGCCAATATAGGCCGATAATATCGGCCGGCCGATATATCGGTCGGGTCCTAGCAACAACTAATTCAGAGATTTGTATATGACTGTGTTTTTTTTAAAGGGGGAAGAAGTACGATCGCTGTAACATCGTTGTTCTGACTGACCTGAATACTCAGGCCAGTTCAGACAACCTGGATGTTATTGTTGAAAACCTGAAGCAAGCTGGAACCACCCTGCAATTTTTGTGAGACTTAAGCAAAATTAATATTTTGGTTTTGTAATAAATGTATCACTTGAATTGTTTCATTTGAGCAGTCTGTACATTTCTGTTTTAAAAACACATTTTTAAATTATTTGAGTAACAGTTAACTTAAGAAGAGCTGATGACGCTGATTCTGTTTTACAGCTTACTTGTCTTTAACCACATCTTTTGGATTTGCAGTTTGCCTTTTTCTGTGGCGGCTGATGACGAAGGCCAAGGAGGCGAAGACGGAAGGGATCCTGGCGAAGCTGTTCCAGGCAAAAGTCTGTCCAGAGAGCAGAAGAACAGCCTGGAGATGGTTAAGCACATCATGCTTAGTCTGGATGAGGAGGAGGGTCTGGAACAGGTGTACACATTCAGGTTAAAGTTCTTTTATTGTTTTATTCTGGTTCTGATTTCTTCCTTCTGTCTAGGTTTAGAAGTAAACAATGGAATCGACATCGGGTTCTTTTTTGTTTCAGTTCCTAAGAATCGTTCGCCACTTTTGCAAACAGTTCCCCTTATCAATTCCAGTCGGCGCGAATGATGTCACCACGCACGTTGCGTAGCCTACAGAAGCAAGAAACATGGTGTAAGCGGCACAAACACTCGAAAGTTTGGTTATACTTTACCAGAAAGGATGACAAGATGGTAAATTGCAATAATTGAATAGTAGATATTTCATCATGGCGAGGAAAAATAATTTGGGCACAAAATACGCGATCATTTAGAGTTAATGGCGTGTTTTGACCTGCTACAGACTAGTGAATTTCAATGCCGCGGTGACATTCGCACGTCCTCTCCTGTTAATATTGCAGGTAACTAATCAACTAACGCTGCCCATCACCTTAGCGTCATTAGCCTTAAATATACTTCTCCACGCTAGCAGACTCCAGCGACTAAACTCCGACCTGTGCTGAGATTTTTCCCACTCTGCAAAAGTTACAGTAACACTGCACCAAAGAAGAAGATGGCTCTGCCTTCGCAGGGAGCGTAACGTAAAACATTCGGAAAGATCCTCCCAACCAATAACTGGTACAATTGATTATTTACCATAAATAACCCGAGGGTTATAATGCAGGAGGCCGTGTGCAGTTAGTTTTTTGGCCACCTATTGAACTACTCTGGAATTGATCAGGAATTGAATCGACAGACTGAATCGACATCGACAATGCCATTGATATTGATGAAAACGTATCGATTCCAGCCTCTAATCATGCTGCATGACTTCACCTCTGTTTGCTTTGATCCTGCTGTAGGAACGCGATCGAGCAGCTGTGTATGTTTAAACGCATCGAGAGGAGACCGATGGCCTGGCCCTGTCAGCTGACCATCGGCAGCTCTCTGTCAATCCGCATCGTCGGCTACAAAGCAGTAGGTTCACCCTGAGGGTAGCTTCATTATAATCTTGCGTTCTTTTTTTTACATTGATTCATTAAGTGCTCAGAAAAAGCAGCTGTACAGAAAAATGCAGCATTTCCAAATAAAAACATGCTATTGCTTTGATTGATTTATTGTTAAAATACTCGTTCAGTACAGTTTGCGATGTAAAACCAGGTGACCGAGGAGCGGCTGAAGAAGATGTGGGTAACCGTTGATGCTCAATCCAGCAAGAAGGATGATGTGAAGAGAGAGACGGTCTACTGCCTGGACGATGACAATGAAACAGAAGTGATGAAGGAGGACATTATTCAAGGTGACACTTTTAAATCTAATGCTTAACTTCCTGAAGTCAACTCAAGTTCCCACTCTTGATAACTTCCTTGTAGGTTTTCGTTACGGAAGCGACATCGTCCCCTTCTCCAAAGTCGATCAAGATCAGATGAAATACAAACATGATGGGAAGTGCTTTGCTGTTCTGGGCTTCACCAAACAGAGCTCGGTATTGCACCTATTTTACACGACTAAACATTTGATTTAAAACTTATAAATATTTAATTTCAGCCTTTTTCCCCCTCATCTTTAGGTGCCTCGCCATCACTTTATGGGAAACCAGGTTGTGAAGATATTTGCTGCCAGAGACGATGAGGTAGTAGACGGCGAGAGACCTCGCGTGGAGAGAGACCTGTTGTTGATGTGTTTGTGTCTCTGAGCAGCATGCCGGAGTGGCTCTGTCGGCTCTCATCCGTGCGTTGGATGAACTCAAAATGGCGGCTATTGTACGATACGCCTATGACCGGCGGAGCAACCCTCAAGTGGGCGCTGCGTTTCCGTGTATCAAACCAAGCTATGAGGTGAGATCACGTACACCTCTCCTGTGGAGGATCAGAGCTAAACTCCCTCTTCTCTCCTTCTGTAGTGTCTGATGTACGTCCAGCTGCCCTTCATGGAAGACCTCAGACACTTTCTGTTTCCTTCTCTGGAAAACAACAGGAAGATCTCTCCATCGGGTACGGTTTCACAGCTCTTAAGAAAGATCTGTTCACACGTGGAAGGAACTGCTACACTCTCAAACTCACACACTTGTTTTTATCTTCACATTTTTACGGTCCACTTCTTCCAAGAACAGAAAGTGAAGTCTCTTTTACTCCGTCTACCTCTTCTACTTGCACAGACAAACATGTCTGACATGCTAAAAACGATTCTTTACCAGAAACTAGAAATCTAAACAATTAAATCTATAAATATTCTGGCTGCTTTAAAATTTCAATCTAGTTGAACCAAGATCAGTTTCATTTAGCATTTTTTGTGAGTTTAGAGCATATTTGTCTTCTGAGAAGATTATGGACACGCCCTTCCACTCTGCGTGGTTTCAGATGATGTAGTTTTGTTTCTACAGACCGGGTTGATTTTTAAAAGGTACCTCCGGTTTTGTTTAATGTTTAGGTGAGAAATAACACTTATTGAAGTTTTTTTTCTTCATGGTTAGAGACACAGTTGTCAGCTGTAGACTCTTTGATCGACTCCATGATGCTGGTGGAAAGAGACGAGAATCAAGAGGAAAGAGACCTGCTGAAGCCTCACCACCTCCCCAATCCTGCCTTCCAGAGGCACTTCCAGGTACTGCATAAAAACAACATCAAAAATGGTTTTATCACAAAAATTATCCCCAAATTGCACAACTGATTCTAAAATGTGAATGACAAAAGTTGGGACCTTTGATTGAAGGATCTGTGTGCTCTTTAGCAGTAATGTCTAAACATTTAGTTTGCTTCAGCTGTTTTAGTCTATTTTGTCATCTGTAATTTAGTTTGACTCTGTCGTATTTTAATTCTGTTTAAGTAGAATCACTTGTGTGCTTCGGGTCTGGCTGTACGACCCCTTTTCCTTTAGAAACAGATTTGTTTCAATCAGAGCGGGTCATCCCTGCACAAATGGAGCTAAACTTTAAAGATGAGTTTGTTCTCTAACTATCTTTTCAGTTTTTAATTAATAAAAACATATTTTAATGGCACTTTTCTACAACTGTTATCTGACAATACTCAACCAGGGCCTCTTCTTCCTCGGCGAGTGTTGATTTCACCTCTTCTTTATTCCTCAAGTGTCTGCACCACCGAGCGGTGAATCCTGATTCGCCTCTTCCTCCCATGGAGCCGTGGCTGGAGGCTGCTCTCGATCGCCCTGGAGTCATTAAGGAACGCTGCCAAGCTCAACTGGAGGAGATGAAGAAGCTTTTTCCTCTCACTGATGTCGAAAAGAAAAAGAAACTAAAGACAAGCGCTCAGATTTTTGATAAAGAGTACGTTTGGTTTCAGTGTGGGGTGGATTTTTGCTACAGTTGTCTATTAAAACATATTAAACCAATCAGAAATGTTAAGCTAGAACCCTATATTTAAGTTTTTACAGCTTCTTAAAAAATCTCCTGAAATAGTTTAACCTTAAAGGAGACGTACTATGCAAAACTCATATTTCGCATCCTTTTGATCGGCCATGTGGGTCTCTACTACTTCTTTAAACACTCCAAATGTGAAAAAAGTCCATCTGTTTTCTGTCAGTGTTAGGGTTTTAGGCATCATGTGCCTAAAACGAGCAGTTTCAAAAAGTCCTCTTTTGTGATGTCACAAAGGAGAAATTAAAATAGAATCACATCATGTGAAGACAGAGCTACTGCTGGAGGAGCAGTGGCTCTACTCCGAAATATCTGAGCTTCTAAGCTTATAGCAGCCTGAGTGGTTGGTGGGTGGGTGTGGCCAGCTTGTTATCTTAAAGTGACAGGGTCATTGTGGAAGGTACTGAAATAGTCAAGAATAAAACTGCTGAAATCCTATTATTTGAGAGGATTTAGTGCAAAGAACTTCTTGAGCACATCTGGTATCGACCATATAAAAAAAAAATAATAAGACCCCTTTAACTTTGTTCTCAGCTCTGAGGAGCCAGATGCCAAAAAAGCTAAAAATGAGGAGGAAGAGGAGGAGTATAACCTGGCAGACATCTCCGAAGGCTCTGTCACTTCTGTAAGTGTTACAGGAACCGGCTGATACTATCCCAACAAAAAAAAAACCCAACAAAGTCTTGGTTATAACAGATGGATCTTAAATAAACACTGAGTTCATACTTTAACCAGGTGGGAAGCGTCGATCCAGGTCGAGACTTCCGCGCCCTGATTCGGCTGAAGACTCTACCATTTGGGGAGGGTGAGATCTCGCTCCTTCTCCGTGAAACGGACCACTTTCTGTATTATAAAGCACCATGACTCACACTCAGCCCTCGGTAACAATGTTTTTCTCTTTGGCTCTGCTGACCCCTGTGTCCTCTCAGTCTGTCAGCAGCTGACTCACAGGATAGAGCAGTTGCTTGGCAACAAGAACACGCACTACTACATGAAAAGCATCACCTGTATCCAGGCTTTTAGAGAGCAGTCTGTCAAGGTAAATAAACATTCACTGTGTGCTGTTTGGGAACGCAGGAGGAGTTCATACGTCAGCTTCTGTCCCTTAAAGAGTCTGTTTCTTTTCTTGTGTTTTGAACTGATGCCAATTATTTTATGTTAGCCCCTTAAATGGAGTTTGACTGTTTTATGTTTTTTCAGCTAGGGAATGCTGATTTTTTCAACAGCTACCTCCGGTCCCTGAAAAGGAGCATTCCCAGCAGAGGCCTCGAGGTCATCTGGGACCTGCTTGTTCAAGGTGCAATAAGCTTCTTTCTATAGAGCTGCGAGCCTCCTCCTAAATTATACCTTTTAGAGCAGAGAAGTGCTTTAGTTACAGCAGATCCCACTGAAGAGTTCTTTGTGTCATGGAACAGACGCTGTGACTTTGATCAGCAAGGACGAGGTAGATGGAAGCACCATCTCGAAAAACGAAGCTAATCAGGTGACCTAAATACATTTGAGACTGAGTAATCTCAGGAGGATCTGTCCTTGTTCTTAACTGATGTCTGCTTTGTGTCTAGTTTCTAATGGCTGAGGAAAAGAAAGAGGAGGCAGCTGCAGCACCAGCTGAAGATACCGGAGATGTTGATGACTTGGTAAGTGTTTTTTTACTCCATTCATAGACGACCTTTCTTCTAAATGAATTACATTCAATGCCATTTTTGTGCTAGGAAGTATCAGGCCTTGGTTATAAACTCGTTAAGCTCAAATCTTTGTTTCCATTCTCTTCCTGTGCAGCTGGACATGATGTAAGAAGAGAGGCAGGAAGTGTGTCAGCAGAAATCTGAGGAATGTAATCTTTGAACCCAACCCCAAACCAGTTCAGCCGTCCATTGTTCTGCTTCTTCCACTGGGACTCCCATAATAGTTTGACTGCAGTAAATAATTAACTGCAAATGCACTAAACAGAGCAGCATTTTAGTAAACTTTACTGTCCTAAAATTACAGTTTATTCACAAAAAACAGAAGTTCCAGCTTCTGCAGACCAAAGGTGTGTGTATTTTTAAATGTTACAATTACAGCAAATTTTCTGTAATTTTGTTTTATTTGTACTGATTGATAAAGAATGGCAACACTGTTGATTAATGATGTTAAAACAATTAATTCACAATATAAAACTTGAGTAACAAAGTATTTTTATTCATGAAACAAAATCAGGACCAATTTGGGTTTTTTTGCGTGAGAAAATACGTTGAAGCAATATGTGACATTAGCAAAATGAGTAAACCAGAATATTTCCTTTTCATTCCAACATGGTGGGTTTCCCAATGAGTCTTTGGCCAATAGGGGGACATGGCAATAGACAATATTTTATAAAATGCAAAAAATCCTTAGAAAACAGTTTTTATGACCAATCTTTATTTTTTTTCACGGTTAAGCAAATTTTCAGAAAATAATTATTTAAAAAAAATAATGGAGTTTGGAGCTGCTTCATAAACTGCTATTGACTTAATTGGAATAATCAACTGAACTCTATGCATTGATATGTAGGTTCAATTCAAACACCTGACTTGTTGTGAATTGGCGATATACAAATAAACTGAATTGAATTGGATTTTCACAGTTTCTTAACATTTGCTTCTGAATTATGGAGTTCCATCTCCTGATAAATATGGTGTTTAAAAATATTAAATACAAAAGTACATTAGTTTACGATTTGATGTTTAAAATGCAAATTCAAATGATCTTGGATTTGTTGCCCCAAATATGCAATTTCATGCATGTCTTCTCAAATCTCTGGCATAGTCTCAGAATCCAAATAACCATTACTGGGAAACACACCAAGTTGAACTGAATTTACAGAAATGATTAAAGGGGTCCTAGAACAACTTTTTTCATTTTAAAACATTTATTTGAGCCTCTAATAAGGAGAACCCTGATCCTGGAGAATCGCTGTCCAGCATGATTTAGAGGTTTTCCCTGCTTCAACACAGTTGATTCCCCTGTTCAGCAGCTCCCAGGCTCTGTAGAAGCATGATAATCACCTGCTGATTAAAATCAGGTGTGTTGAAGCAGGGAAACCTCTAAAATGTGCTGGATAGCGGCCCTCCGGCACCAAGGTTCCCTACCCTTGCTCAATAACTTATGAAACATTGTTGGGGCTCTAAATGGCCCAGGAGCCCTGTTAAATGGTCAAACACAACATCATATTAAGCTCTACAATGAAAAGACTGATTTGAGCTGCTAACTCAATGGCTCAATGGCTGCCTGAAGCTAGGACAGCTGTGTACAATATCCAGAGTTCTCAGTAGGCAAGCTATGGATCTATCTGGCATTGATTCAAAGTTTGGAAATTCCCAGTATATCCTGGAATATTACATCTTCGACATGTGCTCCGACATCCTTCTTTGTTGTTTTTATCTTGTCCAACAAGCATGTTAACAGTACCCCTGGCTAGCATCATTCTACGGTTAGCTTTACTTCCACCACATTTATAAACTGCTTACGTTGAAGTGAGTTGGGACGTGCTGATTTAAGCATCTCTGCTTATGAAGTGTTATACTTGATTTTCTCAGAACAAAACGTTTCTCTGTGGCCATTCCACCTTACAAATTTGCATAAGAAAACAAATCGTGTGTGGCACATTCATTTGGCACCTCAAGCTGCTTGTATTCAACAACAATGTAAATGCCGTTTTGAATTCTAGGACCCCTTTAATTACATACTAAGTATGCATCAACACAGTTTTTTTTAACATATCCATCGGATGAAACGGTCAAACAAACTAGATTCTAACAGATCAGAGAACTTTGGTGCTTTGAAGATGGCTTCCTGAGACTCCAAAGCCAATTTTGTTAGTACTTGTTGGTCAACGTCATTTCCCGTAGCAATCACAGTGGAGGTGATTTGTTCCCTGCGCATCGCGCTCACCGCCTTGTCCAGGCTGCTGGTGTTAGTGATGCCATCTGTGACGAAAACAAACGAAACCTCTGCGCCACGTCTTGTTTTGCGAGTGTTCCCTTTACCCATAATGTTATCAATGGCATGGAGAATGGCAGGCCCTGTACTTGAAGAAGAATCCAGGTATGTTAGACGCGACAGACCAGTACTAATGACATTAGAGTCGTGAGTGAGGGGGAAGGCCACTTCATTTTCATTTTCCTTGCCAAACTCTATCAATGCCAGACGAGCCCAGTTTTGATCATTCCTCGTCTTGGCCATCACCAGCGTGCTTGCCACCTGCTGCACAAAACTTCGGAAATGGTTGAAGTTTTCCGTCCCGAGGCGCTCCGAACCATCGAGAAGAAATACCAAATCTACAGGTCGCCCAACGCATGGAGCTACATCTAATTCTGTAAACAAAAGAACAACTAAATTATTTAGAGTTGCACTTAATTTTATCACCAAAACAAGAATAAAACCCACCACTTTTGCAGGGGAGGTCTGGACACTTAATCACTGGGTCTGGAAAGGAAATCAAATGGACACGCTGTAGGTTAGACCAGTATGAGCACAACCTGTTAGGTAACTCTTATGGGGAAGACCTACCAGGACAAAGCACGGTCTCCAGCCTCTCAATAAAGCTCTCCGCCACCAGGTCGGCATATTGCTTCATCTCTGTTATTCGGTTCTTATTGTTGCAAGCTACTGACACAAGAGTCTCACTGTCATGCTTCTTGTCAAACATGTCACCAACCCCAATGGCGTTCACCTCCACGCCCGGGTAGTTACAAAGGTACCTTAGCAAACTGTCATCGTCAGCTGGATCGAAGCGGCCGTCTGTGACCACAACGACCGAAACCTTAGCATGAGCTCTCTTGCTCTCCCTAATCAGGTGGTCGTAGGCAAATTTGAGAGCAGAAGGCATGAATGTGCCTCCAGCAATCCACTGTAGATTCCTCACTGCCGTTTTAAATGCAGACATGGAGTTTATGGTAGAGTCATCAAGACGGATGGCTTCAAAGGTTCCTTTGTGACTGAACTGTACAACTCCAACTCTTGTGCCTGGAAGATACACGCCAAGTTAATCGAGTCCTGATTGAAGACTTAAGTCTGATTTCACAGTGTTTTATATTTTTTGGCATGTACACATTCTGCAAAAAAGTGCTAAGTGTTTGTTCATTATATGAAAAGTTTCTCATAAATATTCACTTCCTTATTTTCCCATAGTTTGCACATGCATAGTGTTAACACAGGGTAATTCCAGCAATTTAAATTCTCAAAACAAGAACTAGTAATTAAAAGTGTACTATACCTTTAATTTAAAGGTGCAATAAGTAAAACGAACTAAAATCACAGAGGTTGTTAATAATTTACTGTGATATGATGCATTTTTACGTAAAAATTATACAGTATACACACACACACACACACACACACACACATACACACACATATATAATAAAAAGTATATTATAATTATGAATGTTACTGAAGCACATCCAACACTTTGGAAATAGTCCACCTTTGATGGCGATTTAAAAAACTTTTTCTGTTGCAGCATTTGGCCTGTTTATGTTTTTACCAGTGAGCGAGGCTGGATCAGAGGCCATCGATCCCAGTCTGTTGATGGTGTTGATAATAAAATTCTTTTCCAGGGTGAAGTTGGTCAGCCCGATGCTTTCCGAGCTATCGATTACAAACACAATGTCCAGAGCTCCACAGTACTTTTCACAGTCTGAGGAAACACACACACACACACACACACACACACACACACACACACACACACACACACACACACACACACACACACACACACACACACACACACACACACACACACACACACAGCAGGTGAGCGTGCTACCGGAGGTGAGCTGTGTTTGAAGATCACATCTGCCTACCACAACAACCACACGTCTCCCGCATGTACGTCATGACATCACAATCCTGCAGGAATGTGAATACATATGTATTAGATTTGATGGACAAAAAATTCTGAAATTTTTCTTTTATTTATTACATACAGTGAGCCCGGGGTCACCAACTGGTCCAGGGTCCCCCTGCACAAGCACAAAGAGAGAGCAGTGATATTTGATCTGAAATCTTGGCGGATCAACGAATCATCCTGGAGATGCTCACATCCTTCCCAGCTTCCCCCTGGGGTCCTCGATCTCCTGGCTGTCCTGGCTGTCCGGGTTCGCCCTGCATACAAAACTCCCGTCACTACAGATAATTTCCAAATATGTATTATTATTATTATTAGATTTATTTATATTTTTATCTTTCCAGGTATAATCAAAGACCCCTCTGTAGGGTTTGGGGGCAAATTTGGTGCTCAACCTTCTTTTTTGTTGGAAAATTTCCCTTTAAAATCCAACAGCAGCAACATACAGTAACAATGGCTTAAGACAAGCATCAGGCCTTGTCATAAAGCTTTTTAAAGAGGTTTTAAGTTAAAAAAAAATCTGCTTTTCAAGGTTGTCCAAAGCTAATTCATGTTTTATGTGTCGAGGCTAAATTCCCACGGATGCAGCTAGACTGTCACACCCGTCTGTGGGAATAAAACTCTCAGATCTAATTAAGACAACGCATTTAGATCAACAATAACACAACATTTTAAATTAAATCAAATATGATGTAATGTTAAGTACAAAGAGAAAAGTTCATTAAACCCTGAGGAGAAATTCACATGCAACACCCCATAAAACAGTTGATCATCCTCAATATTAATAAGTTACAATAACTGCGTAGCCCTTCTCCATCCGTTGTGTGTGTGTGTGTGTGTGTGGGAGAGACAAACAACCTTTTAGATATCAGAGCAGCCTGCACAGCAAACATTTGAAGATAAGAGGTTGTTTTTCCCTGTTTCATCAGAGCGACATAAACATCACTCTCTGTTTATCTGGTCAGCATATCTGCTTAGTTCCCAAACCGCTCAGTGATTTAAGACACCTTGTCATTATTCTTACCGGTTCTCCTGGCAGTCCTTTATCTCCAAGCTCTCCTTTGGCACCACACTCTCCTCTGCGGCCTCTCGGCCCTTTCTTACCTCGTTCGCCTTTCTCTCCCTGAAGGAAAAAAAAGAGTCAAATACTTCACACACACAGACAATCTTATACTGGAAACAGAAATTTGTACCGAAGGTCCTGCTGGTCCCGGATAGCTGAATCCTGATCTGCCTTTGTCCCCCTTTAAAAGAAGACAACTCAATGAGTGAATGAAATGTAGACACAAACGTTAGCCCTGTTTACACCATGGTCAGCTCGGCCTGGGCTGGGTGGGGACAACCCACCTTGCACGGCCAGGTTGTGTTTTTATGGCCTTTTCAGGACAATGGACGTGTGTGAGGACATGGGCGGGCTTTACTAAAGTGGTGCGGAGAAGTGTGTGTATAGGCGTCATAAGACCATTTTGCTGAAGCACCCCTAAAAGCTATTGGAGGAACACTCCGCGGACCACCCCCACACACCTGTGCTCTCATGACCAGAGGTGCTCTTCACACTTCCTGGGCTGTGGGCGGATATCTTTTTTTTTCTTTCTCTCCATGTCTTCTCCGGCTGTAAAGCATTCAGAATTCAGAATTGATGTCTGCGTGCCGAAGACAAGCCTATACTTTCTCCATTCTCTATATGTTATACTCTCGCAGGTAGAGCGTTATAGATTCAGCTATAATGCCCCGCCAGATATCACAACTTTATTAGGAATGCTTTGGGTTGTTTTAAATCCCAACGGACACGTTTTTGTTTATTTATTTTTTCTTCCAGCACTCGCAGAGTACAGACGCTTCTGCTTTTGCTCCCTTATCTTTTTCCCAAGGCTCTTTGTCCTGTCTGCCTACAGAGCGCTTTCTTCTGGAAATCCCTATTTTTTAGAAATTGATTTAATTAATTGGTCATTCAACGCGATTGATAAGATTTTTTCTACGATGAGAACGGAGGAGGGGGCTCCCACTTGCCCGCAAGGGACACACGCAGCGGGATATGCGCTCGATTCCTGGAAGGTGTGGAGGATCGTATGTCTCTCTCAGCTGTCCATTGAGGACGTCGAAGACATGTGGGTATTTGGCCTGATGATCACTGGATTTCTTCTGATTGGAGTGGGAGGATATCTGGTTTTCTGGAAATTTGGGAAGACGGGAGTGATTGGAGGGCGAGCCGCACCCACGGCAAGCACCGCCCAGGCGGAGACCTCACAGACTGGGACGTTACTCGAGGTGAATCGTAAGCTGGACAATAGCTGCGTTACCGGTGTTAGTGCGCAAAATGGATGTCATCTCGGAGAGGGTCACCGGACGGTGTGGAGATGTTTAAAACCTAAATTGGCTTCACTGAAGGACTGGAATGACCAGTTACAGACTGAAGGCAGAGAGGAAAATTATCTCTGCCTGACCCAAACAAAGTCTTGTTATCCAAATCTGAAGCCAAGGCAGCCTTCGAGATGCCAACAACAACAACCCCCACGAAGGAAGGAATGCAGACAGATGCTGTGAAAACCCGACCCCCCCCCCCCCCCCCCCCCCCCCCCTTCAGATTGTGGACTTCTGCCTAGTGGGGTCATCAGCCTGCAGGGTCAATGTGCCCTGCGTTCCTCCCAAGATCTCCCTCCCACCTGTGGTCTACAGTGGTTGAGCGCTGTACATGCCGTACATGGCTGCTCTCGCTGGGGGAAACAGGATCCCAGCCCCCCCTGCCTTCCTATTGTGATGTTGTGTTGTGTTATCTGTTGCTTATCTGTTGAGGTGTTTTTTTTTTCGCAGAGCAAAGCTGCCCTCCTGGGGGAGAGTAGCTGTGAAGTGCCTTTTTTTCCCCCCTCCTCCCGAATCCATTCCTCATGTTATCCTTTTCTCTCTCTATTAAGGCAGCGCGACTCGGTTGCGAATGACCACAGTCACCAACTCTTGTCATGTGTCTTGCCCAGTATGTCTGATCTTTGAATTGTGTGTACTGAAACTCTAATTTCCCTTCCCTGGGACAAATAAAGCTTTTCATTTCAAAGAGAAAGTAGGAGAGGAAAGGAAGAGGTCGTCGTCCAAATTAACACATTCTCACACCCCAAGTGTCAAAAACTGACGATGGGTGACCAAGCGTTTGTTTGAGGCGACACGTTGGTTTCCGACGCCCGCGGTAAAACGCACATTTAACTGACATTTAACCTCTTGCTATTTAACCTAACCTTAACCCAGTTTCTCATTCTAAACTTCCTGTTAACCGTGTTCGAGAGGGACATTACAACAATAACGTAGAAAGGCATAAATGTGCCTGATTGATAGCTGTTCATTTGGGTTCAGTCAGATGCCTTTCTGTGACATCAATTAACACACAAACCACCTAGCCAGTCAGAGGCTCCCACTTCGAAGGTAGGCGTGAGAGTGACATAACTTCAGTAGCTAATCAGTCCATAAGTGGGTGTGTAGGGTCAGCTCGGCACAAAATGAACAGCAGGGAAGCAGGGCCAAAAAAAAACCGGTTGTCTCCACGTGGACGTGCATGGATGGTGCCAACCAGGGCTAGACCAAGCTGACAAATTAATTTGTTAAACTCTCCTCACCTTTGGGCCGGATGGACCGGGCTCTCCTCTGGGGCCTGGTTCTCCAGGATTTCCCAAAGTGCCCTGCAGCCAACAGAGGATAAAAAGGTTAAATACCCACCTTTGAGCACTGATGATTTGACCAAAAACACTCACATTTCCTCCAGGAACCCCTGGTTCTCCTGGCTCACCCCTTGGTCCTGGTAGTCCTTGGTCTCCCTGGCGAAAAGAGACAGAAAGTTGGACACAACTTTGACTCCGTCCCCCACAAACGCAGGAAGTCGTGGCTCCAGGACTTTTGTCCAACTGGGTCTAGTGAAGTTCTGAGTCATCCTGGGACGTAATTTTGGGGGGGGACGGGTGGGACATGTCCCCCCCACTTTTTCAAAAGGCAGTTTTGGTCCCCTGCACTTTTTTCCGTCCAAAAACAATGTTACGCTCCATTAAATGGATTTGGTTGAGCACTAGGACCGAAACGGAAACCGGTTTACTATTAGACCCGCCCAAAAGCTAATCTATTGGCTCTGCTGATACTTGCTAACGTATTATTGGCTGTTGCTGCTGTCACTCAAGTTGGAAACAGTCAGAACATGCTCACGTTGTTTTGCTAGTTTGGAGCCGCTAGGGAACACCGGTACTGAGTCACATTGTCAACTAGACGCTGTGAAATATCAGAGCTCAGCTCAGCTTCCATTACATAACATTTGAATAAGTGTTCATTTGTGAGTCTTTGGTAGTTAGGCACATCCAGGAGGCAGCATGTCAAGAAAACGAAAAGTGGATATAAGAGACTTCTTTCAAAGTCAAAACGTAAGTTGGAACATGTGACACCCCTGCATTAAGCTCAGACTCACCTCCTCCTTCACACACATACTCAAAACTAACTTTTACAAACTCATCTCCTCCACATAACTGACTCCTCAGACACAATTTATTCGTATTATTATAATTATTTTTATTATTATTATTACTATTATCATCATAATTATTATTACTAGTAGTAGTAGTAGTAGAAGTGTAACTTCAAAACTTTTATCATTTAACTTTATTGTAAACTTATCTATTGCAATGTATATGTTCACATTAAAAAGCTCTGAAAAATGAACAGTATCATCGTCAACAGATTTTTTAAGCTTAATGTCAAAGATGGACACTTTTCATTAGATTTATCTTATTTTTTCCATTTATTTTTTGTGTGTTGAAATGCAACAACTGTTTAAACACTTTTAAGGGAAAAAAACATTTAATATGTTTTTATACACTCAAATGTTAGGGTGATGATCATGTGTAAAACATTAGTTCAGCATGTCCTCTAACACAGCAAATGAACAAACGGCCAGATCTCAGGAGGGACCGTTTATGTATAAATAATTTTTATACTTTTGACTAGGCCTGGGAAAGTAACAAATTTTGCTGGACGATATTTTGTCCAACAAATTGTTGATGATAAACGATATTGTCAACATTATCTAGACCAAAATAACCACTAATATAATGTTAATATATCATAATAATGCAAGTACACCCTTTAAAATGCAACAAATAAACCTTCATTTAACATTGAAATGTCCAGAACCAGAACTTCTAAATGAATAAAAATAACAAACAAAAATTAAATAAAAAAGGAATCTCACTCCCTGTTAGAAAATGTTGCACCAAAAACAATAAAAAAAGACCCAAAACAATAAATACAATAGCCTGTCCATTGTCAACAGCCAAAACTGCACTTCAATAACGATAATAGATAAAAATAATAATAGAGTTGTACATTTTTTAACTTTGATATATATATATATATATATATATATATATATATATATAGAGGATGGAAAAATTATTGAGATGGGCACATGACGTGTCAAGGGGTCTTTACATAACACCCCCCACCCCAAATCCGCACAAGCCTGCTGTGTCCCCCCCACTTCTGAAATCAAAATTTCGTCCCTGGAGTCATCTATCTGTTAAAATCCACCCACGATTTGATCTCCTCACCTTAGCGCCCTTTGCTCCTGCTTCCCCATGCGCACCTCTGTCTCCATACGGCCCCCGTTCCCCCTTGAAAACAAATGATCGTGTCAGAACCTGTACAGCATCGTTTTCAGTGCACAGAAAACAGGAGATGAGGGAAGAGACACAGCATAGAACACAGCAGAGGGAGTCACGCTGGCTGAAATCCTGCTGAATTTTAACTTTGGAGAGCTGGAGGGAGCGACAAACCTGATTAAAATCCAAACCTAAAATCATTAAAAAAAAGATGAAAGTGGAAATTACTGTCCCCCATAAACCAAACTCACCTTTATTCCTTTTTGCCCGTCACGTCCTGTCGCTCCTTTTGCCCCAGAATATCCTCTCCTGCCCTGCTCATATTTAGCAAACAGTTATGCAGAAATGTTATAACTTCGTAAATAACTTGTTAAAATACAAATGTGAGAAATACCAGGTCCCCCTTTGGTCCAGATCTGCCTTCAGGTCCCTAAAATTAAATAAATATTCGTATTTAAGAATCATTGTCCTAAATTTATTTTAATAAAATGAATCAATTCCACGAATTACCTGAATCCCCTTGCTTCCTGGCTCTCCTGGATTCCCAGGCAGTCCATTTTCACCCTAAAAAAACAACAATCAGCTCACTGATGATGATTTGAAAGCAACTTCTATACATGTGTTGTATATAAATAAGAAATTACTGTTGATCCCTTCCCACCCCGAGGGCCAGGAGGACCTGGCTTTCCAGGAAGACCCGGCTCACCCTGAAGAAACAAACAAAAGGCATTGATTGACATATTTACATTTAAAATTTGGAGTTCACTTTAAGACTTTGAATGCTTAAAGCAAGCCGATGTGCTGGCAATAACATTATATTTATTGTTGAGCTATCAGAAGGTTGTCAGTGAGCGATGTCTTTAAGGCTGGCTGCTTCACGTCTCCAGTTTTATTTACTTCCAGCATTTTATTTCCTATAAAAATGCAAAACAGAGTAATGAACTGCCGAGGAAAAGGCTGAGTCTGTCACTCTCTTGATGTTAGTTTGACACAGAAAAAGTTGTCTGTGCACGTCTGCTTCCTTTTAAACTGGCTGCATGAATTCTACCAGGTGCTGCAGACAATTCCTTTGAATAAAATGAGTATTTGTGCTGTTTCCATTTCACATATTCAATTATTTTTGTTTCTTTGACAAACAGAAACTCCAGTACCTTGTTTTTTTTCCTCCATTCATTATTCTATAAAGTTTTCTTGCTTAAAAATCTGCAGCCAGGTGTAAAATCAGAGATGGAGGATGACTCCTAGGCTTTTTGCAGAGTTAAGACTGAGAATCGACAAGAAGTGTTTTGCTGAAAAGTTTTTAAAGTTGTTAAATTTGTGCAGGTTTTTGTTGACTAAAATAATTTTCTGAGGCTGTATTTATATTTCTGGTAGAAGAGCTTCTTCTACACTGGAAATAATTCCCTACTTACACTTATATTTGAAGTAAAAAATATGAATAATTGCTTGCACCATGAAACTGGCCTCCTCACTGCTGCTTTTTAATTACACATGATTTCACACCTTTTCTCCTCCTTCACCTGGTGGTCCGGGGTCACCGGCTTCTCCCGCGTAGCCTTCAGGTCCCTGATAAAAACAGCCAACAAGTCGCTTAACTTAAAAAGCCTTTTGTGTAACAGATTTACACAGATTTAAAAAAAAAAGTTAAAAAAAAGGAGGAAATTTGACAATTGCTGCAAAGAAATCAAATGTTGAATTTACTTAATCAAGTTATGTTCACTGGTTTCACTAAACCTAGAAGCTTAAAGCAACACCAAAGAGTTTTTTTTTAACACTTCAAGCTACTGCTTTCAAACTAGTTTAAGTGGCTTCTTTTAGAAAACAATGCCGTCAATTTGCCGCAATGCTGGGATCAGGGAGCCTTACTGGCCAGACCGTGGCGGTGATGTGGTATAATCATGTCCTTTTTACAAAAGATTACACAATGGCGTTATAAAGGGGGTATGGGGCGGTCTTTGCGCCGCCGTTGACTTATGTTTATCTTGGACATACCATAAGTCCTCTACAGGCCCTGTATTTGACTCAAGCTCATCAAGCTCCAGGCCTTTATTGAAAGGAGGACCAGAATTAGAGGCAGGCCTCAATTTCTATTTGAGCAAAATGAACTAATGGTTCGCTGGAGTTTTTGACAATTAAAATTGCGCCCACATTTTCAAAGTTAAACACATTACTTTTAACAACGGTAGTTTCTGCTTCAGCCCTCTCCCCCCTCCCCCTGCGCAGCGGCCGCAAACTCACTGATGCGCCTGCAGCCTCTCGGAGTTCCTGCTGCTCTAAACATTAAAATAATTATTTCATTTTCTGTTCCTCACTTCTGATTACCTTCAATGGTGTCTGTTTGTTGCAACCACCAGGTACAAAAACTAACTTGTTTTTATTTGACTATTTTTCTGTCCTGTCTGTTTATTATCTTCCTGCATCTCCTCTCAATCCTAAAGAAAAACTGCTACCTGGGTTCATATATATTCACCTCATGAGTTACCTTTGAACTGCAGTAGTAAAAGATCTACCGACCGCAAAAACAGCGGAGTGCTCGCCGGCCGTATCAGTGGTGCTTCACCGAGGACAAAACAGGTGATGCGCCCCGATCCACAGCAGCGAAACGCATCAGGCACAAATAAAAGAATAAAAGACAGAAAACATAAAAGGAAATGAGCCGACATGAACGATTGCGTGTTAAATTAGTTTTTGAGGTGGCGACACCTGATTTGATAATGTTACTGTGGCCGTGCTCAGGACGCAGATGTCTGGAGCGCGTCAACAATCAGAGCTTTGCATGCGCAAGCTGGTTAAGGTTAGGATGGGGGTGAGGGGAAGGTTAAATAGCAAGAGGGTAAACGTCACAAATTGGTTAAATGTCCGTTTTACGGCGGGTGTCAGTACCGACGCTCTGGCACAGTGCGTTGCCTCCCAATGCGCAGGAACTTGTCACCTGCTGACAGCAGGCTGCTGTCTTTTCCGTGGACTGCATCTTGCCGGTCATTATCACGTGACAGCGACTAGTCGATGACAGGCATAAAAAGTGACTATAGAGCGGTGAAGTCGACTAGTGACTAGTTCATACAACCCCTGCTACTGCTCCCCAGTGTTCTACAGCATAATCAGCACGTTCTCTTTGAACTTGATATCAAATTTTCACCTCCTCTTTGTCTCCGCACAGTTAAAGTTACCCTCGCGGTCTATCACTGGCAAATCAAAAGTGAGACGGATGACACAACCGCCCCCCGTACTTGCTTGTTACCACATTCCACCCGGCCACAATAAAAAACCGGCCATTATTCACCTCCGCCGACTCCGACACCGGCCAAAATATGATGCCCGGCAGTTAACTGAATACAGGCTAATATTAGAGGATTTACGGTAACTTGTTTTTTATTGCGATCATCATTAATTTTTTTGACCGCTCCTACAGGTGTCTGTCCTCTACAGTCCCCGTGCAGTCTCTGGTGATCTGAGCTCCCGCTCTAATGGAGAGAAGCTCCTGGAGCTCTGCATCGCTCCAGTTTATCATCTCAGCTGACTCTGTTAACCAAACAACACTTACTGCCCATGTTTACTTTCACTTTTAACGTTGTAGCCGGGCGGAGGTCTGCAGTAACTCCCCACGTGATCATGACACTTCCCTTTGTTAAGCCATGGTGTAATATGCAAGTCCGGCGTTGCAGTAATATTACTACTAAGTGTGATGCCATGAATGCTGCAAAATTCCCGCATCGCCATGCCATTATGACATGTTTGTAAGACACACCGTGGCAGATTTGCAGACATTGTGCGTCTTGTAAAACAGCACTAGTGGTTTTTGAGCCAGAAACTTGAGCAAATTCATAATGGGCAGTACTCTGTAGCCCTCTGCTGACCAGAAACTGCAGTTAACAACTTTTGTGTTTGGGTATAGCTGCACTACGTCAGTAGTTGTTTCCTGTGCCAGCACCTAAAATAGAGGCTAGCATTTAGCTTCTTCAGTTTGCCGATCATCACTAAAAAGCACAAGAAGAATTTTGCTTTTTTTGTTGGAATCATGGCGAAGCTTAGAAGTAAAAATAAGAGAGTCAAATCCTTGGAGGCCAAAGGAAAAAACTAGAACAGAGCTAAAACTCTCATTTTAGGTAGCTAAAGGAAGCTATGAAATCAGGGTGTCGCAGGTTTTTTTTGTTTTTGTTTTATAAAACACCCATGAGTGATCTTGAACTGTCAGTCTCCAACTTCACAGTATGCCACTTCCTGTTCTCAACATCTTTTCAAATTATAACACACCATAGTGAATTGATGTTGACCTCACGTTGCTGCTACTGGACTTGCAGGTAAAAATATTTTTTGTCCAACAGTGTATTTTTTTACTTTGTGGCTTATTCAGAGTCAGTTGGCTCGTGTTAGCGTTAGCTCATTGTTAGCATAAGCTACATCAGGCTGCGGCTGTGTTGTTTACAACAGTTGTAATTTCACTTTCATCCAGTAGGAGAAATAAACGGGAAATGTAGGTGTTGCCTTAAATTTAAAGAGAAATATAAATTGTTATACATTATTATGTGAAGAAGTGCTTATTACTCTAAATTTAAATAACTAGGTTTTAGGGAACCAGTTGACATACCTTGGTCATATACATTCATATAAATTCAGCATTTAATTTCTTTGAGTGTACCTGAATGGAGTTGGGTACCTGCACCACGAAAGCTTACCTTGTCACCTGGATCACCTTTGCAGCCAGGAGCTCCAATTCGCCCAATTTTACCCTGAAAATGGCCAAAAAATAATTTACATTATATCAGCGCATGAAGCTTATTTTTGTAGCAACAGATTTCTTAATCCCTCTCACCTTTTGTCCATCAGTGCCATTCTTGCCAGGTGCACCTGCAACACCCTGAGAATTTGGACATGGTGCAAACCATTAATGACATTAATAAACCATTAATGAGTGTGCAGAAAATTCTAAAGGAAAAAACAAACAAACTTGCATTTAAAACTCAACATCAAGATTTCACTTTACCTTTGCTCCAATTAATCCAACTTCACCCTGTTCAGATAAATCAGACGCATCAAACCCAGCAGCATCAGTCTCAGTTTGGTGGATGAATAGAAAGGAAAAAAGTTTCAACTCTCACCTTTTCACCTTTAAAACCATTTTCTCCCTGAGCAAAAGCAAAACAAGAATTATTAAAATAAAAAACAACATGCTTTGAAACTAATGCACTAAAACTGTCTGAGCAAACCTTTAGGCCAGGCTGTCCAATTGAACCTTCAATCCCAGGATCACCCTGAAATATTTAACATTAAATTCAACGGTAACTTGAGACAAAAAAAATACACGTTTTTGATCATGTTTTAGTGTAAAATGGTTTCAGGTTTCAAAATTCAACATACCTGTTTACCTTTATGACCTTTTAACCCCATTTTTCCTCTGTTTCCTTTTACACCCTAAAAAAATCACAGGAAAAAGTAAATTCTGACATTTCAACAAGGAAGCAGAAAAAAAATCGTATATTTAATTATAACGCTTAATACTCACTTTTGGGCCTGAAGCTCCTTTTCGTCCCGGGATTCCGGGAACTTCCATGCAAGCAGGTTTATAACACTACATATATAAAGAGAAAATCATGTCAGTTATGAGTAAATTAGGTTAAAATTTTCCATCTTCATCTTCATTGGAAAAAATTGAATTAATTAAAAAAATTTCTAAGGAAACAGATTAAGGAGCTATAGCTGTTCCTCCTCCTCTCCTTGATGACACCACGCTTAGAACCCCAGCTTTAATGCTAAATCAAGATTTTTCAATACTTTTTCTATTTTTTTTAACTTTTGTTTTATTCTCAACGTTCCCAGAATCCTTACCTGTAAATAAGCTTGATATTTCTGCAAATCAAAACACAACCAGTGATTAGTGGTGGGACTAAATTTGATCTGTTCATCTTTAATACTCCGAAAAAGAAAAATCTCAGGTTACCATGACTTTTATTATCCGATCAATAGACTTAGTGCTTAGTTTTGGTTTCCCATCAACAATCTCCATGACGATGTAGTCATCTCGATACACTTCTAAGGGAGAGCTGGCGATCTCCCTCATCCCCAGCTCATCGATGCTTCTGGATGCTGCCACTGAGAAGATGTGGACTCCTTGGTCCAGAGCCTTGTCCGACATCATCTTTATTCCTGAACATGGACTGCCCGTCACATGTCCGTCCGTGATGACCACAGAGAAGAGCACATCCTTTGAACCTGCATAGTTGCGGGTTATTTGGTGAGTCATATTTTTTAGGGCGCAGTCAGTGTAAGTGCCCTTGCCCAGGTACGTGATCCGACCAAGGTTCCTGATGAAGTTCTCCCTGGTGGTGAACTGGCTGAAAACCACCTGCGTCTGAGAGAAGTGCAAGCCTCCAATGGACCAAGTGATCCGGATCTGGCTCCTGTATTCCTCCTCAGCAAGTTTTTGGACGAATATTTTTGTGAATTCCTTAATGCTTTCTACCAGACTTCCAGGCGGGGGCTCCTGCAAGGCAATGGTCTCTGAGGTGTCGATGGTGAAGAACACCTTGATGGGACAGTCGATGATTTCTGTCAGAGATGAGAACAATGACAAAAGTGTGAACAAGCTGATTAAAAAAAAATATTTTAATCGAGAGAAAGTGATCTGGTGCAAGCGAAAGAAAAAGCGAAACACTCCAAATTTTAAAAAATGCAATGAATGAATAAATAAAGGTTAATTGGCCTGAAGGAATGATGTGCTTTCAAGTTGTGACCTAGATACAGATAATAGCAGCTGAATGCCTCAGTCTTGCAGAAAGACACAGAACAAGCTGATGAAATGCAATGCATGTAGTTGCTTGAATTATTTTAATTGATCGAAAGGGAACATTACATATAAAAAGCATTTTGCCACAGCTCCAAACAGAAATCCAGCGGAAGCCGTGTATCTTTAAAGGTATTCACTAGTAAAAAGGGTAAAAACACTGTATGCACCTTCTTGTTGTTTAAAATAAACTCTAGCCTAGAAATCTAGACAAACTGTAGCAGTAGCAAAACATTTGACTCATTTTACTGTAGCCTCAGCAGGCCTACCATTGGCCTGAACAGTTTTAGACTGGGCCAATCACAGCGCTTTATATTTGTAGAGAGACCTTAGCCGGGCTTGGTGCCAGAGCTTTGATGGAGAACTCAACTCAACTCAACTTTATTTATAAATCGTACCTTACACGCAAAAAGATGCCACCAAGGCGCTTCACAGATCAAGTTAAAACATAAAACGTTAAATCCATAAGATAAAAACGTTGTATCACAAGATACAGATAAAAATACAGGGAGTACACAAATCGCTATAAGTTAAACAACAAAAACTAGTTATAAAGGTTAAAAGACAGAGAAAACTAAAAAATACTCAAGAACAACGCTCGTTTCAAATGACTTTCACATCAACTTTGGGCGATTTAGACTAGAGCTTTTCTTTGGGACATGAGCAGATGGAGGTATTTAAGTCATTTACTTCGAAACAGGATGCTTTTCCTTTGCCTCATGTTAGCATTTCTATAACATTCAGTCTTGACGTCAGCTTAAATATAAAATGAAACCAGGAAGGAAATTTCAGAAAATCTTCCTTAATTGGCTTTTTTTTACTCCAAAAAGCTGCCAAGACAACTCACTCTTACAACCTTCAGGTGTTGGTGTGGGTTCAGGCAGGATAGGAGGTGGAGTTGGGTCCGGACTGTCCCCCCGCCCTGGTATCGGACGGGGTCCACGAGGCAGGGCGATCTGAGCTACTGCAGCTTGGAGGACGCACAGAAAGATGAACCCCGATTTCATCATCACAACTGAATCACTTTTCCTAAACACACAAACACACACACACACGCACACGCACACACAAACACACACACACACACACACACACACACACACACACACTGGAAGATTAGACAGCTGCTAAAGTTAACTTTTTGAGTTCAATCTGTCAGAGAAATGAGTCTTAACAGAAGTCATCTCATGGAGCTCAGGAATTTTTTAAATCAAGATTTGAAATAATATCAAAGGAATGCTGTACTGCATGGAAAAAGAGCAATAGTTATAATTTTTCTGTAAAAATTCACTACAGGAACTTTTCAACTATATGAGAAATAGTTTTTAGGAAATATTTCAAAGAAATGACAGGAGCTGATAAAGTTGGGAGGAGTATTTTCTCTTTAACTTAGAATAAACAAATATGACATAAATTAATTGGATTATGTATTTTGTTCCTTGTTTACTTCTCTACTGTTTTAAAGATTTCCAAAATTTTAAGGAACTCCTGTGAGCCTCAGACAATAAATAGCCTCGGACACAAACAGTGTTTTGTCGGTTGTATTTCCTCCAGGCACCGTTGATCCCCAAATTCAAACTGCATTTAGTTTATTGGACTATAAACAAAGTCATAAAGAACACATGTTTATCTCTCACTTCAGAGATAAATCAGTGAGTTAGTTAAACATTAGACCAACAGTATTTATTCATAATTTTCCTTGATTAGAATCCAAGTTTCCACTTACAGTCAAGAATAAAAAAGGAAAAATTCAAAACTGTTATCAAGTAAAAGTGAATAAAAACTATCTGTTAGAGGAACTGAGAGTCAGCGCAGGATCAGACAGATTGTTAAACTGCAAAAAGGAGCAACACTTCCGAGTCCTAGAGTAAACAAGGAGTCATTATTAAATTACTGGAGTAAATGTGATACCTGGGATTGTCTATTATTTACATGCATCAGGGATTGCAACTTTGCAAAGAATCTGTTTAAAATAGACCCTTCATGTCACGTTAGCCTGTCACAAAGACACAAATTCTTCCCACTTTTTGTTCTAATCTACAAAACAGAAAAGATTATTCCTAAAAGAACATTTTAGTGCCAAAAATGAGATTTCCGAAAACGTTTCTGCATCTCTCAGCTTCAGTTTACCCCCTAATTTTAAAAACTAATCTTTCATCTTTTAATAATAAGTTTTTTTTTACAAGCTTCAATTTTTTTTTTATTCTTCAATTTTACTGATTTTTGTAAGAAATCACACACTCAACAATATGCTGTCAGGGTCAGATGTAAGAACTGGAATTAAAATGAGGGAAAAATCAGCTAAAGTCATAAGAAAAACAAAATGTTCCTTATGAAGTCTAGAGAAGGAATTCTCAAGAGAACTTTAGAAGATCTGGGGAAACTCTGGTTCTTGGAAGCAAAATGGATAGAAACTTCTGCACACAAATGCACGTTTAATTCCAGCCTGATTAAGTTTATTATCCAGTTTATTTGACATAAAAATTAAGCTGAACTATAACCCTCAACTACACTCATCCATCCCTGCAGCTCGAGATGAGTCGCTTTAAAGCAAAACATTATGATAAAAATAACAAAGTAAAGACTACTTACTGCAGTGACAACTCGGTGGATGCAGGCTCCAAAATCTTTCAGGAAATTCAAGTAATTTGCAGACTGCAAATGACGGATAATCATCTGAGCTGGAAAGTTCTCATGTCTGATCCTGGGTCAGCGCAGTTTGACATGAGAAATGTTTAGATGGGAGCTTATTGTGTGGGACAGCAGCTGGACAGAGACAGCAGCAGCATCCCCAACAACAGAGACACAATTCTGGAGACTTAAAGTGGATTTGGGTAAACGTTGTCTGATCTGATAGAACGAATGTCCGATGCTCTCCCATGCACAAACACATCCACTCCCACCACTGCATAGCCTTACATGGACAGAGAGACACTCACACTCACTCCCTGTTTATGTTTCTGGGCCATACAGCTGAAAGATGTCAGGGAGGAATTCAGCTGCTGCAGCCGATCTAAGAAGTCACAGTTATTGTGATTAATTAAACAGCAGGCAGGAACACAGCTGCAATTATTTTTACTAAACGTTATTATTTTCAAACAGAAATGCTTCTGATTTTCCTGTTAGTAGAAAACGTATTTCTTCATTTGTCTGGTTTATTTGCAGAAGCGTGGCAGATAAAACCATGAATCAGCAGGCGGGAAATCGGGAAATTATGAACAGAATATTTCCATCAATTGACTCATGGACAACTGTGGTAAAAAAAGGAATTAAGACATGTTATCTTAATAAAGTGTAAAAAGAATCTGAAGTGGGTTTTGGCAGGAAGTTTATAAACTGATTGTATCGCTTTGAACAGCCTCAGTTTGGAGAAACAGAGGGTATTTCTCAACGTCAAGGCCTAGCAAGGCGATGTCTTGCTTATAGGGAAACAGACTTGCATAATGTGACTGCGGCGTTCACGTAACGTCTCGTGAAACAGGAGGTAACCTTATATTTTTTACGTAGTTTCTACATAAATATGTAATGAACCTTTTACTTTTTGAATTGCGTAAATATTGGTTAAATTAAATATGTAAACGAATTACTACCTGCTAGCCACTGAAGCTGCAACTACTAATCAACTAACCAACCATAGATTACTGCTTTGGATATAAAAAAAGAACATTTTAGATATCAGCCTGATAGCAACAATTAGTTGACTTACATTTAAACTTGAAATTTGCCCCCGAAGTAGCTGCCGGCTCCTGATCCGCCATCTTTTAGAAAATGCCGTGCTGTATTCTGGGAAATTCTTGGCCGAGAGAAGGCAGCAAGGCACTTGCCGTGCATCCGTACTCTGCTAGCTAAACGGCTAACAAACGGAGAACAGATGCCTTCCATACATTGGAACACGCCTTAGCAGTTCCTGATGACGTATCTCCTAGGCAACCGGGGCGGGGCCAAGACATCAAGGCGAGGTACCTTGGCATTAAGAAACACCCACTGATTAATAAAAGGATAATGGCTGCAGGGAGCAAAATCTAACTGGAATATCACAGTTTCAAAGCAACAACAATTTAAAAAGTCACAATGGTGAATAAAATTATCGGATTACTGTCAGTTTATTTACACAGATATAAAGGTCTGTTTTTGTTTTGCAGGTCCTAAAACTCAATTTACTCAAGCACCATCATCAAACAATTCCTGGAAAAATAATTCGTAATGCAAAACAAAGCGCTTTATATGCAATAAGATGATCTTTTTAACTTTTTTGGAATTCATTCCTTTTATTACTAAACATGAAGAAATACTTTAAAAAGTAGAGAAACGTTCAAGATGAGACCCACTTCAAAAGTTTCTGCTCCTTCAAGGCTACGCTGAATAAAATAAAATACATTTTAAAATCTTTTTCATCCAAACTTTCTTTGATAAAAGCATCCTGATAGAAACTGCTGCAGCAGCACGAGTTCAGCTCCTCGCCAAACGCCACAACATTGTTTTTTCTGTCTCAGATCATTACAAATGACCCGCCTGTTTGTTCTTGCCCAAGTGATTTTATTCACACTTTAACCCCCAGAAACCCAAATTTAGAAAACAACTGCAAAACCTTTTTTTAACCTTTCACATGTTGTTCTAGGAGGCCAGATAAACGGGCCTATTTACACATTTTAACAGCCAATAGTGTTGCAGAACTGAACAATAGGACCTATTAGCAATGTAAATGTGGTTTTAAAAAGAAAAAAAATTGGGGAAGGTATATTTTTGCAGACGTAAATCTGATGTTGTAATATTACAACCGTGGGTCTCTGGGGGTTAACGAGTCAAGGGCAGGAAGCTACCATTCTTCTTTGTCCTTGTGAATGATCTTCAAACCGCTGGATTTAAAACAAAAAACTGATGCTCGTGTGTTTTTTAAGCTGAACCACTGACGTGATCCTTTCCCACTGAGATGACGGAGTAACCTGAAAAGACAGAGCTCACTGATGTAATTTAACACTTGTTTTAGTTAAGGATGCACAAATGCTCACGTTAAATAAAAAAATAACACCATTCGCCTCTGCACATTTTAATTAAAACTTCATATTTTGAGGTAGAGGAAGAAAACATGAAGTGGAAAGTTAAAAGCTGTAAAATAAAGATTTGTCTTTGACAGATGAGCAAATAAAACACCTGATTAAAATTGTATTTATTTTTTTACTTTAAGGGAAAAAAAAGTTCTGAAAATCCAGATCTGAGGCCCCACTGTCGGTCCAAAGGCTCAGGGTGTCCCTCAGGGCGGAGTGAAGGAAACGAGACAGAGACACACTCTCTGAGCTCTGCTTCTCAGTGTGTGTGTGTGTGTGTGTGTGTGTGTGTGTGTGTGTGTGTGTGTGTGTGTGAGTGAGTGAGATGGAGGTGTGTTTCTTGCTGAGTGAGCAAGGGAGTGATTAACAGAGAGAGAGAGGGGCAATCTGGGACTTTTTCTTACCTGAGCGACTCTCCTTTTAAATGACTGCTGCCTCTAGATGAGGAGATGTTAATAAAAAAAAACTATAAAAGTTATTACCTAAGATGTAATAATCATAAAGATAGTTTCTGAAGCTACATGCATGAATCTAACACACTGGGAGGGGTTAGGCATCTCACAGTGTGCTGAAAGCTGTTTCCCCTTTCTAAGTAGCCCCGTGTCAGTGGGTTAAAAGGTTTGGCCAATTTTTTTGTATTTTTATTCAACTTGACCAAAGATTTTCCCCATTTCTGTGTTCAATAAATCAGTAATGCTGCTCTTAAATTAAAAATTCATAAAATTAATTAAAATGTCTTTCTTAAAATATTGACTCCCACACAAACTTGCATATAATTACATTTGCAGCACAGCTTTATTTGATTATTTACTTTACCTTGTTAATGCTTACAGCAGAAAATAATTTTCTTACATTAAATTCAGCTGCTGTCCCATTTGCTCGTTGTAATTCTTACTTTACTGGTTACAAAACAGAACAACAACAGCAATAATCTAGCTCTCTAAAATAAAATGTCTCATTAGTAAATCTCTGTTAGCAATTAGCATTTTTATTCTCCTGTGCATTAATCAGCATGGATAATGTGTGAGATCAGGTCATCACTGATGCAAACGGCATTGTTTCCTCTTTTTTTGAGCATTTTGTCACATTTTCTGGAGCTGAAAGTAGCAGAAAGCCCCCCTCTATACTTATTTAATATTCATAGGTTGTTCATGTTAGAATTGATTATAAATAAAGAGGTTTTTAAAATGTTGGTTTTCTATTACTTTGAATGAAAATAAACACTTTTGCTTCCTTTGTTTGTGTTGGTCAGCCGTAAACTGAGCCGATGTGCTTTTTCATAACTTTTATATCTGTAAAACTACCTAAAATTGTTTGAATGTTACAATATTGAGGCTGTGCAAAAGGATAAACAGTCCTTGAATGGGCAATCATTTTGTCCTAATTCTACTCAGAAAAGTGTTGGAAGCTCTTTATGTTAAATCTGCACCCACGCCGCATATTTCATTACTCCAGAGTAAAAACCAAGTCACATGATCTTTTGGAAGGTTTCCCTAATTCTTAAGAGCAGTTTGTGATTTAGCCACCAGGGGGAGAACAAATGCTGCAAAAACTAGTGACAAACATTTCTACTGCTGATCATCAGTTCTGACAAAGTGAAGTAGAAAATATTTCACTTTATTTCACTCAGTCTGTTCCAAAAGTGTTAAAAGTGAAAGTAAAAGTTGATGGAGTAGAAATAATACAGACTCTGGTGTTTGTTCTTTCAGCCAAAGCAATCTTCAAGATTTCCTGTTTTTGTTTATGCAGGTTTCCTCTGGGCCCTTTGATTTCCTCCCACATTCACACTGTAAACTCTAAATCACCAGTGTGTGTGTTATGTGTGTGTGTGTGTGTGTGCAAGTCTTTGTCTTTTTCCAATGATTGCCTCATCAATCTTATATATATATACATATATATACACACACACATATATATATATATATATATATATATATATATATATATATATATACATATACATGCATTAGGGGTTGTATGAACTAGTCGACTTCACGGCTCTGTTGTGACTTTTTATGCCTGTCAACGACTAGTCGCTGTCATGTGATAATGACTGACAAGATGCAGTCCTCCAGCAGGTGATGAGCCCCTGCGTCGGGAGCTGGAGGCGACGCGCTGTGCCAGAGCGTCGGTTACTGACACCGGCGGTAAAACAGACATTTAACCAAACTGAGACCTTTTCCCTCTCGCAATTTTACCTTCCCCTCACCCCCATCCTAATCTTAACCAGTTTGTGCATGCAAAGCTCTGATCGTTGACGCGCTCCAGACATCTGCGTCCTGAGCACCGCCAAATAAGGTGTCACCACCTCAAAATCAAATTAAACACGTGATCGTTCATGTCTGCTCATTTCCTTTGTTTTCTGTCTGTTATTTGTGCCTGATGCGTTTCGCTGCTGCGGAGCGAGGCACATCACCTGTTTTGTTCTCCGGTGACGCACCCCCAAGATTCCACTATCTCTGCTCCGCTCCGGCACAAACTCCGCAGCAAAAACGGTCCAGTTGTAGTCGGCCGACGAGCAGCAGCACTCCGCTGTTTTTGCGGTCGGTAGATCTTTTACTACTGCAGTTCAAAGGTAACTCATGAGGTGAATATATATGAACCCAGGTAGCAGTTTTTCTTTAGGATTGAGAGGAGATGCAGGAAGATAATAAACAGACAGGACAGAAAAATAGTCAAATAAAAAGTTAGTTTTTGTACCTGGTGGTTGCAACAAACAAACACCATTGAAGGTAATCAGAAGTGAGGAACAGAAAATGAAATAATTATTTTAATGTTTAGAGCAGCAGGAACTCCGAGAGGCTGCAGGCGCATCAGTGAGTTTGCGGCTGCTGCGCAGGGGGAGGGG